CATAAAGGAAGAGTTAGAGGCTAAGGTTAACGAGGACTTTAAGGTTCTCGACCTAGATAAGAGTCTTATAAAGGTGCTACTTACCTACCTTAATAAGGTTATTAGTAATGTTACTAGCAAGGTTGTTAATAAGCGCTACATTATGCTCGTAGTTAGGTTCGTAGGATTACCTAATAGTTCGGCTAACTATAAGGAGGAGATTTAAGCGTACGAAGTTATTATAAAGGATAGGGACGGCGGTTTAGAAGACTCTACTAAGGTCTACTTATAGGGCTCTTTGATATAAAGGGTTCTAGTTATATAATGAATTCTTCTCTACTTTATAGCACCGTATGCCTTACGTGATTGTTTACGTATAGTTGAAAGGATGAATTAATGCTAATAATATAGTAGGATATGAGAGGGAGGATGTTATAGCGACCACTAGAAGGGCTAGTAGCAAAGGTAATAAAAGAGCACTCTTAGAGACTCGGCGACGTAGGGGGTGCTCTTCTGACGGCCACTAGTAACACTAGTAGTAAGCGTAGCGTAGCGAGGCGGGCCTTAGCGACGATGGAGAAGGGCTATAGCATAGAGGTCCGTACTATAGTAACCTATAGCAAGCGTAGTAACGCGTAGCACCGTAGCACGATATCGGACTTTAGGATTTTGCGACGTAATGCGGTAATATCCAATGGATATGACTGGATATGACTGGATATGAAGTCCAAATGGATATCTAGTCATTAGTAGATATTAACTAGATATTGTGGACTTGGAAAGGGGGTCCTCTAGATATGGATTGGACTAGATAAGTTGGACTGGATATCCATCCAGTCCCAGCTCTGGTCCGCCAGAGTCTGCGAACGCGACATGACCTTCTTGTCACGTTTAAGAACAGCTGTGCTATCCTTTTTATCCGACCCACCAGGTGGAATGCGTTTCCCAACTTCGAATTTGATGTTGTCAATGAGTCGATGCTCATCTGGAATGAGCTGGATCCCCGAGCTATCCGATCGCCATTTGTCCTCTATAACTTTCCACCCGACAATAGAGCGTTTACTCTCCAATATCTGTTTTGGCGCTCCACATGTCTTCAACAGGTTGTGAAGCATCTTTCGACATTGGTAAGTCAACCGCTGGTCTAAGACAGCTTGTGCAGCACCAAACATGGCTTTTGCAAAATCCGGTTCTACGACCTTTGATCGAGACAGATACATCCAGCGCCAAGGTTGATTTTCATGCCTCATGGCCACATCCTCGCCATAGTTTTGGAACACAAACTCGAGCACATCCATCTCGCCGCCAAGGATAGTCTGGGTCATGGACCTTGCACAATTCAACCCACGAGATCGCAGAGTATCGTAGTCAGGCCTCAGAGAAAATACCACACATCCATGCCTATCTGGCTCTCGTTCGTCGAAACCCAGAGACGCTGGCATATGCGCTCGAATCGGATCGTCCAGGAACCAGCGGTCTTTCTCGCACTCGGGATAGATATATGGCTTGTTCTCGACCCGACCGACTCGACCCGCAAAGAGAACATTGGGTCTTCCGTTCAACTTTCCTGGTTTGTAATACCAATCTTCCTCCATGAGGAAGTCTGGGAATGATCTCGAGTTACGATCCATGAACCTTGGACCCTTGAGATATCTCGTTTCACCCCTGAGATGCTGTGGAAAGATGACCTCGTAAAGCACTTTTGCTGTGAAAACCGAGTTGATGCGGGTTACTCCGTGAGTAATGGCTTCTTGTGCGGAATACTTGCAGAGCTCAAGTTCGTCGAACACCACGATGTGGAAGTGGCGGCCTGAGAGTTCGTGTTCTGGTGCTGTATCGACTCTGTCGAGGTGTCCTTTCAGATCTTCCATCCTGGGTAGTTGGTTTCGAAGGAGAAGAAAGGCACGAATCTTTCCGAGAGTAATGTCACATACATGTGGGTCCCGGTGTAAGTTCAATAAAGCAGGTATTCGTCACACCACACACCACCCCACATCTCAGGCCAGGAAGGTTCGCCGCACCAACAACGCATTGCGCAAAGTCAATATCTGGTTGTATATCATAACAGTGTCACGGTAACAAGACGACTATTGCAGCTTTCCATAATGGGTCGTGAAGCACGCGTCAAATTCAGAGATATCGACACTCTGGAGAAGTGTTCGCTCTCCTTCGAAGAGACAAAAGACAAGGAAGCAACACATTTTAGCGATTCTTTCTATACAGAGAGGGTCCTCTACGAAACAATTCATCCAGGAGAAACCAAAAGCAAAACTAGATGCTTCCAACAACTCAAGAGCGCAAGATTATCGTGCCAACAGGATGGACTGTGAGTCTCTGATGTTCAAAATACCCCTCTTTGACTGAATAGACAAGATTCATGCAAATTTGGTTTCCTTGTGCACTCACGCGCACACTTACACTCACACCTATGCTTACACTTACACTTCTACTTACACTCACACTCACACCCACACCAACAATCCTAATCCTAATCCTATAACTTTCGTCCTTCCTCCATCTCCTTTTAGTCCATCCATCAACGGAAGACAACAAGCTAAACCATTAGCTGGTCGAGCTGTTCACCTATCCTCTAAGCACGATTGTCCTTCTTCACGGCAATATTAAAGCACTGTAGATAGAGAAAGGAACGGCGTCTATGACGCGAAAGTTCTCTCTAAGTGGTTTCATTGGCAGGATGGTCGGGAGAGAGTGTGTTTTCTGCAATAGGGCGGTATGCTTAGGGTATCTTTAGGGGTTATAGGGGGCGATGGGAGAGGGTAGGGGATGTAAACGGATGATGGAAGGTTCGGGTATAGTGAGTGCTGATTTGAGTCTGTGACAATATGATTCTCTCTCGAGTCATTGGTTGCGTATTTGGAGCGCTTTGTGGAGCCGTTCAAGGGGTGATTTAAAGCAGGTTTCAGAGACCAGAGGGTATGCTAGAGAGTCATGTACCTGCTCGAAGATGTCAGGAGGGCCTCTGTAAACCAAGGGTGTGCTGGCCATCGCTAAGATACTGCGAGTACAACTTGATGCTTGCGAAAATGCAGGAACCTTTTTAAGTTGTCAAGAGGTGTGGATTGAAAGCAGTGCTTGACCACTGGTGTTGAGAGGAATTGCATTATGATTCTACTCTCGAATAGTCTACGCAAGCGATGTGTATAATCTAGTTCTTCTTGGCCTTCTTGCCGCCTTTCTTGGGCACATCCTCAGTAGAAACCTTACCCTCAGTGCCCCACTTCTTCCTCAACTTCTCTTCTTGCTCTTCGCTCCATTCCCGTGGTAGCACAGCAAAGACCAGATAGCTTGTATGCGTCTTGATCTCGGGCTCAGTTCTGTGCACCAGTCTTCCCTCCTTGTATGTTTTTCTCTCTTCTGCTTCTTTCTTGATACGTTCCAATCTAGCTTGCTTGCTTTCGAAATGGCTGGCTGGGTATTGAGTGTTGCTGGGTTTAGGTTTGGGCTGTCCATTTGCTTCTGCAACTTCGTCTGCTTCCTTGACAGCGTCGTGCCATTCCTTAAATCGGCCTTCGACTTCACGCAAGCGGTTGACAGCTTCGTCTACGGTGGCTGCTGAGGCATTGACGCCGCGGAGACCTTCTTCGTGTAGGCCAACACGTTCTCGTCGCACGTCGATACGTTTCTGCATTACTTCGACCATTTGGATTTCTGTCCAGCCTAGGCGACGGAGGGCGGCAATCGTGGCCGTGACTTGTTCGATGCAGGGGCTGAAAGTGCAGAGGTGGATGGGGACGTTTGGGTTGAGAGGCGAGATGAAAGGTTCGGTGGATTCCTCGGTTGGTGTTTCTGATTCTGAAGGAGCGGAGATGTCGGCAGAGTCGGAGGAGGCAGAGTTGGCGACGATTCTTGCGGTTCGTGCAGGAAGACGCTGGCGAGTGAGGTTCTTGAGGGCCATCCAGGGAGCGGGGAGATCGAGGAAGATGGCATCAGCCTTTGGCGACTTGTTCTTGGGGTCTTCTTCGTTGAGCAGGAAACCGTCGCCGTAGACGTCGCGATGTGTCACGCGGACAAGGTCATCAAGACCGTGAGCACGAACTTCGTCCTGGAGACCGATGGCGCGAGGCTCGTGATATTCAAAACTGCAGACACGGCCATAGCGGCGTTTCTTGAGCGACGGTTCTGAAGAGGCTTGTGAAGGGTAGCCGTTGAAGACAGCGCGTGCTGAAGCGTGTGTGAATGAGCCTGAACCGGCACCGGCCTCGATGATTGTTTGGCCTGGGCGGACCTGAAGCCTTTGTAAGATGTAACTGGCGTCAGGAGTGTAGACGACCTGTGTTCGGTGGGGCAGACTGATGGTCCAGCTCTCGGGAGTGGGTGGTAGCAAATGTACAAAGCCAGTGCCGGCCTGGATGGCCTCTTTCGGTGGCTCAGTGTCGTCGATCTTGCGCTTAGCACCACCGCGGCCTCTTGAACCAGTATCGACCTTGGATGCGCGGACCTGGGTACCCCATGGAATGTCCTTCAATGTCGAATGCGGGAAAGAACCAAAGCGAGTATTTGTGACGGCGCCTTCTGCATAGCCGTCGTCTGCGTTTGACTTGAGAATCAGAGGGATGAGTTGATCGCGTTTGAGATGTAAGATTGCCAGTGAACCGATCGAAGCGGCAGCTCCAGCGTCCAGAAAGGGCGACGTCTTGAAGTCCGAGGTAGCCATTGGTGTGTGTATATTTGACCGTATGGAATCCGTGTCGCATTATTTTTCTGAACGTCCAGACTGGCGGTATGCCAAGGATTGCGGAGAAGTGGGGCACCTCCGGCCGCGGTCGGTGACTGTTGCGGTGACTTTTGGCAGGAGGCAGCTGAAGGGTCCACGAGAGCTTTCTGAACATCGTGACTTCCTCATCCGCCGAAACATTACAAGGAGGAACTTGTAGATGCCAACCCTGCCGTCATCTGCGCCGAAGCTCCTGATCCACCTCCGACCAATAAGATCCTTCTCGCCGTTGCGACCCCTCCGTGTTGCGACAAATCTTGCTGCGCGTCCGTTCGCGACTTTGATCCTCAGAAGACGCCAACCATTTCCCAAACGTCCATTTGGCGCAACTGTATCCAGACAGCTATCAGATCGCCCAGGAAGAAAAATGGCGGCGGTGCAACCACCATGGTCGCCTCCTCCAATCCCAAATGGAGGAGCTGCAAAGCTCCCAAAACTAAAGCTCTGGAACTCATTGACCAGGTCTAAGGTTGATTTCGTGCCTCTCAAGGAAGGAAAAGTCTCGTGGTATAGCTGTACGATGTCTAGACAAGTCGTAAATACATCAGTCTCTTACTGATCAACATCTGGTAGGCGGTCCGACTGTATATGACTTCTCTCATCTTGGCCATGCGCGCAACTATGTCAGCTTGGACATTCAGAGAAGAATCATGACACACCTTGGTTACGATGTGAACATGTGAGTCTCGCCTGATTTGTTTCATCTGCTTCTGTGTCTGACATACTAACCGCCTACCACAGGGTCCTTAACGGTACTCAGACACATGACACACGCTTCTCCTTACCTGTCTGACCTTACACCTAGTCACCGACGTCGACGATAAGATCATTCTGGCTGCACGCCAACAGCACCTGCTGTCTGACTTCATGAACAAGCACGCCAGCATCGATGGCGAAGTCCTCGACACGACGAATGCCGCCTTCAAAGCATACATCTCGAAGAACCTTCCTCTTCTGCCCGAATCTACCTCCGAGAAGCTCTCCGCCTACCCACAAGAAGTGGAAAAGGCATACGGCCACGTCTTGCAAGGCAAGAACTTGGCCAATGATGGTGCCAACCCTGGGGACGACGAAGCAAAGATCAAAATGCACATCAAGACATCATCCACGGCTGCTGACGCTCTGGCTGCTCCGGCTGATGCTACCGGCTTCTACGCTAAGACTTCTGGCGTTTTGCTGCCCTACCTGGATTTCCAATTCGGCTCTACCATCGATGGTAACGACCATGCACTCTTCAATGTCCTTGCGAAGAAGTATGAAAACTACTTCTTCGAAGACATGGCTACTCTGAACGTACTGCCACCCACCACAATCACTCGCGTCACCGAATATGTGCCCAAGATTGTAGAATTTGTCAAACAGATCCAGGACAACGGCTTCGCATATGAGCACAACGGCTCGGTCTACTTCGACATTGGCGCCTGGGAAAAGGCAGGTGGAGTCTATGCCAGGCTCGCTCCTTGGTCCAAGGCAGATTCCTCTCTTGTTGCAGAGGGTGAAGGAGCCTTGGCAGCTAAAGGCACGGAGTTCAAACGCAGCCCAGGCGATTTTGCGTTATGGAAGGCTACTAAGCAAAAAGGAGAGCCCTTGTGGCAATCGCCATGGGGCCCTGGCAGGCCTGGCTGGCACATTGAATGCAGTGTAAGTACAAGAACAGAAGATCTATCTTGTGGCCATGCTATTTAGCTCGGTTCTTCGATGGTCGAAATTTTTGCCGAGATTTCCTTGCTAATCGAGAGACAACAGGCCATGGCATCAGATATTCTTGGAAGCCGAATGGACATCCATTCAGGAGGTATTGACCTTTGCTTTCCGCATCATGATGGTGAGCTTGCACAGTCAGAGGCCTATCATTGCAAGAATCCCTCAGAGCAAGACAGCACATGGGTCTCGTACTTCTTGCACACCGGTCACCTGGGAATCTCAGGGGCGAAGATGAGCAAGTCGCTTAAAAATTTCACCACGGTCAGATCAGCAATTTCTGAGGGTACGTGGACCCCCAGAAGCCTCAGAATCGTTTTCCTCCTCGGAAATTGGCGTTCAAGTCTCGAGATCACCCCGGCAATCGTAGGCCTCGCGTCAGGTTGGGAAGACAAAATCTCCAACTTCATGCTGAAGGCTTTGGACACTCTTAAAAACCCTACACAGCCAGCAGTCGACACCGAGACAGGCCTCTCTCCCGATGATCCTCTCAAAGAAGCTCTTCAATCTGCCAAGATCGGCGTGGAAGATGCCTTGTTAGACAGCTTCGATACGCCTACGGTTATGAAGGTGCTCTCGGATCTGGTCACTGCCTACAATTCTGAGACTGGCGTCAGCGATGAGTTGACCCTGGAAATTTCGAAGTATATCACATCGATTGTAACGATGCTTGGTCTGGATGCCAACCCACCTTCTCACGGCATTTCATGGAGTGGTATCGAAGTCAACCCTGACGTCGCGCCATTCGTCTACCCTCTCGCAAAGATCAGAGATGAAGTCCGTAAGCAGGCTATCGCAGGTACCATCGACGCACCCGCTATCCTCAGCCACTTCGATGCCGCCGCACTTAAAACACCGCCAGCCACGAAAGAGGGAGCTGAAGCCGCTGAAGCCACCGTAGGCTGGCTGAGCAAGTTGAACGATCTGATCAAGAGCGATGCTGCCCCCAAGGCATACATGCCCTTGTGCGACGAGCTCCGCGATACCACGCTATGGAATTTGGGCATATATCTCGAAGACAGAGCCTCAGGAGTTGCCCTCGTCCGCCCCCTCAATGCATCCCTCCGCGAAGAACGTGCAAACCGCGAAGCCCTAGCCGCCATGAAACTCGAAAAGGCCAAAGCAGCAAAGGAAGCCAAAGAGAAGGAAGAGCGTGAGAAGCTCGAGAAGGGTAAACTGTCCCACCTTGAAATGTTCCGCACTGCCGAATTCTCAGAGTGGGACGAGGAAGGCTTGCCCGTCAAAGATAAGGAGGGTAAGGAGGTTGCAAAGAGCAGAAGCAAGAAGTTGAGAAAGGATTGGGAGAGGCAGAAGAAGTTGCACGAGGCTTGGGTTGCTGCTTCTGAGAAGTAGGAGAAGAGAATGATTGAATGGAAAAAGATATGAAGAGTTGAGGCAGGAATCAAAAGTAGAAACCTTTTGCATTGGATTGTGTTTCTTTGAGTTGTGCTGTGCTGAGTGATAGGGGCCCGAGCGCAGGGGTGGTATCTTGAACCTCACTCCTTGGCAATCATTCAGGTAGTAGCTCCTTGGGTTCCTCCACGACCTCCGCGACCGCGTCCACGACCACGTCCACCACGACGAGCGCCGCCTCTACCACCACGACTGCCGCCACGTCCATGAGTGGCTGCAGCACCCTCACGACGAGCCGAGCGTGAGATGCGAGGAGGTGGCTCCGTGTAACCCTGGGCCTGCAGACGCTGACCACGAGTGCACTCCTCCGAGCTGTGGGTGGCCACCATGCGTTCGTGCCATATGCCTGAATGCACACTCATATCAGCCTTGTTTTCGCACCATAGCACAATATACAACTTACACCACTGGCGAACAACATGCTCGACTGCAGTGTTGGCAGTAGGCTGAGCGGCCTCTTCAGGGGCAGCGGAATCGTTGGTCGAGGTCTGAGTGGCGGCATGGTTGTCATTGGCATCGTTGACTTGCTCGACGGGTTCTTCATGGCGTTCAGGCGCGCCGGGGTTGCGGACTGGGAGCGCGAAGGGCTCGCTAGTGGCGTCGAGCATGGTGGTATCGTTGTCCTATGCATATCTGATCAGTAAAGCTGAATATCTGCAGCTGACTAGATGACAAATACCATTGCTGTTGATGAGACGGCAAGAGAAGAAAACGTCATGCGCAAAACAAAGTCACAACAGAGAAAGAAAAAGAACTTTTGCGAGCGCGTCAAACTCGGTGTGAAAGTGGGAAATTCGCATGCAATAAGTGAAGGGGAGTACTGGAATACTCGCTGGTGCTATCTCCACTGTCCAGCAGCTGATAAAACCAAACTATCAAAAGGCACAATGGAATTTGGAGCTTGGAGATTGTCCATTGAGAGTCGCTGTTTGCTGCACTCTCTCTGGACATTCATTGCTCTCCAAAAATCATCCTGCCTTTTGATAGATATATCCGGCCCCTCTCGACCAATGGAGATGAAGATGAGGTATCTGAGAGCTTACCACAATCTCTGCAGCCAGTTTTACGACATCGAAGTGCGGTCAAAATGCACGATGAATTTAAGATTAGTGAGGTTCGTCCATTGAGAGTGAGTGTTTGATGAACTCTCTTTGGACCTCCTCTTCTTTCTGCATATCATCTTGCAATTTGATAGTTGGTATCAGGCCTCTCTCTACTAGTGGAGATGTTGAAGAGGTTATCGCGATTCCTGCGGCCATGCTCACGACATAATAGCACGGTCAAAATGCGCAATTGATTCGAGATCGGTGAGGCTGTCCATGAGAGAGTGTGTGTATGATGCAGTATCACTCGACAGTTCGACAGCCGACTTGTCAACAACTAATGCTCTGACCGTGCAAGATGAGATTGAGGTCGACGGCATTGTTGAACGAGACCAGAATTGGATTTCATGACTTTGCATGTCTTTACTGGGTGACATTCCTGTTTCCAAATAGCTTCAGGCTACCAGTGAGGCAGTGATGGTGAGAAAGCTGTGTTTACTACCACGGTTCAAAACCAAACTGTGTTTGACAGACACTGCCAGTTCTCAGGAGATACGCGCGTGCTATCTCCACGTGATCTCGTATCCACGATAGACGTGTCAATTCTAGGAGATCGGACTTGAACATGGCATCTTGGAGTATATTCGGACCATGTTCAAAACTCACTCGAAACTTATGGCCACTAGCGTTGCATCTTATCGACAAAGTACTACAAGATACTATTGCAGACGACCTCAAAGCACTCTCCGGATTCTAATGCTCCATGGCTTCACACAAAGCGGCAAACAATTCGAGCAAAAAACACAATCCTTGAGAGATGAGCTACGTCGAAATATTCTCACCAACCAAATCTCAAAATATCACGACATTCAATTTGTGTTTCCAAACGCTCCTTTCCCGCTCGAGCGTGATGCATTGCCCTCTTTCGATCTTGATGGCTCGAAACAACAAGATGAAGAGATCGACGCATATACATGGTGGCATCTCAACCGTGATGGCCCACCGTTCTACTACAATGGTCTTGATGTTGCTCTGGCTCGTATTGCCGATACGATTCGAAGGGAAGGTCCTTTCGACGGGGTTGTGGGGTTTAGCCAGGGTGCTGCTGCTGCTATGATGGTTGCTTCTCTACTCGAAGCTGGTCGTAATGATGTTTTTGACAGAGCAGGAGCTGCTGGTGGTATGTTTTACCCTGCGGCTTTTGTCAGTGAGGGCGCTATTATACAACCACCCCTGAAGTTTGTCGTTGCAATCGGTGGGTTTGGAGGCACGAGAGTTCCGGAGTATCAGGCTTTTTACCATCCGAAGATCACAACGCCGACGCTACATATTCTTGGCAGAGCAGACGGGTTTATAAAGCCGGCGATGAGTCAAGAAGTCATCGATGCTTGCGCAGATTCGCAAGTCCTGTATCGTTCTGGCGGTCATTCTGTTCCAAAGGCCGATGAGTTAGAAAGCATGAATGACCTCACAAAGCTCTTGGTACAGGTTTTGAGCTTGTAGTCTGGCTCGATGAGCAAAATATAGATGCTGAAGGGGTCCTGGACAGAAAGAAGTAAACAATTGAAATTTTTGTCTGGGAAATGTACGCTGAACCAGCAACAATCCCTAGCCCAGCCTGCCGAGATGCACAATGGTTTCTGGAGCGATAGGATCACCCAGGAGAGCGGCCCTTCTCCGCATGTTTACTTGGGATGGCTGTTACCTGCAAAGTCATTATGCCTTTCGTTAATGCCTTGCACAAATGAAATGACGGCTGTGGTCTAGCTGTCCAAAAGCTGAAGAACAAAACGAGGTTCACCAGGCATAGACTGTCCAGCTTCTTCCACATCCTTCAAGGGGGCGCCTAATTCCAGCATGATGATGTTATCGGGGTAGATCTGACCGAGTAACGCAAGGATCTCAATCTGGCTACTAGCCTGGATGACATGTATACCGCCTTCCTTGGCTGTCACAAGTCCACCCTGCCCGGATTGAGAAAGCACATCCGCCGCAGTGTGCAATGAAGCCGTAGAACTGAAATGATCGATGACACTTTCTTCTTCAGCCCGCGAGACTTTGTACGAGTAGCGCCAGCCACGTGCGATTTGCCCAACATCGGTGCTAGACGACGTTCCGTTCTTGTGAATAATGCGAAGCTGGAGGTGACGAGATCCAAGGTCAGGGGTGGTCGAGCTTAGTGACAGAGAGCAATCTTTGAGAGCATGCTGCTGAGCATCGATGGCAATTCCAATTGGATCTCCCTTCTCGACAGAATGTTTAGCTGGTCGAATATCAAGAAGAGGTGCAGAATAGTAGTCTTCAAGCTCGTATGCAAGCTTGACATCAGTGACGGTCTCATCGAGGACTACCGGAATGTAGCGGAAGAGACGCAATGATGATCCCCCAATCACGGCATCAGGGAGAATCAATCCGTGCTTGTATTGGAAACCATAGGCATTGTCGGTCGACATGCTGGGTACAAGCAGAGACTGGGCGAGTTTGAACACTGATGCCTGAGTGATAGATTTTGTCATAAGCTTTGCGATAAAGCTCATTCTTTGCGTCTCTGTAAACCGCATGTTAAGGTGTCTCTTCCCAGGACCAGACACGATAGGAATCACGACTTCATCATAGTTCTCAAAAGGAAGAAGTGCGTCGCGAAGCAGCACCATCTGGTGAAGGTATTCATTGTAGATTTGCATGAGATGCCTCAGGCTTCGTGGCCCGAACATGAGTTGGGCAACCTGTGGTTTGAGCAAATGACCTTCACAAGGACTACGAATAACGTAGTTGGGGTCGAAAGCCACGTCCTTAGCTTCACGAGCGTATGTGACGATGAATTTGCCAATCTTCACAGCTTGCTCAGCCATCTCCTTGCGGCCAGGGTCTTTGAGAGGGATCTCCAGGCTTGACTCGCGAGTCCCGAGATTCAAGTTGGATGCGAGATTGTCCAGAAGCATCTCTCGAGCAGTTGACTGACCTTCGTCATCAGGTCCGAGGTTGTGTAGGACTGTCTCGAGCAAAGGGGCGCATCCTACGACGATTTGGCGAGCCGTATAAGGTCCAGCCGGAAGCGACCATCCGACACCCTGGATCATGGTCGGGTCTGAGTGATCTGAGGCGAAGGCAGGAAGAGGATGATCGACAAGCAGGTTATGGAGACCTGTAATACGATACGAATCGATTTTGGATGAAGGTGACATTCTTGCTGGGATAGAAGTGTATGACCGGGCAAAGATCAGAGCGGAGAAGAAGTTTGTGAAACGGAGGCGGCGTGATTGCAGTATCATGAGGAACTTGAGGCGATTGAAAATGGTACAAGTCCACTGACTTCGACCTTTTTATGTCTTCGACGCGGTTTCATGGACTTGTAAAGCACCGGAGCTCGACGTCCTTGCTCCGCGATGGCTGACAAGATTGCTCAAGCCTGAGGAATTTGAGCACGAGACACAGGGATCTCAACTACCCGGGTTCTCCTGGATTAGCTATCGAAAGGCGTGATATGTCTGGTTGTCAAGTGTCTGCCAATCGAAAGCGCATACTCCTACCAATTTTCCCTGCGCAATACCGTCGTTGTCGAATCATGTTGACTTTCCATAGCTAATCGGACGTCTCTTTGACTCTGATAGGTGTGTCAAGTGTACTTAGTTCTGACGCAACACATCTCTCCCCTACGGAACACACCCATGTGATTGTTGTGGTAAGTCGCGTGCATTTGGCAAGTCGTGTTGTCTCGAACCTCGCAAGAAAGGAAAGGCAGGGGCTTGGCGTGGACCCTGACCATTTTGCTCCGGCGCTTACCATCTTGGGAAGTCGATTTCATCTCCGCTCTCCAGCTCACCACTTCCTGATTACCAACCGTCCTCATCGCGTTGTGTGTTCCAGAGATAGTGACTTGGAAAGTCTATGACTGGAGATGACAACCAACATGAGACGAGATGCAGCTTGCCACACCCTCTGAACAGCATGAGTGTGACCTTTGTCACAAATCATATAGACGACGTACGACTAGATCTCGCGACTTTAATCAAGACATCGTTGACCAAAGTCTGCTAGGGTAGAGGATCTGTTATCTCGACACAGACGTCACTGCACGCCAAATAAGGTCTCGTCGAAGAGGAAATCATGCAATGCCTGTGTGCAGGCAAGAACAAAATGTTCCCTAGGTCAACCAAAGTGCACTCGCTGTACAGAACGGGACCTTTCATGCGAATATACCTTTGTACAATCGCACTCCTCTGTATCAATCAGCCCCGGTCGCACAACCGTGGGTCCGGGCGCAGTGAATAACATACCAGAAAGCGCTTGTGGAAGTATCGAGACCCGTCCAAGTCCTTGGTCGCTAGACACCATGTTTCCTGTGGAAGTCAGCAGCAATCAGACTATTCAGAACCTTGTGGATGATGGAACGAATTCATTACACTGGCCAATGCCAGATTCACCATCGTTAGACGGTTTCGTTGGCGGACATGCAGCACTCGATGGCTTGCACCCAGCTCCTGTCTTACGGATGGAAGAAGTCTCACACACTCTTCGCGAGTATGCGACATCTCTGACGTTAGACGACTATCACACACCTCTGTTACATCGCGAGCTTTACAATATCTACACATCGGATATCACAGCATTACCGAAAACCACAACAGCAATCACGTGCGCCTTGGGCTGGAAGACCTCTAGCAATAATACTTTCTTGAAGCGTGCGATGGCTGCAGAACGACAGCGTCTTGTAGAATCTTTCGTGAGTAGTACTTTGTCTATAACAGAATCAAATACTAACGTTATACTGACAGCCAAATTCGTCCTGCATAGAGGAATGGGACATTCTACATTCTATGTGGCTTTATGAGCTGATAGAGTTGCCTGGAGTCCCGAAGACTGTAGATGACCATTGGAAGCCTGGACCTCGGACTCGAGGGCTTAGTCTTCCTATTCTTCTCAAGGTAGGCGGGAACCGCTCCTTCAGACACAGTTCGCACTCTGTCGCTGACTCGTAGCTCAACAGATGACACGCCGTTTCTGTTTGTCGCATCCAGAAGCCATAAACCCCTCTGCACAAATGAATCGTGACGCGCTGGTCCGTTACACAACTGCGCCATCCGCCTGGATGACATGGCTAGTCGGAGAAACAGCTCGCAGAACAGTTTTCTTCGCAAATATCGCCAACTACTTCGCCAGTAAAAGCGCTGTGACCGGCGAGCTTTCACCGTACTATGAACCCTTAGATGACGAGCTGATATGGAATCTGCCTCTTCCCTGTAGCTCTGCAATTTGGAATGCACGCACCGAGCACGAATGGTTGCAGTTAATTCGTGCGCAAGACCCCGGTATTAGTTCAGAAGACCAGCCAATGTTGCTATCTATGGTTTTCAACCGCGAGCCGACGTTCAAGTCACTCATGACCAACTTCACGAAAGACTACTTGCTGACACAGTATTCTGGGAGATATGGCTTGGAAGATTCAGAGTCCCTCTGTAATTTCATTGTACGATGTACTTTGGAGCAATGCTAAGGTAGACGTGGCGAAAGAACAACTGCTTCGGCAACAAGTCGCCTCTCTAGTATTTCGGAATTTCTTTGGATAATAAACAAGATTGGAATTATCTAGCCTTTGGACGGCTATTTCACAGGCTGCCACGTCAGGCTGAGAGCTCGGTTCTAGTGCGAGTATGCCCTGGTCTCCTTAGCTTAGGCATTAGCGTTCAGACGTCATCATGTTTGCACTAGCGTTAAATACGTATCAGCTGTTACATCGGAAAGGCACAAGCGATGAATCTAAAGTCGAATGATAGGTTGCTTTACTCTATTAGGTCTATCGTTAAAAAGATGAGCTGAAAGGAAAAGGAGAATGAAAAAAGAGAAAACATGAAGCATCACAACAGAGTTGTCCCAAAACGCCCCTAACCTTCCCCCATCATGATTCAATTACTCAATTAACATCTTCTCAAGTGCTTTTCTTGTAAAGAGAGAGCCTAGTACCACCTCCACAGAGCTGGCCAGGGTTGCCAGCACAAGCCATGTTACAGTCGGTCATCGTGGCATTCTGCGTGCCACTAGTCATGGTGTTGCCCAGATAACACTCACGGGCATACTCGACTCCGAAGAATTGATAGCTGCCGGCCTCAGCAAGCTTCTGACAGTTTTCAACAGTCATGTTGTTGTTAAAGGAGACAGTGTTCAAAACACGAGGGCTGTCCTTGACACAGTTGTAGAACTTGTAGTTGCCGACTGTGTCAAGGTTGCGAGGATCAGTGGAAGCCTTGGAGGTGTCGTTGCTGTAGTAGACGTTCAATCTGTTGCCAGCTCCGCACAAAGCGAGCTTGTCTCCAGGGCAGGGCATGTTACAAGCACTGTCGGTGACATTAACACTTCCTGGGCGAAGGTAAGGACCACAGTAGCACTCTACACCGTATTCGACTCCAAACATAGCATATTTTGTGCAGAAGGCAGCACACATGGCGGGAGTCATACCGGTGCTGTTTGTGAATGAAGTGGCTGCAAGGGCACGTCCGCTGGTTGCTTCGCTGTAACAGCCTTGAGCAACATAGCTTGAGACTGTGGGGATCACTCTAGGACCTGTCGGAGTAGCTGAGCTTGACGTAGAACTAGCAGCGGTACTAGATGAAGATATCACTGAAGTCAAGGATGAACTTGCCACCGAGCTTGACGAGGACGAGGAGCTAGTAGTTGCACTTGCCACGGAACTTGATGAGCTAATCGCCGAGCTTGAAGTCGAAGTTGCCGAAGTAGAGCCTGCTGAAGTAGAGCTTGCGGATGTAGAGCTTGCAGATGTAGAGCTGGCAGATGTAGAGCTTGCTGAGGTCGAGCTGGCGGAGGAAGAGCTTACTGTTGCAGACTCTGATGTCGAGCCAGAAGAAACAATGCTGCTAGATGAGGAAGGCGCGACACTGCTTGAGGACGAAGAAATCGTGCCGCTGGATGACGAGCTAGCATCACTGCTAATGGACGAAGAGACGACACTGCTCGACGAAGACAATGAGTACGTGGTACCGCTCGACGAAGAAGAGGCTGTGCTACTCGATGGAGATGAGACAACACTGCCCGAAGACGAAGAAATGATGCTGCTCGACGATGAGGAGACGTCACTCGTAGTAGAGGAAGATGACACGACGCTGCTTGTAGACGAAGACAACGACGAAAGAATGCTGCTCGACGAGGATAATGCAACCGCGCTCGAAGAAGAGGGAGTATCGCTGGTAATCGATGAAGAAATCGAGCTAGTCAAGGAAGACAGGACAATACTTGACGAAGATGGCGCTGCACTGCTCGAAGACGAGGAGATAGTGTTGCTGGTCGAGGAAGATGAAACAGCGCTGGTAGTTGATGATGAGGCGTCGCTGCTGATCGACGAGGAAATAGTGCTGCTGCTACTCAATGAAGAAGTAGCGACGCTCGACGAAGAAATGCTGCTGCTGCTGCTCAAAGAGGAGCCAGCGGAGACCGATGACGCAGAGAGAGCGCTAGAGCTGCTGGCTGACGAGGACGACAAGCTAACAGAGGCCGATGATGTCGAAATAACACTGGAACTGCTGATCGACGAAGACTGGATGGAACTACTTGCGGAGCTCGATGAGACCACAACAGGCCCGAGCTTGTATAGACTCAATCCATTAGGACCTCCGCAAAATTCATACTTGTCTGCGGAACAAATCATGTTGCAGCGGCCGTCAGTAGCAGGTACAGAAGCGGGAGCCAAGGTGTTTCCGCAGTAACATTCGCTTGCATACTCGGTTGCAAAGAACGTAAAACCTGTGCAGAATGTGGCACAGAACTCCAAGCTATTCGAGCTGTTAGAGAACGACTTAACATTGAGGGCACGGCCGCCGATCTCAGTGTAGCAGCCTTGGTAGACATAAGATCTAACGGTCTGTTTGGCGACAGGCCCGGTTGGTGTAGCTGAGGCCAAAGTACTAGTACTTGTCGTTGATACAATAGAGGAGATGCTCGAAGATGAAACCGAGGATGTCGGCGAGCTGACAATAGTCGAAGACGATGAGGAGACATCAGAACCGCTGACACTCAAGGATGATGTCGATGCAACTCCCGAGCTAGTGACACTCGAGGAGGATGACACTGATGTGAGTCCCGAGCTAGTGGCACCCGATGAAGATGCCGAGGAGATCGTAGAGCTGCTGATGCTGGAAGAAGAGTCCGAAGAGATCAAAGAGCTACTGACGCTGGAGCTTGACACCAAGGATGTCGTTGAGCTAACAATACTCGAGCTTGATGACACGCTGTTCGTAGTGTTACTGTACAGTGTAATGAGGTTTCCGGCTCCGCAGTACTGGCTGTTGGATCCCTTGCAAGTCATAGAACACTTGCTGTCGAGGGTGAGTTTAGAGGTTGCAGCAATTTTTGACCCACAGTAGCACTCGGCAGCGTAAGACACACCAAAGAAGCTGGCTCCCTTGGCTATGCAGAAGTCTCCGCACATCTCAATGGTCATAGAATCAGAGCTCGTGGTTGCAGCGGTCAAGGTCTTTCCACCACTCTCGGCCCAACAACCGGCGTAGTTGTAGTTTTTGTAAGAGGGCACAATCTGCAGAGTCTGAGTTGTCACATTGCCATCGAAACGAGTAGAATCAGCAAACAGAGAGATCTGAGACTGGTTGTGGAAGTAACCATTGCCACCGCAAGTTTGGTTTTCGTTTCCGGCGCAGTTGTAGTTGCAGTCATTCTCATTGTCCTTGAGAAGAGGCAATGCTTTTCCGCACCAGCACTGGGTGAGATACTGGGTCCCCGCGAAACGATATCCGAGAGAGGAGCACTTATTGATACACTTCTCATTGGTCATGTCGTTACCGCTCAGGGGGTTGGTAGAAAGTTGTCGGCCAGGGTTGTTTTCTCTGAAGCAGCCAGTGTACTTGTATTGAGCAACACCATTGCCAAGAAGCGGTCCAACCTGCTCAGAGACTGCGTTGCAAGTGAATTGGATAGTCTGCTTGCCCATGTTGGGGTCTCCGGTGTTGAGTGTCCAGACAGCAGTGCCATTGTAGTCTGCCATGTTGACTTGCGATCTTGGCACTGAGCAGTATAGTGTAGCAGTCTGGCTCTGATTTGCCTGGAGAAGAGTACCCTCGGCCAGATCGACGTTGTTCACAGCACCAATTAGGCCGGAGACACCATAAGGAGGCTTCGAAACGGTAAGTGACAAGGGCACTGCTGAACCAGTACCGTTATTGGTGATGCGCATCTTCAGGTTTCTTGTCTGGTTTTCGGTAACATTTCCGAAAGAGAATGGCACGCCGGATTGGTATGTTACCCAGCCGGAGCCGTCCGGAGTTTGAAATTCAATGAGAGCAGCAGGGTTGGTGCCAGCAACACCCAATACGTCGAGCAAGCCGTTACCGCCGTCAGTCGTGAACTTGACGTATACGGCATGGTTGCCAGGAGCTGTGGGGTTGTAGTTGATGTTGACAGTGGATACCGTTTTGCCTTCAATGGTGGCAGGCATGTTGAAGAAGGTAAAGTATCCGACCTGAACAGCACCATCGGTTGTAATGTTGGGAGTCACCCAAGGGCCGCTTTCGCTGGTCGTTGAGTACTGGATGCTCTGCACGGTCAAAAGCTTGTCGCCCCTGTTACTGATGAGAGAAGACTGGGTAACGCCATCAGCTTGCTGCCCTGCAACAATATTGAAGGAAACGGTATTGGGTGCGATTGCCAGCAGAGGCTTAGCCGAATTCGAGGTACCCTTCAGGGTGATGGGAGTCGATCCTGAGTACTTAGCGACATTGTTGGTAGTGTTGACTAGGATATCGCTAGATAGCAAACCGACTGTGTTGGGCGCAAAGGTGGCGCTCACACTGAAGGTCTGACCTGCGGTCAATGCCAAAGGTGTGTTCACTGCCCCCACCTTGAAGTTAGGGTTGCCGGTCAAACCGACTCCAGTCACAGTTAGATCAATGAGAGCCTTGCAGGTGATGGAGAGGGGTGCCGAGACATTGCCGATTGCAGTGTTGGGGAACTCATACGGTGAGGAACAGTTCAGGGGCAAGTTGACTGGCGAACCAAACGCGTACAGGTACCCCTGAGTAGTACCGACATAGGCGATACCATTTCCAAAAACGGGGCGAGAGAATTTGGTAACACCGGGAATATTGAAGGCCCTCAGGAGCTTCAAGTTACCACCGTCGGCAGGGGGTATAGCGTCATAGATACGTAAGTTGTAGCCTTCAACGTCGGTAGTCCAGAGCAGACCAGTGCCCTCCTGTCCGTTCAGGGAGGTGGTAGTGCCGTGGCCAACTCCTAGAATATATGCGTTCTTCTCCGGAGTGTTTGAGACTAGAGTGAACTGAGGATCTCCACCGGCAGAGCAGCTGAATTTGAAGACATGCGTCTGATACTGAATGACGTTGATGTAGACGTAACCGCCACCAAGTGGCATGACACCGGCTCCAGCGTAGACAGAGTTCTCGTTTTGATAGACCTGAACAGCGGCATCCAGTCTGTTCGGTCCCATCTGATAACCTCCAAGGTTATCAAGATTGAGCCAGTACGTCTTTCCAGACTTGCCGGTAACGACACCCATTCGCTTGACGTTTGCACAGCTAAAGACGTTGCTGGGCAGAATCTCAAGAGGAGTGGTTCCAAGATCCTTGTCGGCACCATCAAGTTGAGTTTTCTCCCAAGGCATGAAGAAGTCGACAGGGGTCAAACTACCATCGCCTCCAACGACGAAGTTGACAGCTGCCTCTTCCAAAGCAGTGGGAGGCTGGCGACCAGGTAGAGCATCACCTGTAGACTTGAGCTGCGAAGCATAACCGTTACCGCTGGCGATGAAAATGCTGCCCTTGTCATATGAAAGGCCACCACCACTCATCCAGACACCAGCGCCTTTGACTGTGTTCGCCTCAGGGCCACCTTCCATGGCGAATGCTTCCACGACTGCACCAGTGGTGCGGTGGAACCCGATGAGAGCACCAGTGAAGTTGTACTGAACACAGTGGGAAGCCCAACCAGTGTAAATGTAGTCACCAACCTGAAGCATACCAGGACGAGCGTGAGTGTTGCCTCCCTGGAACATGCGATTAGGGTTGTTCCTAAACTGGAGGCCATCAATCATTTTCGGGAAGCCACTGGCCTCCGAAAGATCTGCTGTGTTGATGGCGTGGAAATAGTAGCGACCATTGAGACGACCCGGAGGACTCTTGACTGTGAAAGCGCCATCCTGGAATTGATCGGAGTATGTCTTGGAGGTCAAGTACCAGATGCCAGTCGAAGGATCGATGACTCCAGTAGCAGTGACACCAACCGAAGGGTTGATGTCAACACATCCATCAAGATCAGCAGTCAAGAATGGGACATGCATGTTGCGGCTCTTCACGATAGCTCCGGTCTTTGCGTTGATCTTGTACAAGTTATTCTGCGTCGTGGCAATGTAGACATATTGAATGCCGTCATCACCAGTGTAAACCAGAGGCTGAGAGAAAATCTGCTCAGGACCAATACCATTGAAGTTGCCGGGTAGTGCTGCTCTCCACAGCTGACCGAAGGATGCTCCAGCGACAACAGAAGGATCCATATTGTGGTTTCTGACCAGCATTAGCCATCTGAGATATGATCTCTCCAGTTGCTAGGCTCTACTGCATGTTTGATTTTAGAGCTGCGCGATCTATTCCGGATCAGAGGTCACATCCAGTGAGAGCGCGTTAAGCAGCTCGTCTCTGTGGATGACTGTACTGATCTCGACAGAGTCGTGCATTTCTATAGCAACACACATGCCCAGATCCATGGTATGGAGATTTTGTAAGATTGAGACTTACGTCTGGTAGCCGGAGCGGCCGTTGTCACCACCCCATGTGATGGTGTCGGTGTCTCCCAAAGAGTCGACATGACGAGCAAACAAGAATGCTAGGAGCAATGTAAAGAATGTCCTAAAATGATTGATCATGATGGCGGAACGGGACGGCCGAAGCTGTCAAACGAAAATCGAGATGAGAGGTACCTGTCCGTTCCTGAATGTGTACCTGTCGTACCTTTTATAAAAACCACACAACTCCATTGCATACTTCCACTTTTCAATTCATATGTCCAAGCTGCAAATTGTTCATCCCATTCAAGACACTGGAGGTACACTCTAGATTAACGAACGCCACGTGGGCTTCGAATCCATGGTTGTGTCGCGACTTGGCACAGGATACGACTTCTAGTATTGCCATTAGTAGTTCGAAGTATACCGCCCACAAGACACTCAGCCGTCTGCAATCTTCACGGAAAGCGTTACCAAGCCTGTCACGCGTGAGAAACAGTCGTCTTGGGCGCAATCAAGCTATACACCGACCATCAGCGAAGGATGCTCAAGCGAAGCGGGCGGAAGCTAGTATTGTCGTGCCGCCTCTCGACTCGCCTTTCTAAGGAAGATCACAGGTACTGTACTTAGCTTTCGAGTGGAGACAGGATGAAATCATCCACAGTACTAGGAGGCATGGCTGCCGATGGAGTCCCTTGAGACAAGTACAAAGAGATCTGGAGCTTGCAAAATTGTCAGGGCAGACTTACTGACTCGACCCCACAGATCCGATAATGGATCAGATCAAATGCTCCGAGCCGTTTCGTTGAGAACGAAGCCGAACACGAGCGTCCAGATCGTTTCGAGCCGTCGCACAGCTTCTGCTGCACAAATCGTGCTAGTCAAACTTATGCGCTGGGCTGTCTCAGACCCCGCGGATGCTGTCATGATGCCAACAGAAGCTTGTACCAATCTGGTTAGATCGACACATGCAACACCGCCATGTTCCGGATCTGGGGATACAGAGGTACCTGCTCTCCTGAATCCTCTTCCATCAAACAACCTTCGAGTCGCATCCTCCACACTACTTCCAGGATAGGACTCTGCTCGCGCTCAGCTGCGGCTTCACTCTCAGCTTTGGCTTGCTCCAGCCTGCTTGACAGCCTGGTACCATGTCTCGGGACCTATCGATCTAAATGGCCCATCAGCTCAGGCATATCACAACGTTGGAGATCCATCCCGTAAACGTCCCGATTCTTCGGACCGGACTGGTTTGCCATGAACTTGTTGCGGAATGGCCGAAACTGCAGGGTATGGCGCTGAGGATGGTTTCCACGTGCTACAAGCCACTCCTCAAAAGTCGACTCGAACTTCCAGGAGGATGGTGCCAAGGTGGCGACCAATGTTGTGGCTTAAGTTACCGTCCAACGTGGAAACCTCTTGGCTACTGGGCTAGAAGAGCAATGCTCGACAACCACTGATAGCACGAAGTTGGCTTACAGCTCTTCTTGGGAGCAAAGTGCTATTCGCCCACACGAAGCCAAATAAGCCATAGCCCAGGTTTATGAGTTTCATGGCTTGTAGCACGCCATGCAGGTACCGGGATCCCCGACGCAAGCAAAGATAGAATAGGTTTCTAGACGCGAACCTATCGAATGTTGTTCTCCTAAGCTGATTGTTGGGTACGATGAACTGGACGTATCTACAGGTGAATTGCGCCAAATCCGAGCTTCTTCTCCACAGCAGGTCGTCCCTTATGTCTACCGGAAGACAAAGGTATCTTGACAGAATTCGGATTGTCCGAGGAAAGTGTGGTTGAAATTCGGTTCTGATATCAGTTCTTCGCAGTGGTTCCTGATGAAACCGGCGTATACGCATAGTCAGTCTCTAGTCTGAAGAAGAACCCATCGAGGCATGGACACGAGCACCCTGACAGTATATGTCTAGATCCACACTCGTTTGCGCATCTCTATAGTAGATTGATTGGTACGAAAGGCAGGCGCGTGTAAGATCGGCAACTCGCTGCAGTGCAGCTCACCGCTATCGGACGGATCATGCTAGATTGTCTCGATGTGGAATGGACACGAATGTGATAGCTATCACTTGGCGTGGCTTTTAGGAACAGTCTCTCAGCTAGCATCTCTACAGGTGATGAGACTAGTGATCTGCAGGGTTTGACAGAAGTACAGGTAGCGTTATCGGGAGATTTGTCGGTCTGTCGCTGGCAGCAGGTTATGTGTTAACGAGGTGAGTCGAGAAAGCGAAGTGTATTGTGTATCTCACCATGCAGAAATGACCCGAGAAGTGTGAACAGAGATTTCAACTACTGAAACTCCTATCATGCAAAGCCACGCCCGATTGCAATATACGTTTCCTACTACACTATCTTGGACGCTTTTTCAACAAAGGTCACGCTCGCATTTTGTCTACGCCTTTCTGTCCCGCGCTTCTGAATTGCGATTCACGAAGTCTCTACGATACAGGAATGGCAAGTACTTGATTGGCGCCTGCTTTTTGAGCTACATAGTTGTGGAGTGACTGGCGGAAGGTTGCCAACCAGTCGACGACTTGTTCGTTCGCAACGATGACGAAAGCTACCCATCGCGAGCGTCTGTTGTTGACCACAGCTTCAGATACAAAGAGATCTTGCATCTTGCAGTGATATCGAAAGATGTCTGGTACAAGTAAGACTTCTCTGCGTCTACGTTCATATGGTTAGTCATGGGTATAGACGGTACCATTTAAGCTTTCGATCACGGTTACACCTTCCGCAAACAGGCTGCGAAGCTCTCGACCAGCATGGCAATACTCCGGCGACCATTCTCATGTTCGTCATAGCTATAATTGACACAATAGTGATGAAGGGAAAATCGAAGATAGTTCAATAATATTAAAATTTATGTAGTGAAGTCCGAATCTATTAACAAGAAAGAATTGACATGATGCGCTGAAGCAGCAAAAGAAAACGCCGCTCCCATTGGGCTCATGTTTTTCATGCGTGGCTGCTGAAAGACACGATGTTTTTCAAACTCGAGTCTTGTCCAGTGACAGACTGTTGAGTGCTCTAGTAAGGATGAGCAACATTTCTCTGCTTCTCTCCCTCCTTGTTCTTTGCCAAAGGCTCGTGTCTAGGCCAGTGAAGGCCCTTGAGTTTCTCCTTGACACCAGCAGCGTCCCACTTTGTGACTCTGAAAGCCCAGTACAGGAAGACGGCAGCACAGATGTTGAACACAATGTATGCCCAGAAGATGCCAAAGTTGCGCCATACCTGACTGTAGTAGATGTTGCTGCCGGAAAGGAACTGGTCGGCGTTGCTGAGCGAGCAGTACTGACAGTCAGCAGTGGCGGTGGGATTCTGAAGGGTGCCGGGTGCGGCGGTGAGGTAAGCAGCCATGTACTGGCCACAAGTCTGACCGGCAGGTGGGTTGAAAACGCTGGTTTCAGCAGAATTGCACACAATTGGTTTTCCGTGCAGTTGAGAAGCAACAATACCACCAATCCAGTACGTAAATGGCGACACGCGATACATGAAGATCCAGAAACCAGGAAGTGCGTCAGGTGCTTGCATGACACCGTTGAAGACCAAGGACATGGCAAACAAGAGTGTGACAATAGCGGCGGCAGTTTGAGCGTCAGGCATGGCGACGATACAGAGATGTGCGAATGTGCCGGCGTAGATGAAGAACTCAATGAGGAAGAGCAGGACCAGTCCTTGTTGCAGCGAAGTTTGAATACCTTGGACAGCGTAGTAGTAAGAGCCAAAGACGAGGACGGCCAAGATGACGTTGTAAGGAACTTCGACCACGATGTTGGCCAAGATGAAGGCTTTCCAGGAGTAGGCTTTGCTGGGGCGTTCCCTGACTTCGTAGAGAGAGCGCTGGTTGACGAAGAGAGGCATGATCTGAGGGAAGTGTTAGTACAGTCTAGTGAGGCGGAGCTCGGGAAGATTTCACACACCTGTTGAACCAGAGAAGAGAAGATTGTGCAAACCATGAAGGCGGAAAAGATTACGTTCTGAAGTCCCTGTGTTGAAGAGTCGGCCTGATAGAAGGAGAAACCGATGAACAAACCGGCGCAAGTACCCAACATCCACTTGGCAAGGATGTAAGAAGGCATGCGCCAGTATTGCTGGAAAACTCTCTGCGTGACAACAGTGATCTGGGCTGTCAGGGGCATAGCAAATTCACTGAGCTCTTCCTTGGTCGGTTCGTGCTCTCTGGCTCTGTGACTCGATTTCTCGTGCAATTCGTCAATCTGGGTTTGGACGCCCTTGGCCTCTTCGCTGTTCTTCCAGACTTCGTGCCAGTCAGGGCCTTGTCCGGAAGATCCAGCGTTGACGATCTCGAGCATAAATTCTGCCGGGTTCTCTTCATCGTCACAGTGCCTGGCTCCGTTGTTCTCGAAGTAATCAAGCAGAGTTCTGGAGTTCTCTCCAATATCGCCAAAGTACACAGTCTTACCGCCCTTAGCCAGGAACAAGAGACGATCAAATTCCTGGAATAAGACGGCACTTGGTTGATGGATAGTGCAGAGGACAGCTTGACCGGCGTCGGCGAGTTTGCGAAGGAAGGCACAGATAGCCCAAGCGCTCTGAGAATCCAAACCACTAGAACTGCGTTAGTACGCAGTTGCAACAAGGAGCACTTGATAACTTACCTGGTAGGCTCATCGAGGAAGAGTAGGAGCTTAGGCTTGGCAGCAAGCTCAACGCCGATAGTCAGAAGCTTACGCTGCTCGACGTTCAAGCCTTCGCCTGGAACACCAACGACTGCCTCAGCGAAGTCTTCCATGTCAAGCATCTTGATGACTTCCTCGACATAGTCGTATTTCTCTTGCTTGGATACAGACTTTGGTTGTCTAAGCATGGCACTGAATCGCAAACTTTCACGAACAGTGGCGGTTTCGAGATGGAGATCTGAAAATCATTAGCATCAAACTGGAGTCGGAGGAAGGACGTAAGATCTTACCTTGCTGTTGAACGTAGCCACATCCTCTTTGGAAACTGGCATCAATGGGCTTGCCGTTAACAAGCATATCACCAGTTATGACACCCATAGTTGTGCGCTGAGCAAGCGAGTCCAGGAGAGTTGTTTTACCAGCTCCACTGACTCCCATGAGCGCAGTAAGTGTTCCCGGTTTGACATAACCTGATACATGATCCAGGAGTCTGCGAGGTTCACCCTTGATCTTGATATCGTAGACGACATCTCTCCAGGTGAAGATATCCTGTTGGGCAGGAATGGCGTCCACATTGTCATTTTCGGTGTGTCCAGCTGATCCTGCACCTTGGGCTCCGGCTTCTTCATCACGAGCACCCTCTTTGACTTGTCCGGTAAGGTTTGCAGGTGCGTGTCCCTTGCGGAAAACGAGAACTTCGGCAGTGCTGCTGGTCGAGGAATTGATCTCAACCGCGATGAAGTACATGGCCATGAATCCGATCAGGAAGGCGATCATGATGCCGAAATTCCTCCACACATGGGAGTAAGAATATTCATATGCCACTTGGATGTAATTGTCACCGTTGACGGTACGTCGTCCGGCGACTGCACCAGTCTGGGAACAGATAAATGAATCGCCTTGGAGGTTGGGGTAGGCTGGGATGAATTGGGAGCAGGTGAATTCTCGACCGTGGAACTCGTTGGCGACCAGAATCTCAAAGGCGTAGTAGATCGGGTCTGATGAATGTGGTTAGCTATGTTAGATTTTCGTGACGCGAGCGACTTACTGATGTAGTGAATCCATGCGAACCATGGCTTCATGTAGGGTTCTACGATACATTAGATGTGTATGCTTCCAATGAGATAATGTAACTTACGAGGCAAGACATAACCAGTGTAGATGACAAGCGCGAGAACCATGATACCGGCTAAGGTCATAGCCTGAGAGATAGTCTTGGTTACAGCCGCGAGGGTTCTGAAGACAGCTGACATGATTTGACCGACCACGAAGGTGATGAGGAAGTAGATGAAGAACTGAGATGGTTCCCTTCTAAGACCAGCCAAAAAGTAGAGAATGAGGTTGAACACGGTTGTAGTAACGAATTTGACCGGTATGTCCGCAACAACACCAGCAATCGCTTCGGTCGCTGGATGGTAGAGCGCGTAAGATTTGTGCTTTTCGACAATCGGACGTTGGGCGTAAAGACTGTTGATCTCATTCATAGCTGTGAGAGCGTTGAGGAGGACAGCGAAGAACAAAACAGCACCTTTGGACATAAAGCCTACGGTGGCGTCAGGCGTGCCATAGAAAATTGAACCAATGATGAGAGCCATAAAGACGTTGACAGCGATGGCCGATGTCGTCGACGGTAGGTCGTTCCAGATGCGTTGATAGGATCTCTTGGTGTTAAGCTTGATCTGCATGGGGACACTGATCATGTATGGCGACTTCAGGCGAGTGTGGCTTGCTTGGAATTCACCTTTGTTCTCGCGGAAGGCTTCAACCATCTTCTCCCCAGATACAGATTTTTCATGCTCATCAATTCCCTTCTCCATAGCTTTGTATGCAGATGATTCAAGCCAGTACTTTTCAAAGTCCTCCGGAGTACGAGGGACCTTGTTTTCCATGCCCTTGCGAGCTTTGCGTTCAGCAGGATTGGTGAGACCTGTCAGAAAATCGCCGGTTGTTTGACGCTGATCGCAGTTCCAACCCTGCTTCTCGAAGAAGGCACGAGCCTTGGACGCCGATCCATAGTAGATGGTGCGCCCCTCGTAGAGTACGATAGCCTTGTCGAACAAATCATAAATCTGCTGCGAAGCTTGGTAGATGGCCACAGCATGCGCAGATCCACCGAGAGCGGAAAGAGTACGGAGCGAGTTGACGAACTTGAATGCAGTAGCGGACTTGAAGACGGTTAGCTAATGCCTGATACCGGGTTGAAGAATATGGTATGCTTACGTCCAGTCCACGGGTGGAGTTGTCCCAGGCTGCCAAAGGAGACCCTGTGAGGGCCATTTCGGCGATACTGACACGCTTTCTCTCGCCACCTGACACTCCGCGAACGAAGTCGGATCCGACCTTGGTATTATAAGTGTGGCTGAGACCAAAGACTGACATGATAACCTTGGCGGTGTGAGTGGAAAACTCCTGTCTCGACATGCCACGAATACGATGCGAAGGTGTGCGTGTAGAAGCAGCAAACTCTAAAGTCTGTCCAACAGTCCTGGAAATGACATAATCAGCATGTTTCTTCTTAAGCAGGATTGGTAGCTACACTATAAGCTTCCTTTGTGCAAGATCAACTCTGCGAACAGCCGTCCAGGGCGGTGTTTCCTTCGACACACACCCGAAAAACAATTGAACAGAACTAAGCTGACACGGTTGGATAGCTTATAGTGCTTCTACCTTCTAAAGGACATTCTCACAGATGAGGGAAATGTTTGTCAACCTGTTACTAACGTTAGCATCGAACCAATATAGCGTAGGTAACGTAAAGAAGACATGAGTAGTAGCTAGGGTGGACTTTTGGGGGAGATTTTGGGGAAATTTTGGGGAAATCTTAGGAACTTTACCTCTTGGTTGTACACCACCTCGCCCTTGAACTCCTTCATCATCTGCTTCTGGCTAACACCGTTGTAGTGAATCTCAGAACCATCGTCAATGTGGAGGCCATGTGTTTCGCCGCACAATGCTTTCAAGAAAGTACTGCAGCCAGAGCCGGGACGCCCAAGGACGATGAGGAGTTCGCCAGACTTGAGGTTTCCGTTGAAGTTATGGAGAATCTGCTTTCGCTCGGCGTTCCGTGAGAAGAGAGATTTGATTGTGGCCAGAGGCTTTAATGCAATTCCAGCAACGGTGTCTTGGAGCTGCAAAGCTGCGCCTGATCCAGACACCGAGAGGTTCTTCCAGACGATACCCGCTCTGGTGGCTTTGAGGTCTTCAGCATCGAAGTCCTTGATGAAGGTGCGAAGCCATTTTTCTAGACTGAAATCTTTGGCCGAAGGATCGAGGCCAGCAGCGCTTGATGTGGTTCCAGATCGGGTCAATGTCATGAGATCGTTTCTCATGGCCTCCTGGTCCTCTCCAGGAATGTTGATCGGTGCGTAGGCGATAGTGCCATCGCTGCTGCCCCTCGAGCGGGGTGTGCTGCTTTCATCCACTTCTTCGATATCGTCCGATGATTTGCGCGAGAGCTCTGGGGCGGCGTAATTCTGCTGGGCTGCGTAGTTTTGCTGAGGTTCGTAGTTCTGCTCGTAGCTCTGGAACTGATATGGTTGTGCGCCGACAGCATCATCTGCTATTTGCTGAGTAGTGCGGTACTCCATGTTGACTGTGACGAGGCAGGGAGTCAGGAGCTGAAAGTCGGAGTAGGCCTGGAGATGAAAGAAGAAACGACTAGAGAACGCTGCTGATTGCTACCTATGTATATGAGGAGGTGTCTCTCAAGTCGTGCTTTGTTTTTGAAACGGCTTGCTTGCATGACGAACTGGGCGTATTTAAGAAATAGGGGATCCAGACTTCAGAGTTCGTTATGGTTGAGATACACGTAGTTTAGCGCCGACTATTCTGTGAAATTGTGTTCCAACGACATCATTCCGGCGATTCCATCTTGACCCCAGGACCCTAAGGGACCACGGAAGCCCAAAGGACGTTTGAATAGACTCTCGGCGTACTTGGTATCCGCCATCCGAGCCCTCCGGAAGGTAGCAAAAGGGCTCCGTCAACCTTTGAATACAAACGGTCGCACATGAATGCTCAAAGTTACGTGGAGTACATGTATAAACCGGACGAACGTCTTGCCGGACTATGGGGACGTGGAGATTATGCAAAATAGACTCATCTCATAGGGACACAGTCCAACGGGTGGCCAATACAAGGACGTTGTTTGGCTCAACAAAAGCATGTACGAAACAGTCGTATGTGTACGAGCAAGTCGTATGTAGGTGGCTGAGGCGGAGGTGCAAGAAGAAAGACCACCCCGGACAGAAGAAATTCCGACGGTGTGGGCCGCCGACATCCGACTATCGCTATACGAGCAAGTACGAGTGTCAGAACTTCATTGCTCGGAGGTTCATAACCTCCTTGCACCGCCCTGAATTTCGGTAGCTCGCAGCAACATCAGTTTCAACACTCGGATAGAACCACTTCCACACGAGCCTCGTACCTGCGCAGTCGCAGGCAACATGAAAGTGCTCTGTTTGAGAAGGACCTTGCAACCAAAACTCAAATAGGCACCCCGCTGACGCCATTGTCCTTGGCAGTGGTTGACTCAACACCACCGAAAGTTCGTCAAGCAACTTCACCAAGACTTCTCACGTCACGCATTTTACCAGAAGAGTGAAATGCTTTCGAAGCAGGACTGCCCTGTTTCCCAGCCATGGTTGGCCGCCCTCGCTCTACTGGTTGCTCAACATGTCGAACTCGGCACTTGAGATGCGGTATGAATCAGCCAAGTCGACAATGCATGACTTGAGGATTGACGGATGTCCGGTTCAGATGGAAAACGGCCAATCTGTTCACGTTGCGAAAAAGACAAGTTCGAATGCGGACCCCGCTCCGACGACTTCCAGGTGATTCAATACAGGCCTCCCAAGTCGCAGTCGCGAGAGCGCATTGTGACCGTGCCCCACTTCAGTACAAGGCCCGAACAATCGCGTCCCTTTCCTGTGACCGATGCAGATTCTGAAGCCGTAGAAACCCAAGAACCCTTCGAGGTTAGTGCAGTCGGTACGAGAGACAATGTTTTCAACGCGCTTTTGTCCGAAGCAACCACAGCCTGGAAAGGGTCGCGCGTCGCTACAGGTGCACACTTCGCAGATGTCAGCACATGGGCATGGCAGATTCTCAGCGCCGATGACGACGTCTACATCGCTCACCTAAACCATGCTTTGTTCTCACAAGAAGACTCGCGAGTCCGTTGGGTAGGGTTCAATGCCATAGCGCAGCCGGACAGTCTGTCGTGGAAGTGCCTGCTCGCGCTGTCAAAGTCATTCTACGGTCGTGTGCAGAATGAGGCAAGTATGACACGGCAAGGAATTGGCATGTATGGCCAATGTCTTACAAGCATACACAAAAGGATATTTTGTGTAGAGAAGGACGCCGTCACAGACGTGCTCTTGTCGATCTTGATCATGGGCTTTTATGAGGCAAGAATTCACCACGGTTGCTATATCGACACCTTCTCTGACGAGTGCAGATGATGCTTTGTACTAGCCATGATGCATGGATTCGCCATGGACTCGGGATATCAACACTGATTCAAATTCAGGGTCCGGAAGCGTGCAGAGACAAAACCATTTTCGAAATTTTCCGCAGCAGCCGATTTCTCATCATACTCTCCTCGTTGGCCAGTAGATGCCCAACGTATCTTTCCGGAGACCCATGGAGGACGGTGCCGTGGCAACAACAAACCGTCCCCAAAGACAACATGGATCTTCTACTTGACATCATGAGTGAGGTACCCGCACTCCGGAGTAGACTATTCAAGCTACAGGGTATTACGGGTGCGGATAACCATGAAGCGCTCTCATTTTATCAGCTCGCAGAAGATGCCTTGCAGGTAGCTTCGCAGCTACAAGTTTGGCGAAGGGACTGGGATGTCTCGCTCGAAGGCAATATCATTGAGCTTACGGAGTCAGAGCCCGCTAAACGATTGGGCGAAAATTCTTTACATTTCACCAGTCTTTACGCAGCGAATTGCTGCTCGCTGTACGACGCTTCACTCATACTGGTACTTGAGACTGTCCTCTTATGCGCTCAACCAGGCCAACTATGTCCTGGAACTGCCGCCACACTCTTCGAGAAGTCACGGCAGGCAGCGATAGAGATATGCCAAAGCCTCGACTACCAACTGCAAAACTCGCACACCAGATTAGGCCAGCTGTTCGTCCTCTGGCCTCTGCGAGAAGCCGGGAAGATACTGGCAAAAGGCAGCATCTCTGAAGAGCTTCTGCTAGAACAGCAAAAACAGAAGCTAGCCACTGGTCAGGACTCTTGGGAGATTGCAAAGTCTGCTTTTGGCAGATATGGCTGAACAGATGAACATATGTCTACATTGACGAAGAGAAGCAGCGTGGTTTCTTCTCCGCTCATCACAAATACTGGCCAACATACTGGTCCGTTTACTAGGAGCTGCACTCTCCGTTTCGATGTAAGCACTCTGAGTTACAAGAACGTTCTGCCTAGTGTCAAGCACAATCGCTCGCCCTTTCTGGTCTGAGGATAATGTGGTGGGATGATGATCTGACATGAAGGATGAGTTCGCCATGCTGTCTATCCACAAGGGATGGACTAGGCACCCCGAGACAACCAATCAGAACTCTGCCAGCGCGAAATACGCCAGAAAAAGAAACGATCTGCGATCCTTCAAAGCTTATTCCACCGGCGTCGCAACTCCCGACATGGATCAACATTTCAGATGCATTTGGCTATTCCTACTTGGGTGCATTTCCCGGTAAATAGTATATCAGAGGTCCAGTTTGGTGAACAAAGCTTCAGTTCACGAACATGTTGCGCAGCAATGAGATCCTTCCAGCGATCACAGGCGCGACAAAAGGATAAAGCAACCGCGGCCCTCTGATGTAGCTCATCTTTCCCATCCAACATTGTGCGTTGCTTCTGCTATACGTCTCATTGCACAAGCTATTTCAGATCGCTCGATTGTCTGCCATGACTCAATGCTGCTCCATCTATGGGCAGTATCCTCAGGAATTCTGTTATGAAGCACCACCCACCAAGGATTGGCAAGACTGCCCTTCGCTGATGACCTTGCCACCTTATGCCGCCAGTCGTGGTGGACATGTTCCGGGTCCATCTGAGCCTAAGATGGCTTGCTCCTCGACCACGCATGTGCAACTCCGTCCGGCCTATTCTCAGCCTACGTATCAACCTCAGTTCGCAGCCCACCAACGAAACTTCTACATTTCCTCATCCGACATGGGCCGTCCAGTCGTGATACCTCAAATTGCCCCCGGCATCGCCCCCCTCACCCGCACTTATAGCCCCTCCCTCGCATCCATGGGCATCGACATCACCACCTTTCTGAACTTCCTCGACACCCTAAACATCGCAATCTCACCTGCCCCTCCTCTGCAGATCATTGACCTAGCAGGTGGCATATTGGGCATGGTGCCCCATCATATCCCCGCTTTAGTAGGAGGAGGACTCCAAGCTAGTGCGAAAATCGCTGGCGCGGTCACCTCTAAGGCACGATCCAAAGCCGTTTTGGAGAAGGCCAACAAGGAGGTCTTTGAGCCAAGGGGGATGAAAATGGAGATCGTTGATACTGCGGAATTGAAGAGAAGACTAGGCATCACGGGATCGTTGTTGGGGACATTGGACGAACAAAGCTCTGTGCTCAGTGTTCAGCAGAGACGATTCAAGGTGTTGAAACCGTATACCGCATCTCTGGATCTCGATGTACCGATGCCAGAACAGCAGGCAAATGTCATCGACAGATTGTCTGCTGCTCAACTGAAAAGGCAGATGGCTAAGGCTGAGGAAAAAGCCTTGAAACAGAGAATGAAGGAAGGCAAGAAAGCTAACAGGAAAGCCGAGAGAAGAGCCGAGAGAGAAGAAAGGGGAAAGGACAAAGATGGGGGAAAATGCAATGGGGAGGCGAAAGGTGAGAAGCAAGATAAGGAGAGTAAGGCTGCTGAGAAGTTGCTGTGGCTGTTTATTGGGCAGGTGTGAAGTGATGTTGCTCATGTGATATTGTGCAGCGACACATGCGCGTTCACATGGAGGCTAATCTCAGGAGCAGAAGAAAAGGAGTAGTTGTCGATATCAAGCTGTCTCGAATCATGGATGCGAGGCCCTAGGATCGGTCTCATCAATATCATCATTCTCCTCAATCTCGTCTGTTCCCAGATATCCACAGCGCTTACGACTACTGGAGACGCTGCACGATGCGATTAGCTTGGATTCCCGAGGATACTCAAAGGTATTTGGCGAGGTACGACTGCAGGTAGTCATTTAGCACATGCGTCGTCGCGCTTTCTTGATACTCATAGAGTTTTCTCAAGTCTCCTCGCTCTCCATCATCATCAATTGTGACTCGTATCGATTGCTTTGATGCTATTTTTTTCGTTGCCGCATGTGGTCAGACTGTCGAACGTCTGTAGCAGATACGAAGGTATAATTGCGCTAAAGCCGACTCTGCTAATGCCAGCCTCGCTAGAGATGGAGTCATCAACTACATTCAGTATAGTTCGGTCCATTAGCTTTTCCACGTCATATTTCTCCTCATTTCTTCCATCTCTTCCCATTAATCTTACCTATCTCGCTGTTAAGGGCCTCTAGATTTACAGTCAAATTCTTATACGATCGGTTTTTACAAACATTTCCCTCATCTGTGAGAATGTCCTTTAGAAGGTATAAGCACTATAAGCTATCCAACCGTGTCAGCTTAGTTCTGTTCAATTGTTTTTCGGGTGTGTGTCGAAGGAAATACCGCCCTGGACGGCTTTGTTCGCAGAGTTAATCTTGCGCAAAGGAAGCTTACAGTGTAGCTACCTCATTCGGAGCGACCACGAGCGCCAAACACATAAACATCATCTAAATCGCAACCCACTTGCTTCGCAGCCAATCTTTTGCCTTGTGACTCACCAATTTCGTCGCATTTAAGTCCCTTGTATTGCAACTTACCACGCCTCACTTCTGCGTCTCAACCAGGAACGAACTCACTCCTATTACAGTACCCTAAATTCCCATGTCTCCTTCGAGGAGACAGTCAGCGGGAACGGGATAACCACCATGGGCTTTCGATACGCCTGTGGCCCTGAGAGCGGCGCCAGTGAGCATAGGTTTCTGAACGCGAGAGTCCAGCGTGAATGGGATGATAGTAGGCGATGTCAGATCTGAGAAGTCGCGCAATGGCAAGTGCAAAATTTGATTCACTGTGATTTTGGTAGGTGTGCCCTCTATGTCGACGTCAAGAACGCGTGTAGCGGGCGTGAGATATGGCATCTCAGAGACAAGTCGAAAGTCGCGGAGGACACCTAGGCGATTCGGATGGGGTGGTATTTCTAAGACGTGCTTGACTGTGCCTTTGGAGGGTGTGTAGTTTTCCTTGACGTCGGGCTTGAGACGAAGGCCCGCGTCGATAGCCGTAACGAACATGTTGAGGTTTCTTGATCGATTATCACGAGCAACACCAAACTGTTGGCCGCTAAAGCCAGTCAGAATGGCCTCGTCAGGAGCTTCCGTAGGTGTGAGCTTCGACGTAAACTTGACGCGCTTCTTTGCACGTGCCTGGGCGGCTGGAGCAGCGATCGTGTTCAGAGGTTCCGCGGGAGCGGAAGTGACAGCAGATGTAGATGTTGCATTCGTACGGTTTACAGGAGTGAAGAAACTGTTGATGGGCCTGGCAGGAGCAGAGCCGATGCCGCTGCCTTTCTTGGGTGCCATGCTCTAGCGAAGATGCATGGGATGGGAATGCAGAGGTGATGATAGCGAACTCGCAGCTGGCAGAGAAGGCAGAAGATATAGCTGAGGAAGACGATAGCGTCTCACGACGAGCGATTGTGATGAGAACGCCGATGGGACAACTGGACGAAGATCGAAATGCTGAAGAATTGTAGAAAGATTGTGTGCAACACACTAAACAAGAGAATTTCTCTTGGAGTCGTTTGGTTGTGTTGGTATGATAGGGCACAGACGACGTGCGCAAGACCGCAAGCAACCTGATTCACTTTTTTCTTATTTTGAGCGACTCTTTCGGAAGATTGGGCAATGCGACCTACCTTTTGCGTCGCAACTCTTCTTCACCGTCTCAACCATCCGTTCACTTTGCAGCCTGCCTTTGGCATCGCAACTCTTCTTCGCCGTCCCAGCCATCCTTTCACTTTGCAGCCTACCTTTCGCATCGCAACTCTTCTTCAGCGTCTCAACCATCGCTTCACTTTGCAGCCTACCTTTTGCGTCGCGAGTCTTCTTCTCCTTCTCCACCATCCTTTCACTTTAACCTACAATCATCGCAATGGACGCTCCCAACCCCGCAACCCTAAAGTACTTTGGTCCTCATCTTAAAGGCGACACGAATACCGATCATGTTGAATACCACAAGGCTCAAGATCTCTTCAACGATCAGAAAGAGGACGAATGCGCAGCGATTTGTCGCGCTAGAATCAACACCAGTCCACCCATGTTTTGGGAGGCCAAGTACCTTACCTTGCTTTCTGCCGCGACCGATAGCTGGCACCGAGCTGAGAGATACCGTCTGCATGCTGAGAGCCTCTGGGATCGCTTGTGGACCCACAGATACGAGCACATGATAATGCCGAACGTCATGAACCAGATGCGCAGAGAGTTGACTGCTGTGCTCGAAGCCCAGGAGGGAGGTGGACCCGATGAAGAGGAAGAGCTGGAAGAGTACTGGAATGAATGGAACAAGGACAAGCTGCTGGACGCAACCGTGTTGAACGCCGTCAAGGACGCCAGCGCCAGCGCCAGCGAGGTTGATTCTGGAAGCGGCCTGGCGACCCATGGCACTGAGACTGAGGCCACCGAGGCCACTGCCACCACTGCCACCACTGCTAGTCACGCCGATATCGAGAACGAAAAGAACATCGCCAACATCGCCAGCGAAGAATAGGCCGCCCTCGAAAAGAAGAACGCCGCAAGACTCGAGAAACCCATCCGTGCGCTCAGAAAGTACGGTCACGTGCGTGCTAAGTCAGCACCCGCTGATGCACGCGGCTTCCGCCAACTCTCCGTGAGCATCTCACCAAACATGTAAGCTTGAAGGTTCCTTGTTGATTAATGCGTGAGGGCTTCGCTTACCTTGTGTTCTGTAGTGTCTCCAACATTCGTCAGCGCTTTGAAGACCTTGAGATCGACCATTCCGATGAGATGGAGGAATAAGCGGTTGGAGAAGAACATCGCCGGCGAGGAAGAGGCCGCCCTCGAAAAGGAGAAGACCGCCAGACTCAAGAAACACATCCGCCCGCCAACTCTCCGGGAGGAATGAATGGTTAGATTAGAGAGCGGAGAGTACTTGCGCATACCATATTCATTAGCAACAATGTGACCAAAGAACCATCAAGATTTCTCACCAGACTTCTCACTAAATATGACTGACTTGCCTGTTTCATCAACAGTATCCTCAGCGCGCTCCAGAGCACCGTCGCATCAAGACTTCGCTTGTCTCGCCTCGCGCACGCGCACTCCCTTAGCCTCCTCGCCACGAGCGCTCTCCTCGGGGGAGAGGTTCAACTATGGGGTGTAAGTTAACCGATGGAATTCATGGTAATCAGAGGTAATTAGCTAAGTTAGAAAAGGCTAGCTATCTATGTAAGCGCAGTTTGTAATACAAACTGTCGAGTCACTAACTCTGATCAAGCCTACCGACGACCCTTTCCCTGCGTGGTATACCTGCTGCGTGATTTGAAGTGTCGTTCGATAGCAAATTATGCTGTACCATGTCGCGTGTAGTTTCCAAGGTCAAACTAGTACGTAGTATCGCCTTCTTGGAGTAAATGAGCAAGGAATAGTAGTCTGATTGGGCCTCGAACCTCATATCCGCAAGCTGCCCAATTCAACCCAACTCCTGCATTACCAAAGCAAAGCATGTAAACAAGAGCAGCTGCTTAATCACTTTCCTCCATCACATCGGATTCGTCAATCTCAAGGTCTTCATAGCGCTGACGAATACTGGAGATACTACAGCACATAAGGTAAGCGGAGTCCTCATGCATATGTAAATAAAAAAGGAATCTTACATGTTTGGTGGAATGTTCACGAAGGGTTGGCGGGAGCCGCGTGTGGATTGACCCTCAAGCCGCGGCGATACGCACCGTTCTAGCCATCAAAATGCACAATGATTTTGACTAAGGGGACATTGTCCACAGAGAGCGCCTATCTAACGGCCTCTCCTTGGACCTGGCTCTACTTTCGAAAATCATCGTGCATTTTGACAGCAGTGTTAGTGACAAAACTTCGGCACACGGGGAGGTGTTATTAGCGGCAGGAGGCGAGACGAGCAGCTCGAGATTTGTAATACATGGGTCGCTAACAATTGTTGATTCTAGCCTGATGAGCAAATCGATAAATTCTTGGACGACGAAGGAAACATGTTCGCTTGCTGCTTCCACCAAGATGGGGAAACCAGGGGTGTCATTGTCGCGTCCATCTGGACAGTTCGAGGTAATCAATACGTTCTTGCTTTACAACAGACTATTCACACGACTTATGGGAGATACATGGAGATGAAACAGAACCTAACTTTTATGAATGGTAAAAGACGTGCTCATAAGCTCGTCCAGGGGGTATCTACAAAATACCATATGCAAAAAAAGCTAAATGATCGAGACAAAAACGAAACTATATGTACAAAGACTGTCCAGTCAGTTTAACCAGACAGGAACTTGTATGGGTTCATAATGCCTTTCTAAATGATTATTAGCAAATTATTTCGATGCAAAGAAGTAAAGTCAAAAACTTACGGGGTCATAAAGATCCTTGATCTGGCGCATGAGCTTGATCATTGTCTCGTCACGGCTGTATCCAATGAAGGGTGCCTTGGCGATACCCAAACCGTGCTCGGCACTGATACTGCCACTGCGCTTGGCTACCCACTCGTAGACGAAAGGCTCAAGCTCCTTCTCGACTGCTTTGTCGTAGCGGCGAACGGGAACGTTGAGGTGAAGGTTGGCATCACCCATGTGGCCGTATCCAACAACGTCAACGATGGGGTAGTCGTCCGTGTCACCGATGAGACCGGCCTTGTCCATCCTCTCACGAGTCTCCTCGACCAAGGCGTACATCTCGCTGATGGGAATGGACAAATCGTACTTGTAGACGCCACCCCAATGGCCGAGATGTTCAGGAACACCTTCTCTGCAGCCCCAAAGCTCACGAGACTGGGTCTGGTCCTGAGCGACGACGCCGTCGCTCACAATCTCCTCGCCCATGACGTGCTCGAGGAAGGCCTCAAGCTTCTCCTGGTCGTGATCGCTGTTGCTTCCAGAGGTCTCTACAAGACAGTAAAAGGGGTGCTCGTTCTCGAGGGGCAGGCCGTTGCCGCTAGCGGTCTTGTACAAGTTCTGACTGCGGCCGTCCATGAGCTCAAAGGCGGAAAGAATCTCACCGAGCATGCCCTTGGCTTCAGAGAATGCTTGTTGAACCTTTTCAAAGGACTCGAGACCGAAGTAGGCGACATTCGTGGCCTGGCTACGCTGGGGGCAGAGAATTGAGATGGCAGTGATCATGCCAATAGTTCCCTCAGCACCAATGAAGAGCTGCTTGATGTCGTAACCAGTGTTGTCCTTGCGCAACTTGGACAAGTTGTTGATGATGGTGCCGTCGGGAAGAACGGCCTCAATTCCAAGGACGTTACCGTGCAGACTGCCGTAACGCAGAAGACGGAGACCACCAGCGTTGGTTGCAACGTTACCACCGATCTGACATGAACCCTTGGCACCCAAGTCCAGGGGGAAGATGTGCTTTCTCTCGGCGAGATAGTTGTCGGCAACCTCGAGAATGACACCGGCGTCAGCGACCAAAATACCAGAAACCTCATCAAAGTCGCGGATCTGGTTCAAACGGGCCAAGTTGATGACAATCTCGTCGAAGACGGGAACACTTCCACCAACAAGACCGGTGTTGCCACCTTGGGGAACGACAGCCAGCATGTTGTCATTGCAGTATTTCAAGACCTTGCTGACTTCCTCTGTGTTTCCAGGCTTGACGACCAGTTTGGTGTGACCCTTGTACTTGCGCATCCAGTCGGCGTTGTAGGGCTCAATGTCCTCCGAAGCATCCTTGCTGACGCCATCGAGGACAGCAGACTCGTTGCCTAGGGTGTCCTTGAACCATTGGACGTGTTCGGGGGTGAGTTCGGCAAAGTTGGGGTTTCTCTTGAGGTCCGGGTATGAGTCGGAAGTGTATTTGATCTTGCGGGCGGGGGCTTCGGGGCCCTTTGTTCCAAGGTCGGGATGCGGTTGATGGGGTTCTGAGGTGGCAGAAGTCGTGGGCTCGTTCTTTGTGGTTTCGAAGCGTCTCTGGCCGGCAAAGACGGAGCGGGGAGCAGTGCGGGCAATGGCGGCGCGGTTGAAGGCGAAGTTGGCCGCTCTGATCTGGCGCAATGCCGGGGCGCAGCGGTGTAGAGGGGCCATTATGGATATTTGGTTAAGAAGTGCAAAGATGAAGCAAGAAATGGCACAGGCAAAGGAAAGGGAGGGATGGGAATAAAGAAACACAAAAATTGTATCCGCATCATCTTCGCCGCACTCGCTCTCGCATGCAATCGTCAGTCCCGACTCCCGCACGTCGAGCTCGGCTTGTGCCGCCGCTTTGGTCCAACGCGAAGCTCCCGGAAGCTGCTGTCTACACCCGCCATCTAGCCAGGAAGTCGTCTTGTCTATACAGCTGTGCAATCTCATCCCGTCTCTTCATCTGTTGCTTTGTTTCGGTCGCCTTCCATCTCATCCTAGCCTCCCGTCACTCCTCACACATCATCCACCATGGCCAGCGGTTACGATCGTGCTCTGTCCGGTATGCGATGACGCCAGTCCATCTGACACAGAAACATCCAAATACTTACTCATCACCCAGTCTTCAGTCCCGATGGACACGTCTTCCAGGTCGAATATGCTCTCGAAGCTGTCAAGCGCGGTATGCCATCTCTTCAAATCATACAATACACAATCAGACGACTGATTGCCTCCCAGGAACTTGCGCCGTCGGTGTCAAGGGTGACAAGATCGTCGTCTTGGGTTGCGAGAAGCGCAGTGCCATGAAGCTCCAAGATACCCGCATCACCCCCTCAAAGATTGGTCTCATCGACAACCACGTCTGCCTCGCCTTCGCTGGTCTTAACGCCGATGCCCGTATCCTTGTCGACAAGGCCCGTCTGGAAGCTCAGAGCCATCGCTTGACCGTCGAAGATCCCGTCTCTATCGAATACATCACAAAGCACGTCGCCCAGGTCCAACAACGCTACACTCAGTCTGGTGGTGTCCGTCCCTTCGGTATCAGTACCCTCATTGTCGGCTTCGACCCCAACAGCACCGAGGCTAGACTATTCTACACCGAGCCCAGTGGTATCTACTCTGCATGGTTCGTCTACTCATCATCCTCCCACCCGTCTGATCATTCGTACTAATAACCTACAAACAGGAAGGCAAACGCCATCGGCCGCTCATCCAAGACTGTGCGCGAATTCCTCGAGAGAAACCACAAGGATGGCATGGACCGTGAGGAGACAATCAAGCTTACCGTCAAGTCATTGCTCGAAGTTGTGCAGACTGGCGCAAAGAACATTGAGATCGCCGTCATGGCACCCGGCAAGCCCCTGGAGATGCTCAAGGTCGAGGATATCGAAAAGTACGTCGAGAGCATCAACAGCGAAAAGCAAGACGAGGCAAACACGAGAAGAGGTCCTCGTGCAGGAGGTCAGGCTGGAGGTGCCGGAGCACAGGGCAGCACAACAGGCCCTGCGGTAGGCACTGAAGCCGTGCTGGCTAGCAGACCGGCAGGCGACGGTAGCGGCGCACCTCCGGAGTAGATATGACTTGCATTCGGGGACACAGCATTGGCGTTTTATGGCAAATTCAAGATATCATGGATGCATGATGAGGCAGAGGCAAATGAAAAGAGTTAATACATGATTGATGTTTATGATTCGTGAATTCGTTGTTCTGTGTTGCGGCGTGAGACGATGTTCAGGCCGGATATGTGCAATGGATCAATCTTGAAGAGGACCCAAGGAGATGTGACGCGACAAGTTTAACCCAATCTCTCGCTTGCTTCCTTCAAACTCCAGATGGTCTGCTGCTCTTCCTCACGCACACGCTCGTCCTTGACGAAGCGGGCATCCTTTCTGACATCCTCACTCTCGACCTGGAGTCTAGCCTGCGGTGTCTTTGCCTCGAGGACGAAGTGGTTGTCGCAATGCGGGCAGTATTCGTCACTCTCCTCGAACTCTTGAACATCCTTGCGGAAAGCCTTTCTGCACTTCTTGCAAGCAAAGACCATTTCGAGGGTGGGCTTCAGGTCATGTGTCTCTGATTCGGCGTGGCATTCTGCGCAGTCAAACCATTTGCGGCCTGTGGTTGTATGTGTTAGTTCTGCTATTCCCGGCCAGGACGGAGGTGATGCGGGTGGACTTGCAGCAGGGTGAGCGGATCGAGACTTGAGCGTTGAGAACATGTTTGCTAGGAAAGAGTTAGATTATGGCCGAGTGACAGGCAAGAGCATACTCACCACATGATGGGCGACTTGTACGAGGTCTGTAATGGGAAAGAGGAAGGTGGGACGCAAGTTGCTGTACTGTAAGCAGCACAAAGTTGGGATAAGACAATTGTGTTCAGCGTCGGTGCAAGAAGCGTGTCACAAAATATAAGGTTCTGGCAATTGCAGCGGCGATCATCAGGGCACGGATGCACAGAAGGCAGTTGCGAAATCCGGGGCAGCAGGCGCAGCCAATCAAGCCAATTTGGGCAAGAACAAGCGTGGCATACGCATACCGACGGTAATTACGAAGTCACGACAGAAGAGCCAGCTTGCGACATTGAAGCCTGCCAAATCTCTGACACGACCTATCCATACACAGCACTTCTCTTTAATCTCCGTCTCTCCGCCCTATTGTCCTACCCGCTTGCGACGCGACTTCGCCCTTCTCCGTTCGTCCAGCTCCCGGCGCGCATACCTCCTGCATCCATTCATCTCGCCGAAGCCGCAGCCGCCCGACGACGCAGACATCGGCTGCTGGCCACGACCTGACCATGTGCTATTGCAAAACCCAACAGTCATAGCTAGCGACGACATTGACTCATCCTCCATCCGGCCGCCATGGCCAACGACGACCAGGTCAAGGACGAGTCGTCCATCAAGCCTGTGTCGTCGCTACGCTCGCGCTTTGAAAACATGACGACCCAGTGTCAGCCTGTTCAGTCTACGCCTCCTCCATCCGTGCGCCGCTCTCTCGACCTTCCGCGACCCCTCCCACGTCCTGATCCCACGCCCGACAACACTTCACAAGCCTCGAAGAAAGCGAGGCCTCCCCCACCAAGAGCGCGTCCAGTGTCCACGGCATACCCTCTGACTCCGCGTCACTCTCCTCCTACCGTTAGTGTACAGTCTCCCGCTTCTCCTCCTAGGAACCTCGACATCCGCGTCACCAATGCGACTCCCTCTAAATCTCCTCCCACTTCTACCCTGTCAACTCCTGGCTCCAACAATGCTTCTCCTGCGGGCTCTATTCGTCACTTCCGCACACCGAGTCGAGTAACCACGCCAGCCTTGGAAGCCCGTATGTCGGCTTTCTTACAGTCTTCGCAGTCTTCAGCATCGACGCCCGTAGAAATCAAGCCTCAGTCGAATGGAGAACATAGACCAAAAAGCCCAAATTTTGGAGGCCCTCCGCCTGTGAATCGCGCCGGCAAACCAAAGATCGGTAATTTACCCTCTGCGAGTGTTGAGAGTCTGGCACCTATGGTTGCGTCCAGGACAGGAAGTACTCAGATTTCTCCTTTTGGTACACCCCCAAGCAGTTCCGAGAGTACCCCTCACGCCGAGCAAACCATCCCTGCTATACCTACCGACTCGAAACCCAGGAATCAGTCTGCTTCTCATGGCTACTTTGCTGGTGTCGTGGCTCCTCGCCCTGCTCCGGTACAACATCGTAACCCTTCTCCCAAGCCTCTGAGCCGCTCGTATGACTCCTCTTCTTTCCATCCTTCTCGACTACAACAGATTCCTCAAAGGGCGCCAATATCCGTTCAAGATGGTACGAATGAGGAAGAGGCCCCGTCACTACCGCCTCGACCTGAGCGCGAGATGCATTCTGGACGTACCAGTCCTACACGCTTTAATAATAAAATCCCTGCTCGACAATCTCTGGACATACCTCGTCGGGCCAGTGCTGTTGCTGCTAATACAGACAGTACCATGATGCCGCCTCCACGTCGGACCCAGCCACCTCCTCTTCAGACTTCCGCGTCTGCTCTCTCTCAAGGTTTCGATAGAAGACACTCGGTCACACCTGCTGCCACTCCCTCGAGCAGTAAACCGCCCCCTCCTGCTATACCTGCTCCTCGCCGTTCGGTAGACACCCGCCGTGAAGATTTTAGAAGTATTCCATCCACACCGATGTTGACGCATCATGCCGACGACGTCGAAGACCCTCCTGTCAACTATCCTGGCGGTAACCCTCAGGATTTCCCGGATGCATCACAAGCAAACAGACGCCCTCCGCGGTTCAAGAGTCGCCCTTGGGATATCAATACAGGTTACGATACCCGCACCTTTGCAGTGTGTGGAGACTTGGTTTGCACGACTGGCTACATTACGCGTGTATGGAGTCTGCGTACCGGTGAATCGTGTCTTACGCTATCGCATGGTGATAATGTCAAGGTCACTGCGTTGGCTTTTGCGCCAACCGCGGATGCAGAGGATGAAGGACGAAGACTCTGGCTCGGTACGAACATCGGTGAGATTCACGAGGTTGACATTCCAACTCAGTCTATTGTTCGTTCAAAACCCAACGCACATCCTCGACGAGAAATCATCAGAATTTTCCGCCATGGATCTGAACTCTGGTCCTTGGATGACGACGGCAAGCTAAATGTTTGGTCTCCAGGCTCGACCGGCATGCCCAGCTTGGACACCATACCGACCACTTTCAGAGCTCTCCGAGGTCACTCGTGTTCAGTCATTGTAGGAGGTCATCTCTGGCTTGCTGCAGGAAAGGAGATTAGGGTCTTCAAACCTAGCGCAGCTACAGAAGCGGCTTTCAATGTCTTGCAAAAGCCACTTGTGGCCGAAGGAGCAGGCGATATAACTGCTGGAGCTATTATACCCAGCAAGCCGGACCTGGTGTACTTTGGTCATGCTGATGGCAAGGTCTCGGTCTACCAACATCGTGACTTCAAGTGTGTTGGTGTGTTCAGCATCAGCCCATATAAGATCAGCTCCTTAGCGGGCGCTGGTGATTATCTCTGGGCTGGTTATACTGCTGGAACTATATTTGTATATGACACATCCACGACTCCTTGGCGAGTCATGAAGGACTGGGTTGCTCACGACAATCCAATCTGCAGTATACTCACGGATACACAGAGCATTTGGAAGATGGACAACCGCTTACAAGTTGTCAGTCTTGGCCTTGATAATGCTATCAGAGTGTGGGACGGGATGCTTCATGAAGACTGGTTAGAGACCAAAATGCAACAGAACGACAGCGAGTTTTGCTCCTTTGAGGAGATCACTGCAGGTGTACTCACATGGAATGCTGGTGCTGTAAAACCCAACCACCTTAAGGGCAGCGAAAGAGACGCTGCCTTCTTCAGAGACTACTTTTCCTCGAACACACCTCCAGACATTCTTATCTTCGGCTTCCAAGAATTAGTGGACCTTGAGAACAAGAAAGTCACAGCTAGTACGTATACCTTCTTACCCGGCCATTTCGATCACGAGTACTAATGTGCTTGCAGAGAGCTTCTTCAAAAGCAGAAAGAAGGACCCCACAGAACAAGAGCACATGTCACATCAGTACAGAGCCTGGCGAGATCATCTCACTAGATGCATTGAAGATTTCATGCCAGCCACTCATGGCTACACTCTGTTGCACACATCCAGCATGGTCGGTTTGTTCAGCTGTGTGTTCGTCAAGACATCGCTCCGAGCCCGCATCAAGCAAGTGCACACCGCAGAAGTCAAGCGTGGCATGGGCGGTCTGCATGGAAATAAGGTAAGTCATCGAGTGATCCGTCTTGGTTTCGCATTTCCTAATACCGATCACAGGGTGCGTTGATCATCCGTATGATTGTAGACGACAGTTCTGTGTGTTTGATAAACTGCCATCTTGCCGCGGGCCAGACTCAGACGCTTCATCGTAACAACGACGTTGCTGCAATCCTTGAGGCTGAGTGCCTTCCCGTAGCAGCTGTCAGCAATACAGCTGGAACATTTGTTGGCGGTGGTGACGGCAGCATGATTTTGGACCATGAGATTTGTATCCTCAATGGTGATCTCAATTACCGTATCGATGCGATGCCACGGGACACAGTCGTACGCGCCGTCAACGAGAGAAATCTTGCGAAGCTGCTTGAGCGCGATCAGCTGTTGCTGTCGCGCAGGAAGAATCCAGCGTTTAGACTACGCGTGTTCCAGGAACTGCCCATCACATTCGCGCCAACGTACAAGTACAATGTGGGCACTGACGATTATGATACAAGCGAGAAGAAGCGGGCTCCAGCATGGTGCGACAGAGTACTTTACAGAGGCATGGGCAGGATTAAATGCGAAGACTACAGACGATGGGAAGTCAGAGTCAGCGATCATCGGCCAGTTAGTGCACGATTGCGGATCCGCATCAAGAAGGTCGACGAGCAAAGACGGGTAGCAGCGTGGAGCCGACGAGAGAAGGAGTTTGAAAAGTACAGCGGACGGATCGCTGGCGAGGCCAAGTAAGTTGATCCTTGGGTCTGATGTCGTATGTGAATTGGAAGCTGACACACTCCATAGGCTGGACTACTTGACAAACATCCTAGGGCTCCCACGGAAAGAAGCTATGAACCTGTTGAAAGGATAGTTAATGGATCGTCGGAGGAAGGAGGCTGAAAAAGAAGAGTAGATTTGAGCCGCACCATCACGCACTAATTTCATCCTTCGATCGTGTGCCCTTGATCTTGCTGATCTTGGGACTTGATACCAAGCACATGAGGCTCTGCTATCCAACATATGCCAAGCACAGATACTACTTGCGACGACTGGCTACAGCGTGTTTATAGACACACCGGGCCAGTAAAGCTCTGGAGAAGGTGAGTGACATGCATGAGCAAGCTTTTTGAGCAACTTGTCTCATCTCCATGACTTGGTAGACTTATATTATCATGATCTTGAAACATGTTGGTTGAGAACAAGAGAGAAAAGCGCGGGATAAGAAAACCCCACGCGTTTGGTATCAGTTCCCGTTCTGTCGTAAGTAGCTGTCATCCATCGCGCATACAGCTTGAGCACGGGACAATGACATCACAAAACACAACATGTCATTGGAAACAAAAAGAACGACTCCAAGCAGTGATGCGGCAGGTCTCGTTTGTTCCCTGCATCCCTTTATCTAACTTTCCATCCCTCCAATGTCAGCAAGACCCTTTACATCTCTCCCTCTCAAGGCATTGTCAAGAGTCGGTTTCCAAACAGCCTCTCTCCACACCAAGTCAACACCCCTCTTCACCCGCCTTTCTACCCCGCGTATCGTACCGACCGTCGCCAGACAGTCAAACCGTTTCTCAAGCAGTTTCCAGGACGAAAAGCAAATCATGGATGCCAAGGAAGCAAGAGGCGAGAAGCCTGAGAAGCCAGTCGAGGATTGGCAGAAGCGTGCACCCTACAAGATCCACGAGAAGAACGAGAACTTCAAGGCCAGATATGAGGCAAGCTGTCACTGCGGCAAGGTCCAGTACCAGCTGAGCAGAGAGGAGCCTCTCGACTCCAAGTTGTGCCATTGCACCACTTGCCAGACCCAGCACGGTATGTGTCTCTACGTCGATTGACATGCATTGGACCTCGTACTGACGTGACCCTTCAGCCGCACCCTTCCAATGGGCTGCAATTTTCCACAAGGACGATATCAACTTCTCCAACGGCCACCACGATCTTGAGTGGTACGACCCTAGCGAGAAGTCGATCGAGCACAAGCTTCCCTGCAAGGTTCGCTGCTCCTTCTGTCACAGTCCCATCATGGACGAGGGTAGAAACATGATCTTGCTCTTCCCCAGTCTTGTTCACCTCAAGAACGACGAGGACAAGGCCAACTTCAAGCCTAGGTATGCTTCGCCTTGACCATCTCGGTGACACAAACACAATGCTAATCCATACTCAGATGCCACATGTTCTACGGCCAGCGTGTCATGGACATCCCTGACGGTCTGCCCAAGTGGTCCGGTCTCAACGACACCAGCGACCTCATCGAGGACAGCCCACCAGAACTCGTCCGCGAGAACGAAAGAAAGCGTGAGGCTGAGAGAAAGGAGAAGTTCGAGAAGGGCGAGAACAAATAAAGCAAATCGCTGAGCACTGCTTTTGTTGCGCTATGATGTTATGAAAAAGTAACTAGCACATTGCTGTTACCACTACTACAGTTGGAAGAGAGTACAGCCTCTTTTAGTCTCAGAGACAAGAGGCCGTTTTTGGAACGATTGGAAATGAAGAACATGAAATCTCCCGACTGCTGCTACTTGAGTCTGATTCTGTATGCAATTCTTGCTTGCATGTGCTGACCAGCTCTTATATGTGTCTCCAGTCCTTGCGTGATTGTTAACTGGCATCACATGTTTCGCGTTCCCAGCATCTAACGATCTTTTCGATACTATTCCCATTCGTTCACCTCTACTTGAATCCTCACTCTTCTTGTCGTCGCCTCTCCACGTCGTCCCGTCGATTTGCACAGACCGCCCGCCGACTTTTGGCCAAGTCCGCTGCCGGATTGGTCACCCTGACGGCGTTTTTCCAATCACTTCCACACCCTTTTCTACACCACAACGACGACAAACTAGCAATCTGAACAGCTCAGCCTTCTTTTCTCGAGTCTGTTTCACTGTTGTATTAACCTCACCTTCCTGTCGAACGCGTTGAGGATCTTCTCTACGGTTTCGGCTTTCATCTGGAAAGCTGGTTGTGCTTGCACGCTCGCTTATCCAATCACCACGCGTGACATAGTCTTGCGCCGGTGAGATCAATTACTCCATCCACCACACCATCAACAACTACGCTCCCTTCCCTCATCGTTAGTCCCGTCTTTTCCCTCACTCCTCCCAGTTGTCTTTGCGTCAAGCCAAGGTTCTCGCAGCTTGGGATCCATCCGACTGACAACCTCCTTCAGCTTTCGCTTCTTTGCGACCATAGCACGTGCGTCACTCCCATCATCGCAAGACCGAAACTCCAGCATACCTCTTGCGTTCAAGATCTTTCCTTTCTTCCTGTTGAACCTTAGCTTGACGCCTAGGTTCAACAGACCTTGCTTGACGCCTGCTTTCACGAGCATCGCACGTGATCAAGCACTCTGGGAAAAGATCAACTCTTCGAGACGCATTCGGTTCGAGATCTTTGCTCTTGCTCTTGTTCGTATCATCTGAGTTGTCTCAAGACGCATAACAAGTGCGACTTCCTCGACAACAAGCGTTACTGCAAGCAATTCTTGCAGTCTTGACGCATATTTCATCGCAAGAAACTCGGTATATCCGGACCTCATCACCTTTCCAGACGCATTGCGTTCAGCATCCTTGCTCTTTCTCTTGTTCAACCTAACCCAGGTTGTCTTTCGTCGCATAACAACTGCGACTTCCTGACGACAACATAGTCGCCAGCTCAGACAAGACTTTCCTCCACGCAAATCTTGTAAGTTTTCGAGAACATCGCATCTTGACCAAACCCGAAAACGTCTTCTCAAGTCGTTCTTTCCTCTCCATCTGGGTACGTTTTGCATCTCTTCCTTCCTTTCCCCTCTCTATAACGATAAAGTATGGTTACCCAATGCGGCCAAGCACCGAACGCCGATCAACCTCTCAATTTCACGCGTCACACCAACTTCCCCACACGTTCTGTCGCGTCATCCCAGGCCTCTTTTTGCCCACGCGGAAGAAGGAGAAGAGCAATACCCTCCCCAGAAAGCCAAAAGACAATGATGCCTTGAGGAAAAGCACTAACCGCTGGTCCAGTCGACCATTTTAGGGCCTGCATCAGCGACGCAATTCTTCCATACCGAACAAAGCTCGCAGCAAACATGGGTCCGAAGCGTAGACACCACAGCGAAGGCAAAGTCGAGAGGACGCTTAAGAAGGCACGCCTGCCTGATCCTGAGCCCGAATCCGAATCCGATCCTGAGCCCGAGATTGAAGACGGCGAAGCCTCCGAAGATGTCGAAGTCTTGGGAGAGGGCGAGTACAAGGTCCGCAACATCGTCGCCGAAAAGGGAAACAAGTACCGTATCGACTGGGAAGATGCTCCCGATGGGACAACTTATGACAAGACTTGGGAGCCCAAGGAGAACGTCAATCAAGCCGCCATCGACGACTGGGAAGAGAAGAAGAGACTGAAAGAGGAGGCTAAGAAGCAGCCAAAGAGAAAGAGTCGTGTCTCTACGCTTGGTCGTACTTCTACAGTCGATCATACTTCCACAGTTGGCCGCGCTTCTAGAGCTGGTCGCTCTTCTGGCGCTGGACATTTCTCCGAGGCTCCTATCCAGATTGACGACGACGATGACTCCGAGGATGACATGCCGCTGAAGAAGAAGATAACAGCTTCTGGCTCGAAGCCTCCTGTTGTCTTGAAGATTCACAGAACTTCTAAGCCGATCGTCGAGGTGTCACCACCTGCCTCGAAGCTGTCCGGATCGTTGATGAAGAAGCTAGGGAGACCGCGCACGTCGCTACAGTCAGCACAGGACGACGAGGAAGATATGTCCACGGAAACTCCTGCACCTGCTATGCGTTCTGTCGGTAGACCGAGAAAGTCTTTTACCGAAGCTGTTCGACAAGGAAGAGACCAGGATCGAGACAACGAAGACTCGCCGGAATCCCAGTATGGAATTGACGATGAAGCTGGACCGTCTGCAGTACACCAGGGACCTGCCAGGCCCAAAGGTTTCCGACTCTCCAAGCCCTCCAAGGACGACATCGAAGAAGGCCCTAGCAACAAACAGCAGCTCGGACGTAAGCCTCGCAGATCAAGTTCCTTGCTCTTCGTTGGTGATGGCGAATCATCAGAAGGCGAAGTCCAGAATGTCCCTTCCAGACAGAACTCAGCCTCTCCCTCAAAGCCTCTGCCCAGAAAAAGCATTTTCATGATGTCCGCCTCGGAGGATGATTCAGAAGCTCCGCTCAAAATCCAAAACGTACGAAAGCGACGCGTGATTGCAGAGTCTTCTGATGATGAAGTCCAACACATCAAGGAGGGTGTTCAACACACGGAGCCATCCGCCGCCCCTAAGAGGGGCAGAGGAAGGCCCAGAAAATACCCCCCTCCGACACAGAAGGATCAAGGACCAAAGCGATCAAGAGGACGTCCTAGAAAGACTCCTGTAGCGGTTGCACGGAGCCCCGTGACTTCAGCTGCCACGTCTCGTAACGAAGAGATCGGAACAACAGAAATTGACGACAGTGATGCTTTTGATCCAGCTGCTGCACAACTTCAACGCGAGGTCCGGTCCGCTCGTAAGACATCGCCCCGCCAACCCTCGTCGGAGTTCGACGAGGGAACTAGTGAATTTCGCTCATCGCAAATTTTGAGAGATACCCAGCCAGAGCCCGCTCGCTCTGCAGAACAAGTTACGGCTGTCGAGAACGTTGAAGAAGAAGAGTCGGAAATCATGGTTGATGCTGCCGCTGCATCCAGCTTGTCGCAGAAGAACTCTCCCTACGAACCAGAGACTACTTCACAGTCTATTTTTGATAGCAATGACAGCTCGACAGGCTTGGCGATCAACAGCTCTTCGAGCGTGCACACGCTACAAGTGCCATTTGCACGTCGTTTTGGTGCCGATGTCATCATCCCAGACTCGCAAAGCTATCTCGATGCGAGCAGTGTTTACATATCTGAGCATCAAGTTGAGCCTGGACCGCAATCTGATGTAGAGATGGAAGATTGCGAGGACGAATCAACTGAGAGTCAGATTGCTGTCGTTATGCAGCAGGCGATTGAGCAGCAGACTCCTATGGATGAGCATGATGTTCCAGAAAGCAGCATCGCACAGGTAAGAACCACCAATGCTGTTATGCGCCCCCCCTTATCTAATCTTGATCTGGTCGCGTATGACGTAGAGTTGCGCGTTGTGATTGGCTCGGCTAACTTTCCCCCACAGCAAGCTGAGGGCCCTCGACTGCCGAACGTCGCTGCTGCAACTCAAAGTGAACCATCGATCGAAACATCAATTCAGCACAACATTAATGACGAAGCCATCTCCGTCGCTGCATCAAGTCCCATCGCTCAAGTTCCTGAGCACATCTCTACTCGCTCTGGATCACCTGTATCTGTAGGCGCTGCGCGCTCCAGTTCTACCTCATCTGCACCGCCCACGGAGTCTGCCGATAAATCAACTCAATCGCAGCACTCCCATCGCCAACTTGGCTCGTCATCACAGAACGAGGAATTTCCTCCGCAACCACAATCAACTTCTGTGCCTGAGTCGAACTGGAATTCTGATCAGAATCCTGAGTCTGAGTCTGTTCAAGTCCCATCAACAACCAGCCAGCAAAGTCACGTGCAGCAAGCCGCTCAGCAGGTCTCCTTCGATCATCGTCCCGACCAGCCACAGCCTGTACTTCCCTTTTTACAGAGTTCTGTAGAGGAAAACACGCCATCTTCTTCGTCTGAGTTCTTGACTCAAGTCAACAATCCTGGTCCCCAACCTGTTCAACAAGCATCGAGTCTGGACGCGCCCACCTTTACAGATCCAACTCAAAGACCCGGATCTGCACAATCCTCGAGCTCTTTTCCGAGTATCCCATCGCGCTTTCCCAACACTGTTGGTGAATCAGCCCCTCCACGCATCAGAAGTGCTTCCGAGAGTGACCTAGCTTCTGGCACAAGCCAGAATTCCAACATGGGTACTCCTGGCAGCAGCGACAACCCTAAACAGCCTGTTAGTGAATTTCACCGACGAATGATAAACATGCGTGCCGATTCGAAGGCCAAGGGCATAGCCGATCGTATCAGTACCCAACCTGAGAGAGATCGTCGTCTGGCTGAAAGAAGGGCAGTGCGCATCGCCCTGGGCGCTCCTGCTCATCCACCTGGTGTAGCTCCTGCTCATCCAGCTGCCGTAGCTCCCGCACCAGTACCGGCTCTTCAAGCCCTGTCGCCCAAGCCTGCATCTGCCGTGCCCGCAAGATTGATGTCACCTGCCATGACTGACCGTGAGACACGCTCGCCGTCTACCGTCCCTCCTGTCGAGATTGTACCCGAGGAAGCACCTGAGGAGTACTCTCGCTCCGAGCGATACGAGACGCTGCTTCCTGGAGAGGGTCCCCAAATCAACTCAAACAACTCACGAAACGTTCTCTCAGACTCTGCTATGCCGGATGTCTCCCTTGACGATGAAGTGAACAACCAGCATGTCGTTTCCATCGACTTCGGCGTCCAGCAAAGAGACTACTACACATGCTCGTTCAACAACAACAAAGCTCTCATCAATGAGTTCACCGAACGTGTCTGGCCTGAAGATTCCGACATAGCAGGACAAGCTCGCGCTTACATGCGCACACTGCACAACTTCGTCAACCATCTTGATCTGAACGATCCCGAAACTGCCAACTCGCCTCCGATGCCTCCTGCAGGTCAAGTGGAATGGGATGTTTCTCAGAGTTCGAAGTTCAACTTTTTGAGAAGTCTTCTCTTCGCAGCCAAGGCCCACAATCTTCATGTCGCTTTGCTTGTTGATCCCGGAAGACTTGCCGCCATCATCCAGACCTTCTTGCAGGGCATCGATACCATGTACAATGTGATTGATGGCCAAAACAACGTGGTCAACCAGAATTCGACAGCCACGATCTTGTTGACATCCGTTGATGCTGATCCTGACGTGTCGTCCTTGGAGTTGGACATGATCGTTGCCATTGATGGAAGCACGCCCTCTGAGGTCATCACACGTACCCAGAAGATGCTCTCATCTACCTCGCCTCTGCCCGCCATCTCCATCGTCGTCCCTCGCTCAGTCGAGCATGCTGTGCGTTGCATTCCTGCTGCTATGCCTGAGGCAGAGCGTCTGCACGTCCTGCTCAGCACTGCAACCAACGAAAGATCCCACGCCGGCTGGGCCAGTGGTGGCGCCGATACCGACTTTGATCGCAAGGCATCTGACATTATCTCGTGGATTCTTAACCCTGCAGAGTCAGATTGGCTGTTGTACGGTATCCCAGAGCTGCAACTGGTTGAGGCTCTTTCAAGCCAGCCTTCATCAGAAGATGAGCTTATGATCGCCAACAGTGGCCCCAACGGAAACAGAAAGCGCCCGCTGGATGAATACGAATTGCCCATCGCCAAGAAAGTCCATGTGGAAGAACCACTCCCCATGACTATCAACCCTGCCGACATGCACCTCCCCTCTGGCACGATGCCTATCTCACACTCGCATGTCAGCGATTCCGTGGCAGCTTCGTCGCATGCCTTAATCCAACAACAACTCAACACTGCACAGAGACAAGTCAGAGAGTACGAGCAAGCTATGGAGAGACTGCAGTTCAACTCTGAGGAGCAGCGTGCCAGCATGGTTCAGGCACAACTTGAACGCAACAGCGCCCTCGAGAGAGAGGAGAACCTGAAGAAGACCAACCGTACCTTGCAAGACAGAAACATCGCACTTCGTGATGAAGTCTTGGAGTTGAAGAAGCAGCTGGAGTCTGCACGCGTCGCTCTTGCCGATCATTCGATTCCTGAGCGTGCCGAGCTCGAACAAAGCCTCGCAGAGTCACGCGCCGCCATTGCCGAAAAGGAGAAGCAGACCAGGCTCGCAAAGAGCGCTGAAGACCGTCTCGAATACCTGCGTGATCAATACCAGACACGCTCGAACGACCTCACAGCTATGACAACCAGTAACGCTCAACAAGAGAAGCGTATTGCCGAGCTTGAGATCAGGGCCTCGGGAGAGCAGGCCAAATTGCGCACTATGAACCTCGACAGCCACGCCAAGAAGCTGCAGGACTCATGGAACAAGACCAAGGCCTCGTTGGCAGCCAAGGAAGCACTGTGTCAGACTCTGAGCGAGGAGAACGCCAGATTGCGTGATACCAGAGGTCGCGGCGTCAGCACACGCGCGACTAGCATTCCTCGTAGTCGCCCCAGTAGCCCTGCTGCTTCTGTACGTCCTCGCCACCCCCTCAGCAAGGGTTCGCCCGCTTAAAAAACGTTGTGATGGAATATGATCACAAACCAGATGACGCTGAAGTCATCACTGTTGCTGTTTCTGTCGAAGACGAAAGGCATATCGATTAGCTAGTTAATTACTCATGAATTCCATTGTATTATGACCCCCATGCGCCTATTTCCCTTTCGACGTGTCACTTGAAACACCTCTCCTGTGAAAATGTCTTGTGAAAATGCACGAAGGTGTCTTTTCAGCACGAACCTCTTGTGAAAGCTCGAAAACCAAATGAGAACTCCGGTCTCTCTCACTGGGAGTTGGTTCAAAAAAAAAAAAAAAAGATATCTTTGGGCAATTCGAGAGATATCTTTGGCAGGGTCTTCAACAGTGTTGCTGAGAGCCTTCCTCCTTTTGGTTTGAGAGCCTTTCGGGGAGTCTACTATGTAGCCATCAACTGATCTTGATAAAACTTTGGACCCTTCACTGGAGGTGTATTCACAGAAGATGTCTTTGTACATTTTTTTCACAAGGGGGAGAGGGGTTTAGAGGTGTGGATGTTGGTTGATGTATTGATATGGGCGGTGATGCGACCGAGGGTGAGGCTTCTTGTCATTCACACCAGCAACGATTGCGGTTTACAGCCTTTTACTTGGAAGATAAGAATGGAAAGATGTATGGATCCCGAAGACCTCACGGTGGACAAAAAAAAATAACATTCATTTCATGTTTTGGTTGGAGAGCAGAGTTAGGCGAACTCGTGATCCGTCTTTCGGGAAAACCAACGACGATGACGTCGACTTGGGGTGAGAAAGAGAGAATAAGCACGATGGGTAGGAATCCGAACCCGCAACCAAAAAGAAAGAGAGAAACCAAGAATCATCTAGCCGACAAGAGACCAACCAAACAAGACGGGACCTTAACAAAAGGAAAAAGGAAAAAAGAAAAGCACCATGGGAAGGAATCGAACCCCCGACCTCCTCGGATCTAGACTGACACGGCGTTGAGTAACAACGAATGACTGCGCACGTGTCAAGACCACGGGTGTGTTGAACCACTACACCACCACGGCTGTTTTGCTTATTGAAAGAGGATAGAACTTATTCGAATATATATGTTGGGCTATAGCGTGGATGGAAAAGCTTGATTGAGGGGGTTTGATAGGTTGTGGGCGTCTCGGGCTCACGTGTCGTTCGAGCCGGCGTTATCCAGGCCTGGGAAATTGAAGAGATCTTGTGAAAAAGGTAGATCTGCGCCCATGAAGTAATCGAAATCGAATATGGAGTTGTCACCAAAATCCATGATGGGCTGCTGTTGCATGTCCGGAGCTGCATCATTAGACTGAGCGCTCGACCCAGAGGGATCTGTGAGATCTTCACATGTATCAATGTCAGCCGACATACTATGAACCACGATAAGCTTGGATATCTTACCGAGTGCGCTATTCTTTAACGTCCGCATCTGTGCTTTGAAGTGCGGGTCGAACTCTTCCCTCCACCATATGATGGCATCGACAACGTGACTGTTACTCAGCCTGCTTCTTGCTCTCAGAACCAACTGGTCAGTCCCATCGGCCCTTTTGAAAGCCTTTGAGCTGTTCCACAGTTGTGTGAGGTACATGACCGATTTTGAGCACATGTCGTTAGTGTCGATGGACAATCGTTTGGTCAGACCAATCGCAAGAAAAAATGCCGTCCTTGCTTCCTCTGTTTCGCCTGACAGAAAAGGAATGGTTGACTTGAGAATACGTAGAAGCGCATAAGAAGCGAAGAGAAGCGCGGAGGCAATATAGTAGGGTATCGAGACTGGATTCGATGTTTGGTGCACGAGTTTCTCAACGTCGGCGATGATCTGACGTGCGATCTCCTGTATCTTATCGAAGCTAGAGGCAAACGAAGTCTTGTCCTGTTTCAAGAAGTAGAAGCTTCTGACATAAAGTCTAGCGATGTTGCATTCTAGTCGGTCGGAATCTGGAAAACATCAGTACCGATGATTACTTGCGCCAATCAAGTACGTACCATTTACAGCCGTCTTCTCCAGGTCCCTGATCTGAGCTTCAAAAGTCCTTATAATGATCGAAAGAGCACGATCTTGATCCTGTGTCATATTACGCATTCCATTTTCCGAGATAGCAGCACCACATCGAACGCATAGATCTTGCCATTTGAGACGTAGTATGAGACCTGCGGGCAACGTCTGTTGACGAGCCTGGAACTGGTCCATCTCAGGAGAGAATTCGGCAGAGGTGCAGGCAAAGAAGCCTTTGCACAAACAGGTCCTACATCGATCAGCTATAGAGCGGATTGGAAAAATATCCAGACCAACCTTTGATAAGTCAACACGATCTGTGTCCATAGTTCTGAGCGTCCAACTATGCCGATGTCTGGCAGATTAGGCGCCTTGGCTCTGAAGAATTCGTCAGATCCGGCGGGTACATGTAGACCACTCCTTTGAGCTAGATGTAATAAGAGACCAGCCAAGACATAGTTGGTCTCTTGTTGATTGGTCTCGACAGCATCGGGTAAAGGCCATGTGACTAGGAGTAGAAAGGCTTGGACACGATGAAGAGGCGACCCGGTAACAGTCACAGACGGTAGTGCTGAAGTTATGATACCTTTCGTCAGAGCGCCTAGCAAAGTCGGATTCCGAGAGTAGCTTCTGCAAGCAGTTCCAATGATTGACCAAAACAACAAGGGAGACTGTTGGTAGCACGCATCCGGGGATAATCTGTAGTCAAGGATCGGAAGGAAGGGCGAATATTCATGAAAGAACAACTCAAAAATGTTGTTAATGTCATTGGCGGACACAGTTACTCCGTCCAGAGTTCGAGGGGTTGTCGTTGGCGCTTGGCGTCCGAATGTCCCATTGTTTGCATGCGATGGCTCAGGAAAGGAGACTGGTTCACGAATCTCAGTAGGTAAGGGCTGAGGAGTATGGTATCTCGCTGTGCTTGGCGTTTCATGAGACAGCGTGATGGGATTGTTGTCACGCCCTGTTCGCGTAGGAGTTGGAATAGTAGGCTGATAGTCCTCGGTCATAAGCCGCTTCCGAAGCGTGTCTGTTTCTTTTTCGAGTTCAGACAGTCTCCTGAAATTGCGTTAACCGAGTTATACGGTCTTGGTCTCACGCCAACGTACTGGCGTTTATTCTCTCTCCTGAATGGGGCGGAGATGGTGCATTGTATTCCCAATCTTTTGCACCTTGAACAAGCATCATTCGGGTTCAAGTAAGCATCACATTTGGCCTATGCACATGCTGAGTTTATGCTCCGCCGCTGATGTATGAGGAGTTGAGAGCTCGAACCTTCTGCTGTCTGCATTCTGTGCATGCCTTCTTCTTTTGGGTTGAACTGGTGATGGGCCTCCCATCGATCAACCAGTGTTTCTCATTGACAGATGACATTATGCACGTACTGCGTTGATGACTCGTCTGCCATCCTTGCGTGTAGTCTGGATCGACTTGATCACAAGCTGTTCAGGCAAACCACGTTGAGTGCTGGCGGTAATGATGATTTCGTGGTTGGTCGGCGTTCGAAAACCGTGCTTCTGCCCACGTTCTTGCTACAAGGCGATCGATGCGTGATATGCGACACTAAAGACGCCTCCGATCCATGAGAATAGTCCTAATCTTTGCAAAACATTGTGGGTCACCAGATTTTGATGGAGCGAGTCGTGAGGCGATGTTCCCTGGTCGAAACAGTTGCGGGGCGGGCCGCCGATGCCAAGTCGTGAGAGAGCCTCTTCTGGATGGTCGTTCTCCACCCGATCTCTCCTTATTCTCTCTTCGCGCTGACATGCATCAAGTGCAGGAACCGTCACAGTATGATCAACCATGTGTATGCCCTGCACACAGCTTTCCAATCTCGCTTGCGCTGTTCGAACTCGAAGAGTGTGGATTGCGAGGGTGACTGCAGGCAGGGCATGCCATTACTAACATTTCTATCTTCGTCCACATGGCCTGTACCGCAGCAATCTTGCAAGGCAAAGATCTTCAGGAGTACAGCATGCAAAACAACATCGCTAAGCTTGGAATCCGGTCGTCTCTAAAGCACAATATAACGTGAAAAACTCTTGCTTGGCTCGGGTGAACCGCTGTAGTTGAAGCTTCTACACGAAACAGACGACGCTCTGCCGCTTCGCTTAACAGCATAACCGAACAATCATGAAACAGAACATGGCAGGACATGTCCCCGCTCAACGGTGGGTACAGAGTGCAGGTAAAGTATATAACAACTCGTGCCTCGAGGGTATCCATTCTTTTTCTCAAGCATTCAAGCCTCATTCATTCTCTTCAACTTCAGGTCGCTGGTCGTCCATCGTTCTTTACAAACCACCAAAAAAAGTCACTCTTTTCACCACCTTCTTTTCTTCAACAAAGACCCTAGCGGTATATACATCAAAAACACCATCAAGATGCGCTCTTTCGCCACTATCATGGCTGCCGCCGCCCTGGCCCAGACCGCAATGGCCCACTACCGCTTCAACAAGCTCATTGTTGGTGACGAGGTTACCAAGGAGTACGAGTACGTTCGCCAGAACAGCAACATGAACTCTCCCGTCACCGATGTCACCTCCAAGGACCTTGTTTGCAACGTTGGTGGTCTTGACACTGGTGCTCAGACCTCCACTTACAAGGTCGCTCCTGGTGACACTGTCGGTTTCGCTGTCGACACTCCTATCCAGCACCCTGGCCCTCTCAACGTCTACATGTCCAAGGCCACTGGTGATGCTTCCGAGTACGACGGTTCCGGTGACTGGTTCAAGATCTACGAGATGGGTGCCAACAAGGCCGGCGACAACGGTCTTACCTTCAAGGCTGACAAGCTTGACAAGGTCACCTTCACCCTCCCTGACGAGACCCCCGCTGGCCAGTACCTTCTCCGTGTCGAGCACATCGGTCTTCACAGCGCTTCTTCTTTCGGTGGTGCCCAGTTCTACATTTCTTGCGCTCAGATCGAGGTCTCTGGCAGCTCTACCGCTAAGCCTGACCCCACTGTCAAGATCCCTGGTGTCTACACTGGCCACGAGGATAGCATTGAGCTGAGCATCTACTACCCCATCCCTGTTAACTACCAACCCCCTGGCCCTGCCGTTTGGGGCAACGGCGCCGCCGCCGATGGCAACGCTACCGACTCTGCTTCCACTGTGGCTGCATCGTCTGCCACCGCTATTGCCACATCTGCTGTTTCCGCAACCACCTCGATCTCGACCCAGCAGGCTGTTGCAACTTCCGCCCCTTACCCTACCGAGAACGCAACTTCGGTCGCCGCAGGACCCACTGGCTTCTCCACCGTTGTCGTCTCTTCCACTGCTCCCATGGGCACTGGTACCGTCGGCGGTGCTGTCAAGAAGTACATGCAGTGCGGTGGCAAGGCCTTCTCCGGCTCCACCGAGTGCGAGTCCGGCACCACCTGCAAGTCCTGGAACGAGTACTACTCCCAGTGCGTCTAAGTCATTTGACTAAGCACAATATGAGGAGGGAATGATGTGTAGTTGAGAATCTGTTTCCTTTGATCTTTTGATGTGATCTGTTTAGATTCGTCTTTGTTCACCCCTTTTTTACTTTCTAGAATGGAAACTTTTGGTCTTGAGTCGTGGAATCATTTTGCCTCTTTGTTGTTTCGTGATTTGTATGACCTTTGATAAGACATTTCGAGTTTAAGCTGTGATTCTGCAGGTCTCTAGTCGTTGCCATGTCGGATGCGAGACATGAACAAGCGAAAGCTATCCTTGAGACAGTGACTTTTGTTCTTTCTCACACAACAGTGACGATGTATATGACTACCTTTTCCCACAGCCTCTTAAACCCAAATAACCCACTGTAATCACTCTGACCCCTAAAAGCCATCCGCGACCGAACCCACACGATCAAATAATGACCACAACACATATCATCCTCTTCCTCCTCGCCGCCTTGATCTGCTACGACATCACAAACAACTCAGACGCCACACACTTCTACGTAACCTTTTACCCCTTTCCACTCCCTCTTTCCCCATCTTGCAAAATCATCATCTAACAAATGCTTTCCACCAACTTCCAGGATATGGATGATTTCTTCGACGACCTCGAATTCACGTATCGACAAGCTACATGGATGGTATGTGTGGAATCTTTCTTCTATACCTGGATTTCCAGAGGGGGGGATGTGTTGCTAATGGTGGAAAGGAGGAAATAGTTTTACGATTCACATTTGCACATGATCGATGACGAGTTTGGTTGGAAATCGGCCTAGTCTTCTACGGACTTTTTGATGGGAAGATGTCTGCCAGAGATGTAAGAGGTTGATATTACTTCTTGAGGAGATTGGAGGAGAGATTCCCGGCTTTCGACGCATGTAAGAAATGGAGGTATGGAGAACCGCATCTGGAAGAGATGGAACTTCGGCAAAACAAAGTAATGGTGGTGGATATGACAGAAACATGGACAAATGGATGGGCAAGGAAGGAACGACTTGCCGAGTAATCTACTTGAGAGTGGTCGTGGTAAGAAGAAACGTCGGAAGACGAACATTCACCTGTGCACCTTCCGTTATCAAAAAATTAGCATTTCCTTCAAAACCGCGAATGGCGAGCTAGACTTCCTGTTCAGTAAAGAAGATGATGAGAATTCGTGGTTATCGTGAAATAAATATGTAATAATGACCTTCCGCTGATGAGAAAAATGCCAACCATCCACCCCAAGTGCTTATGCAAAACGCTCAATGCAGAGTGCAACCTTGTGAATCAACCCTTTTTATATGCCCAGGATCTTCGATTTTGAAGGTGTCTCGCGTCGGTGTGTCCGCCACTCGACTAGGCCCAGACTCCTCTTCGTGATCAATTTCTGTAGAGATCGTTGGTAGTACACCAATGATCATGCTAGGTTTCCTTAACCGGACTGGCTTGGGATGTTCGTGCTCGCAAGTCGTTTCGGAAATACTTTGAAGCGTAGGTACGCCTGGTGATGATCTAGGGCGGGCGAGAGACATGCCTCGTCGGCCTCCAGCATCTGCCATTCCGTATCTGCGGACTGCTGGATGTGGTGGAAATTCTGGTCGCGGATCGGCATCGCCCGCTTGGGCCTGTGCGGTTTCTTTTGCGTCTGAGGGTCTCTTGCCACGCAGTTGGACATGTGGTAAAAGTCCCATGTACGATCGCACAGCTCCAGTGGTATTGTCCGAGTCGCTCGAGAAAAATCGTTGGAACCATTCCTGTAGCTTGTGTATAAAGTGTCTGAGAAGTGGTTGCAAGCAAGCCAGACTTGCAGCTGAAATTCCGAAACCAAGTTCCGTAAGCGCCAGCACAATTTCCGGTGCAGAATAGTCATAGAAGGTAGGGTTTTGAGCAGGGTCGAGAAACGAAACATCAAACCATACTCCGTAAACAAATGCAGTACGGAAGCAGGCGGCCACACTGCCAGTGACGCCGAGGATGAGTAAGATGCAGACCGACAATTTGATGTGCGGCTTGAGCGACGATTTGATAAGCACAGACACAGGAAGTAGTGCAAAGGCCCAATCCGTCACGGCTCCAGTAGCTCCATGCAGATACAGAAGAGGGACATATCTGTTGCGTCGAACACATTGGCCACGGATTTGTCGGTGGGCTATGTGTGAGAGACTACCGCATTGAAACAAGGATAGGAATAGAGCGATGAGAGACAGGAGGATCGAACCGGCCCCTGCAATGATGATTGCGCGTCGTTGCCATTTCTTCCAAACAAACTGTCGATAGAAGAGCATGAGGGAAATTTTGAGAAAGATAGTCGCAAGCATGAATGTTGCTTCGCCAAGTGTGAGTCGCTGAATATTACATTAGCAGCTGATCTGTGCAGGACACAACGGTGTAGATGCAGGCGCAGCCAGGCTGCAATAAGATCGACGGCTTCTCAGTCGAATCGCAGAACACAGCGTGACTATGAGAAAGCACGATGATCTCAACATTGGAGGCAGTGTCAAGCGAAAGCAGCCAGACTGGCGCTTTCCCATCGGCACTCCATCCATCTCGAAACCACCGTATCTTTTCGATAGTTCACTTTTCGGTATTGAGTCCTGCTGATATCGCCATACCCCTGCATCTACATTAGGTTGTCGACTTACCAGTAAGAATTTGTCTGCGACTGGTAGATCCAGGATCGGGTTATGGTGTTCCAGAAATGCAAGGCTCATTGCAAGGCAGCACAACAGAATATAGAAGAACTACAATCAGTCAGCCAAGAAAGTCTGATTATTGATCAAGTAAAGGACATACCCAAGCAGTGAGCATAGAATAGTCGTCGACACCGAGTACCCGCTTTCCAGTCCGGAGTTTGGCCCATAATCTCAAGAACACACAAAGCGTAGTCAAGATAAGGAACATGATCGTACACCTGAAGATCATGTGCTTCAGAAAGCCACCTCCAGATAATTGACCGCTCGTGTCATGGTGATCCATAGCTGTGTATGTCATTCAAGTTGTCGGACAGGTGTCAAAAAGTCGAAAAGGCATGATTCGAGTCAAGTCCGTAGAAGCAATACAATATGCGGCTCTGCTCACATACATAAACAAGAACAGAGAGAAGCGTCGAGACCCATAATTCGCCGCAACCCGGTCTCAAGGTCATTCTTCTGTCAATGTGAGAGCACTGTAGTGCCGTTGAGATCGAGGGCTTCGGAAACGTTTTTGGCGGTGGACTTTGTCAAGACCATTCAACGGTTCCGGCTTCGCCTGCCCATCGCATGCCAAATTGTGGTCTTGAAGATGTGATTTTCTGCGCAACGGTCAAGCTGAATACAACCGGCCTCGCAGTCGTTGTTCAGAAGAAGGCTGGTGCCTATTTTACCCGAACTCCGAGCAGATCTGACATGACTCCTGCAATTCGGAGGCGGCGGTCACTCCGGCAAACAGTAGTCCAATAGTTTGACTGTTTCACATCATTGTCGCAACAACCCTGTAGTTCAGCACGAGCAGTCATCGTAGTCTAGCAGAACGAGTAGCGACTCGATTAGCTCGCTTAGAAGTCGGCGATGATTATGCTATCAAACACAAGTATGTATCTTTTTGGCGACACCACATGGCGACGTGTACATACAAGGATGTAGCAAACGTCTTTCATTCTCGAAGGATTTGAGTGGCGAAAGCGGAGTCTGGCCAAACCATTTGCAGGTCGATGGCTGACTTCTCCAAGATCTGGTTCATAAACCGCCAGATCCATGTCTCTGATATTTCACGTTAAGGGCTTGGAAGGAGTGTCTTAGTGCTCGCCGCCTTTCTTCCCGAGCATGTCTTCTTCGATTGCAGGATCTGCGGCCTGTGAGTTGCGTACTTATACGCTGGTGATCGGTCAGGCTCTCGGTCTCGCTTTCGACTGCAGATGAGTGAATGGTGCTGTAACCAAGAGCCTGACATTGTGTAATGAATGTTGTAGCTTCATCGAATAGTACAAAGCAGTAATTAAAATTAGGTCTAGATTCGTGATGGGTAGGTGGGCTGTCGTCGACATACGGCGGTGAAAGAAGATGTTCCGTAGAGCAAAATCAAATCAGCTTCAATGGCGTTCTCCTGATGCCAGCAGGAATGTGGCTCATGTATCGACTCTTGGCATCAGGTCTTTGTAGTCGTCGGAAAGCCTCTGTGATGTGCTTGGTATTGACCGGAGTTCTCGCCTCTTCAGGTGGGTCGAACAAGCCAGGTTCTCGTCGAATGCGTTTTCTCCGTTGTTGGTCTTCATCGCCGCCACTTTCCCTCCGTTGTATGTCTTCAGCGTTTTTGACTCTTAGTGCCTCTTCGGTCAGGGTTTGAACGATTTCGAAAGTCAAGAAGCCAAGAATGTCGACAATATCGTCGTTTGGCTTGCTGTCTGTCACGACGCCAAAACCAGCCCATTCACGGAAGCGCTTGCCTTTGCGGAAGGTGAAGGAGGCTTGACGGCATTCACTCCAGTGTAGATATTCTTCAGGAGTCATGTTCTTGGTGCGGTCATCAGCATTCTTGAGTCGCGTCATGGTCGCAGTTGTCATTTCTTCCTCATCTTCGTCTTCCTCGTCCTCTCGTTCGGGGACCTGCTCTTGGTAGAAACTCGAGACATCCCATGGTAGACCGACTTTCGCCTTTTTTGTTTTCGAATTCCTTGTGCCGACCGAAGGACCGGCGGTAGCCAGAGTTGGGTCGTTCGCAGGACCAACGTCGATGTCGGCAAAGTCGTCACCTCCTCCACCACCGCCGCCGCCCTTGTCGTCTGAGTCTTTGGCAGATTTGCGGACATCTTTCCAACTCAAGAAAGTTCGTAAACGGGAGACTTTTGCGCGGTCGTGACGGATGAGGAAGATGAGGTCGTCGGTGTTGATGCTGCGGACACCACGACGAGCGGCCAGGGCGGTTGCGCGCGTGAGCATTTCGACGACTTGCTGCTGGACGATGGCTTCGATCAGGGTGGTGGTTTCAGGAGCGGCTTCGGCAGTCTCTCCTGAGACGAACATCATCTGCTGGATCTCCGTTCGATATTTGGCGGCTTTGTCCTTGTCGGCCATGATGAAGGTGGGGGGTGGGTTGGAGCCCGATGCAGTTGTCGCGTGAGAATGCTGATTAGATGGCAATGATGAGGATAAGGGGTTGGACAAGGAGCGATAGATCGTAAGCTATGTCATGTGGCCAATGTCATGTCATTGATGTGTTGGTGAAAGCACAAGCACATGTCGACGCAGATGATGAATGTCAGGGTGATTGCGGGGAGATGGGATCGTCAGGCCGAGCGTCCAGAATCTCCATGTTTTTTATTTCCATCCTCGTGCTTGTGACTCTTTGTTCATACACGCATCAATCATGTTCTACGCAATCGGTCTTGGTCTGGCCGATGAGAAGGACGTCTCGGTCAAGGGTCTCGAGATCATCAAGCGCGCCGAGCGTGTCTACCTCGAAGCCTACACTGCCGTCCTGCTCGTCGAGAAGGAAGTCCTGGTACCCAACTATCCTGTCAGCAGGCGCAAAACATGCACTAATCGCAATCGCAGTAGGAAGCTTACTATGGCCGCGAAGTAATCATCGCCGACCGTGAGATGGTCGAATCTTCCTCCGACGAGATCCTCGAGGGCGCCGACAAGGTCGACATTGCCTTCCTGGTTGTCGGCGATCCTTTCTCAGCAACCACCCACACCGACTTCATCATCCGCGCCCGCGAGAAGAACATCCCTACTCGCATCCTGCCCAATGCCTCCATCTTGACTGGTGTCGGCTGCACTGGTCTCTCGCTCTACAACTTCGGTCAGACTGTCTCCATGGTCTTCTTCACAGACAACTGGAAGCCTGCGAGTTACTACGACCGCGTCAAGGAGAACGTCGCTCTGGGTCTGCACACTTTGGTCTTACTGGACATCAAGGTCAAGGAGCCCAACCTCGAATCCCTGGCCAGAGGAAGAATCGTCTACGAGCCTCCGCGCTTCATGACCGTTGCTCAATGCGCTCAGCAAATGATCGAGACCGAGGAAGAGAAGGGTGAGGGCATCTGCTCAAAGGACAGACTCGCCGTTGGTGTTGCCCGTGTCGGTGCCGATGATCAAGAAATTGTCGCTGGTACCTTGGAGCAGTTGGCCGAGGCTGATTTGGGCAAGCCTCTGCACAGTTTGGTGCTCATTGGCAAGCGCATGCACGACATGGAGAAGGACTATGTCCGCGAATATGCCGTCGACAAGAAGGTCTTTGACGAAGTCTTTGCTAGAGACTACCACCAGTCATAGACTACATGACATTTCACCTGTCATTGTGAATAAAAATCTCTACACGTTCAAACTCTGCGACCATCCTACTTGAACACAATGTGGCAAGCACCAATAGCAATCTTGTTTTCTTTGAGAAGTCACCTAGGTAATGCAGAATCGTAACCTACTCTACATCGCGACTTTCCGTACGGATTTTTTTCTGAAGATGAAATGGCAGTAGTCTAGTACAGAGCCAGATTATCCTCGTTCAACCTCCCGAACAACTCTTCTAAATCCGCACTCACACCCATAATCTCTTGCGCCAAAGATCCAGTAACAAGTGCTGTATCCATCATTAGCCACCATCCATCAACATCAACAGAAGGAAGATCAAAGACTTACCATAAGCATAAAGCAACTCATAATCCTCCTCAGTCGCAAGACTAGCCTTATCCCCATCCCTCCTGAACTCGAAAATCTTCGCCAACAATCTATCCCTCGTATGTTCGATATTCGGCAACACGTCATTAAGCGGATACTCCAACTTGACCGAACTGGCCAAAACAGAGAACAAATGACTTATCCTAGCCGACAACGCAAATCTTTCCGCACGTGTATACCTCAAAACCTCAGCCTCTCCCGGAGAAGCTTTCAAATCTTTGGCAATCACCATATTCATGGCGTGGAAATTGTCCAACATGCGTTTCGTCCTTTCCAAAATCTTGGCATATATTTTGTCGGGAAAGGGGGCGCGGAATTCGAATTCGGAAGCTGCGGCTTTGCGGAGTGCTTCCAATTGGGCCAGGAAGGTTTGGAGTTCGGATTCTTCGCGTATGTCCATGTATGCTGATGCGGGTTCGCCGAGGAGGAACATGGCCAAGGGATCGCGTCGCCAGATCAATGACATGCGTAGCCAGAGCAGGCAAATGCCATTTTTGAGCTTGCGGCGGGCGGAGATGGGCCATATGACTCGGGTGACGAAGATGCCCCAGAGACAACCTGCGATGACTGCGACGAAACGGTGAAGCACGATTTCCCAAATCTCTGGGTTGATGCCGCCTTCGTCATCATCGTCATCGTTGTCCTTGGCCGACAGCGAATAAGCATAGAGCGCAGAAAGGTTATACGTAAGCAAGATAAATCTGCCCATAGGTCCTTTGCCTTGAACGAGGATGATGTAGAAACATCCCAAGGACATGAGCCAGCCGAAAAAGCCGAGTAGCCAGGGACTGTCGTCGGAGATTATCCAGGCGATGATGGCGAGGATGGCGCCTAGAGCTGTGCCGAGGAAACGCTCGATGCCTGTGGTGTTGGAAGCGCCGATTGTCATTGAGCAGACGACCATGTAGGAAACCAACCCCCATTCTCCACGCCAGTGTTGGTAAAATGGGCGGGACCAGGCCATGAATGATGGAAGAGCGAACAGTGCTGCGCCGACGCCGACTTTGATGGCGAATCGGATATCGTCGCGGCGGATGAATTTGAAGATGCGGTAGACTTGATGAGTGAAAGGCTCCTTGATGGTGCGTCCTGCTCTGGCAAACGTGTCTGCTTGTAAGATGGGCTTTACAATGTCTGTAGTCAAGGCCTCATCGGCTTCGTGAACCAGAGATAGACCTGCTTCTTCTGCTGCAGTCTTATCTTGTCCGTGTCTTCTCCAGAATGCCATCCAGCTCCATGATCGCTTTCGGTCTTCTTGTTCGATCTCCTCTTTGAGCTCTTCCAGGATCTCCAGATACTTCAGTGTGTCTTCAGCAAAGTCAACCATGGCTGCTGCGTAATGTCCACAACTTGCAGCGACCTCCTCCAGATCTGCAACGCGTTCCAGAGATGTGGCATTCGTGATTTCCTTGTTGCGGTAAAGCGTAGATAATGCTTCTTTTCTCGTGTTGTTGAACAGATCAATAGCTTGAGAAAGACTCGATCGGAAGTTGACGTTTACAGCAATCACATCGTCTGTCCCAGGTTGAAAAGGCAATTCATCCAAAATCGATTTGAGAGTGAAAGCCAAGGACTTCATTGGTGGTCCCAATTGTGTTATAAACGTCGTGAACATATCGGAAGGCGAGAGCGAAGGACGCTTATCCATGAAATTGCTCGTAAAGCTCGAGCCCATTGGGCTGAAAGGAATTGGTTGATCAGCTGGCGACTCGGCTGGCGATTCGGGTGCCTCATTGATTGGTGTCAAAGGTCCTCGTATCTCGCCCGGCTCGCTCGTGAGTTTGGAGGTGCCCATAAGGGACGAGACCATGGATGCGTGGGCTGAGTCTGATCGGTTGATATATGGCGAAGACTTGATGAGAGAGAATTGCGTGTTCGCCGCACTGTAAAGACCACCAATGCTCTGAGAAAGCCCTTGCAAGCATTTGACCAGCTTGACCTCGATACGATATTCCTTTTCCCTCCCCACAACGTAGTGCTCGTATTTGGCTTCAATCAGGTTCTTCTTCATCGATGCTTCGTTGGCCTTGCAGTCCTTGTCAACCTGCTTGTACGCAGCACCCTGCATCTCTGTCTCCGAGCCTGTCAGGAAGGCTCTAGTGATTGCAATGAGTTTGTCGCCTAGTGAGTCTGTGGTTTTGACAAAGTCGCGATGTAATTCCTTCTTGGCGTAGCGTGGTTTGATGAGCAGATTGACAGCTGTGGTAGCCGCCATTCCAAGCAAAACCATACGCAAGACTTGGAAAACCTTGTCCTCGGAAAACTTTGCTGCCTGGATAGATCCTTCCTTGGTCAAGATGGTGATGATGGCCAGGGACGCAAGACTGCACCCAACGTTGACAGTCGGATGACCAAGTCGCTGCTTGAGCCAACCTATAAAGCCTAGTCCACCAGCACAAAAAATGACCAAAACAATGGCATGGCCAAGGACCAGAAGATCACGCTTGCCAAGAGCCATGCTGATGGCCATGCTGGTAAAAGACACGAACGCCGCATACACGAATGCAATCAAAGCAATACCCACTGCTTCAATCATACTGCCTACTGTGCGGGAAGGGTGAAAGTACACCGTAACCGTTGCGACGACATGTTTGCCATCCTGCTTTCCGAGGAAAGCCGAGATGAATGGTAGGAAAGTAGCCAGAGATCCGAGAAGATAGGCTATAGAACATTTGAAGATGCCTTGTCCTATATTTGAAGCCCAAAAATCGACAGATTGATCTCTCCAGCGATAGAAAGGTTTAAAGAGACCATTTTGCTCGGGTGTTGGAGATGACGCGTCTGAACCCAGCAGTCCCTCGCGTTCTTCCGGCGAACCAGTCTCGTCGCGAGCATCGTCCCCTAGAGTTGGCAACGAAAAGGCGCGTCTCACACGCTCTCCAGTCCGTGGGAGAATGAATGTCGCATTTCTAAGCTTGGTCATCGTCAGCAGTAAGCACGTGGCGGCAGAAGCGTTCGCGAACTTACATTGCGAGGGTTGAAATGACGACCCAAAGACGAGGCTTGTCCAGCACTTCCTGATGGCATCACTCACTGGAAACAAGAAGACATGTCCTTCTATTCTATCCACGTATGAGTATGTCTGAGTGTTTTTGGAAAACTTATGGGATATCGACGGGTTGCCTGGCAGTCGACGTCTAGATTGATCTGCACTCTTGACTGCCATTTCGGTACTAGGGGCAGATCGGCCCGATCTCGAGATCGATAATCCGGTTTGTGTCGCGGAAGAGCCTCATCAACCTCAGTGCTGACCAAATGAGGTGCAATTCTCGACACCGACTTTTTGAATTCAATGTTAATCGGGATGATGAGCGGAAGGTCGGACTAGCAGCTTGCAGGAGAACAATGCGATTTACCAGGCATCCAACTTGCTCTCAGAAGCCATATCTTTCGATGAATCTTTTCACCGCCACAGAATATCGCCCTTCTGACATCCAAACCTCACAAACTCCGCGTTATACCTGGTACGCACTCTCTTTTCAGCTTCGACGAGGCTTTCCGACATGAGCTGCTCAGCGAAAAACTCCATCTGCTGCCAGGGCTTGGAACTATCTGGAAGGTGAAGATAAAGAAATGACCTGTAGGACGAAGCAAAGTAGAGTTCTCTTGTGATTCTCATTACTTCACAAAGAAACTAGACATTCTACATTGCATTTGATTTGCTGTAACTTGAATAATCGAATCCCTGCTAATCATTTTCCACAAGATTGACTCATCTAAGACGACGGTTTCATCACATGTAAGCTACATAGTCGTTCGTTATGCTTCAAACCCCATCTCGATGCCCTTGATGGTGGTGACCGGCTTGGTGCCGTGGATGATGGGTCACCCTCGGCATCGAAGACGTCGCCTGACTACGACTCAGCGCACCATTCGTCTCTCTAGTCCCATCAGCAGAAGTTGCAGCAGTCTCGCTCCCAACTACCGTCCCTGTCGCTGTGGCAATCGCTGGAATCCCTGCTGGCAGCGTCGCCGTATCCGCATAAGCGATCCGGAGACTCTCCAGACCCAGCGCCTCCGCCTCCTCCTTACATGACTTCTCCTTACACTGCTTGATACCAAACGCCTCCAACATATCGTCTCTGGAAAGCTGCGTCTCTTCCTCGTCGTATGCTTCGCAGGACGACGCTTCGCTGGTGCCGTTGATACCTAGCGCATCCAGTCCATCCAGCACGTCACGCTTCACCAGCGAAAATTGGAGTTTGTAGTCGGCCTGCTGAGGGACAGCGTTGGCGACCACGCCACCACCGAACCATGGATCCCGGTCTAGCAGAGCGAAACCACGGTCATCTCTGTTGGGCTTTGATGGTTGACAGCGGTTGTCTGCCAGACCCCAGTCGGGAAGCATGGGGTTGGGCATGGCTTCGAAGCTGTAGGAGTACGTTTGACGCTTGAATACCGCTTCGACGCTGCGAGTGATGGTCGTGGTTCCCTTGGCATCGGGCTTGTCTTTGACTTCTTTCGTGTTAATCAAACGTACTGGGGGAGATTTAGCACAAATCCCTACCCAGCCTTTTCCAGCGAAGTTATTTTCTTGCTTATCCAGATAGCGGATGAACTGCTGAACGTCGACTCCGGTTCGTGCTTGGGCGCCTTCAAGGCCGATATAGCCATCGTTCGCGATCAGAAATGCTGCTGGTGGCCATTCATCTCGTTCACACGCATTGCCTCCGATATCTTGGAACCAACCAAGAGTAACTGGGACCTTTTGAATGGTTCGAACAGTCGGACGATCGACGTTATATTCGGCAACACCAGGCCTTTTGGTTGCTTTTGTGGCAGAATATTTGCAGGTGAAGGTATCATAGGCCTGGCCTTGAGCGGCGATAACAGAACTGTAATGTAAGCAAGCTTGGCCACCGGGCTTGTTTCCTCCAGCGTAAGTACAAACGAATTTGTCTTTCGGTCCAGCTTCGTCAGATATCTTGGTGGTGACCGTGACGTATTTCTCGTTGACGCAAGCCGGAGCTCGTTTATCCAGAGCTCGTTTCTCCAGATCTCGCTTCGGTATGCGAGGACAGTTTGAACTGGTCTTGGCAGGAGAGTGCGTTGAGGTTGGAGGTCGAGATGTCACAGGCTTTGTGGGTTTGTCCATCGAGAGAGTATGCTTTTTGCCGAACACTTTGAACTCTGCCTTGCCTTCCTTTTCGATTCCCTTGACACATGCTTGGATGATGGCAGGTGTAGCTGCAATCTCTATGAGGTCCAGAATCTCGCCTAGAGTCTAGTTAGCAATGTTCAAATTCCGCATCAAGTGGAAATCGGGTTGAGGCAGAAGGTTGAAGTGGTCTACGTAAACACCGGAGTACATACCAACGATAGGTATCGCGTCCTCGATAAGCTCAAGTGGGAGCAGCAAAGCCGGCACTGCAATACGACAAAATGCCTTTGCTGCAATATCCAAAGCAACTTCAGCAGCAATAGCTTCAGCAGCATTGCTTGCTAACTCTTTGGCGTCTTTGGCCAGATCTGGACCATTTGGAGCAGGCTGGAAACCCTTACAGCAGTAGCCTAGTATGCGTTAGTCCTGCAATGACTCTCCTGATACAGGGGGTTACTTACTCTGTAGCCCACCAGAGCATGTCTGGTCTTTCTTCTTCTCCTTGTGGTTAGTATCCTGAACCACCTCTGTCTCTCCATCATCGCAGCCAGAAATACACGATAAGCCTACACCTCGGTATCCTCTCCACTGACAAGTACCCATCGTAGTCCCGTCATCACAGCAGAGACTTCGATACTTCCCCTTGCTGCAGCGATCGTTTGTTGAAAGCGAACCCGGTTGTCCATTCATCTGTTCGACTTGGTTTGTGCCTGACTTGCACTTTGCATCACAATCGGTAGTGTAGCATGAGATACCTGCAGTAAGATCGGCGGCTTTTTGTTTCGCGTCGGCCTGTTGATCCTCTGTCACATCGAGCGTGACCGAGTTTTGGTTCCCAGCAGTTTGGTCGACCTGATCCATGGCCCATACCTGTTCTGGTTAGTTGCGGCCATGGGAAGGTGTTGGGAAATGCTTACCATCAGACCTCCCAAACATCTAGAATTGGCAAAATCGGCCTTTTGCTTGAATGTATCATCGTCGTCGTAGCTGACCCATTGATCGCTTGCCCAATTGATCCATTTAACCCCCGCAGTTTTATCCCAAGTGGGCGTCAAATTATTATCGGAGATGATATCCTTGATCTCTTGTAAATCCAAGATTCCTGCAGCGTTGGAACACTTTCCTGCATCTGCGCCGCCGCTAAACTGACATTTTCCATTTGGAGTCTTGCAAGTTGGATTTGTCAGAGTGAAGCTTCGACCGTACTATGATATGTTAGTGACTATTATGATCTCGAATAATTTCCATTCATTTGCATCGACTTACCCAACCTTGACCCAATACAACCTTGTCAGGTTTGATACCTGCTCTCCAGAGCAAATCGAGTCCTAGATCGATTTCCGTGAGGTTGGTATGTGGTGCAATGTATGGTCCGATATTCTTTGATTCAGCATCCCAAACTCCATGTACTGTTATCAAATCAGCATACTGTCAACTTGCCAAAGACTTTCGCTACCCACAATCGTAAGACATGACATTGAACCAATCAACCGAAGCTTGCATATTCGCCAAGTCAAAATGTTGCAGATACCAGTAGGACGTGGGTAACGTGACCGTGATACCATATTTAGTACCAAACGCAGTCCTCATATCCTTGACGAGCGCGACGTAATTAGCAGTATCAGCTGATGCTCCTCCTCTGTCGTCTGCTTGTGGATACTCCCAATCGATATCCACACCGTCGAAGCCGTATGTATCCATAAAGTCAATCAATCCGCTGATGAATGCTTTGCGGTTTGCGCTGGTGCTGGACATGGTAGAGAATGCTGTGCGAGTAGGCCCGGGGTCTGTGAACGACCAACCTCCGACTGATATCCTAAACAGACGTTAGACTTGCGAGTACATCGACCATCCCGAGCAGAAATAATGCAAAGGCCAAAACTTAACAAAAGGATATAATTGAACATACCAAGTCTGCACACCCTGTGACTTCAGCGCCGTAAACCTCGAGTACAAATACCCCGTCTTCCCGTCCATCGGCGCAATAGCGAACGTGGTCGGATCAAAAAACGCAAACGCGAAATTGATATGTGTAAATCCATTCAGATTCAGGTCTTCCGGCGCGACGCTCTGGCACTTGCGCGTATTCGACCAACTTTCGTAGTAGCCAACTGAGCGCTTCGCAGCACTGTTGCCTCCTTTGCAAGAAGGACGTGTTACGGGACCGCAGCCTCCGAAACCTGTTTGGCAGCCAGTGCTGCAGAATTCATCGGTAGAGCCGCAGAAGCTGTGATGGTTAGTGAATGTACATATCATGAGATCTTGACAGGAATCGGGATGAACTGCTTACCCGAATTTGGAACAACAGACACCCAAAGGACAGGTCTGTTTCCCTATAACTCCGTATTGTCCGCATTCCGCTTTTGCGTTGCAATTAGACTGTGGACGTATTGTCAGCTTCCTGCTGCGAAGGTGGAAGAGGAGAAATGTTGAATCTAGAACAAGAAAATGCACTTACTGTACAATTGCCACTTCCACACTCGGTTGGCGAATAACCACAAAGCCCATTTGTACCACAACACGCACCGTTAACGCAGGGAGTATCTGCATTACAAGTTCCTGTCGGCAAATCTCTCGTCGCAAGACCCAAACTCGACCTAGAGTCCTTTGCCAATTCTACACTAGGGTTGAAATGTGCACTGACAAGTGCGAACACTCCAAATAGGAGTAAAGAGAGCGAAACCCTCATTGATAAGTGAAATGAGGGAAACGAGTGAATTGGTGAAAGGGATGAAAATCAATGTCGTCCTCAGCATTAAAGTAGGAGTGTAGCGAAGACCTTGTATGGAGTGTGCCGTGTCAGCCTTGTATGAAGCGTGCCGTGTTATACTATAGGAATAAGGACCTGCATACCAATAGTACCTGCACCCCTCGACTAGTGGAGTTTGATCGACACGAAACCGGCGTTTTATTAATCTATGATATCTGTGCCTCGTCCATTTAGAATTGATCAGCAGATTGTACTCGCCTTTAACTGGCCTACTTGCAATATGGTGGACGCAGACAAGGATGGAACCTGGAAAGAGAACTCAAAGAGGAATCTGCTCAGCAAAAGTTTCTCGTGGTAATCTTGCACCTGCATGAGGGCGCCGTGCTTGTTGAGCTTATGTGAACTAGTAAGAGCTTACGAGGAGCCTCGAATTGTTGCTTGCACCGAGGCTAGGATGGATATGTCTGTATGCTCTTCGCCTGCCGTTTCCTGAAGTGCTCGCGATCACTCTTCGTCCGTTCCTTCATCTGCTCATTCAGTCTCTCTTTCAATCAGTCATTCCTTTATACAGAGTAAAGATGATGAGATACTCGACCTCGGCAGCAGCGCTCAGCAGCCTCAGCTTGCTATTCAGTTTCAGCAACGCACAATTCAACTTGTACCCGCCAGTTGACCCTACATTGCTAGCGAAAGCATACAATCTTACTGAAGGATGTATAATCGCATTGTAGGTGTCTCCCAGAATTGCAAATTCTGACGATTGCTGAACGAGAATGACTAGAAATGAAACTTTGAGTAACTGCGACCCGACTCTATTCCAGATGGCTGTCAGCTTTGACAACTACTACTGGGAAGACGATAACATCACAGACGTGTGTGATGGAAACTGCACGCTTCAGGCTCGTGATTGGGACTTAGGTGTCTCGTTGGCTTGTGGTGATGGTGAGCAAGACTGCTGGCTTTATAGCCTCATACCACAGAGGCATGAGAACGCAACTGACATGCTAGCAGAGTGGATCAGCGCCTATGGGAAGCTAATTCCTGCCGACTCGATATCGGGACGATTTGTCGATGGTCTGAACACCGTCTGCCTAGGTTCCACGTGAGTTGTCTTTTGCCGATACACCTGTATGAAAACTTACCCCATACAGTACAGATGACAGATGGTGCTTAGGCGCTTCGCAAAACTGGACGGGTGTAGATGTGATCACGCCAGATTGCGATGTGAACCCGGCAGATCCATCATGCACCAGCGATGTCACGCTCCCAGAAAACATGCGGTTGGCCAATCTTTACACCGACGATGTGGTGCGTACTCCTGCTCCCCTATAGCCAGCATCCCGAGAGAGGACCAAACTGACCGAGCAATCGAACAGCTATGCGACAACTGCTTCGTCCAAATGCTCTATGCGCGCGTGACTTCTCCCTATCTCGATGATTCAGATCAATCCGATTTCCTCGTCTCGCAGCTGCAAGACATAGGCGACGTATGCAACATCACCATTCCCGAAATCACCATTCGCGCACTGCCCAGTTACGCTGATGCACCGATGCCGACATCCATCGATTTCGAATCGACCGCTACTTCGACCATCAGCTCGGCAGCAGCGACCACGACGTGTGATGGCCAGATTATCGCATCTGGTTCCGGGTGTGCGGCGTTATCGACGAAGTACGGTTTGACGACTGGTGATTTACAGAAGCTGACTGGGTCGGATACTTGTGTTATTTCTGCAAGCACTTGTTTTCCTGCAGCTTGCACGCTGGGAGCGGTTCCCACTGGTGCGACTTGGTAAGCGAATTATGTCACTTGATTCTGAGCGTCATTGAACGACGAATCGCCTCTCGAGAGGAGGTTATACTGACCCGTAACCAGTGAGTCGTTCGCAACCAGCATCAGCGTCAACACCACCACCGTGCAACTCCTTCTCTGGAATCCCAACATTCAAGGCCTCTGTGACAGCCTCACAGCCGGACAATCCGTCTGCGTCGCAGCCCCGGGCGTCAAAGGGACCTACACGCTCGCCGCACCACCGCTCGGAACCGGGGCTGACGCTGCGAATCAGCAGCGTGGTGGTCCTGGAGGTCGAGTCACTCCTTGCCCAACCTACACCAATCTCCCCGACGCTACATCGGCCGCTGGACCAGTCCAGACAGGGATCGTTGCGAACTGCAATGCTTGGGCGATGGCTGATTGGGGAATTGGGTGTTTCGACTTCGCGACGCAGAATTGTATTAATACGACGCAGCTGTGGGCTTGGAATGGGGTGTTGGGGAAGGATGGGACGGGTTGTCAGAATTCGTTTTGGGCGAAGGAGTATTATTGTGTGAACACATATGCGGCATCGAGTGCGACTCATACATCTACGACGTCAAAGGTGACTTCGTCGAGCACGTCTAAGCAAACTTCATCGTCAGCCGCAACGTCGACGTCAGGAGGAGCACCAGGACCTACCCAGGCAAGTTGAACCCCACCCCATCATGGCGGAAGTGAGCAAACGCTAATCTATAACAGACTGGTATCCCACAGTACTGCAGCAAATTCGCTCAACCCGCCAGCGGTACCGGGTGTTATGATTTCGCAACGGCACAAGGTATTACACCAGCACAGCTGTATGCTTGGAACCCAGCCTTGGGTAGCAACGGCGCGAATTGCGGAACTGCATTTTATGCTGAAGATTATTACTGTGTGGCAGTTCCTGTTCAGGTAAGTGGCAGCGGATCGAATGATGGAAAGAAAGCTGACAGAAGACAGACTGGCATTGCGGCCAATTGTAATAAGTACGCCACGCCTGTTGGCGTTGGATGTTATGATTTTGCGACACAGCAAGGTATAACGCAAGCGCAGTTGTATACCTGGAATCCAGCTCTGGGTACGAATGGAGCGAATTGTGGAACTGCGTTCTGGGCGCAAGAGTATTACTGCGTGGGAGTTAGTAGCTAGGCGAAGGAATCACAATGGATACTCACTAAGAGAATTCAATGATTCAGATCTCGCTTGCCAATTCAATCTTCTGTTGTGTTGAGAGATTAGAATGCGGAAGGAGACTGGAGCGTCGAGGATGAATAACGTGGTGAGGGGAACTGGTTTGAGAAGAGGATTCCCAGCTTACTCCTCCAAGTTGGCTTCCAAAATGGCTTCCAAGGTGTCGAGCCTCTCTCTAAGCTCCATATAGATCGTCCTGGTGCTCCTCATCCCATGCCAACAATGCCTCCTTACACTCCTCCCTTCTAAAACCGTGTGGCCATCCATGCTCCCTGATGATCCTCTGCAACTGCGCATGATTCTCAGCATTCATCTCCTCATCCCACACTTTCTCCGACGACGCAATCCAATCCAAGCTCTCGAATTTCTCCCTCCACTCGGTCAACAGCTCTCCCAGCAGTCTCGTCTCGCCGCATACATTACGCCACGCGCGCGGATCATAATCTTCGTAATCGACTTCTGGCTCCATGCTATCGTTGTGCGCCCACTCTGTCACCGTGCCTGCCAATAATTAGCGTGGTTCGAGTTCAATCAATGAGACTATTAACCATCAGTAGTATCAAGCAACCACCAGCAACCTGAATACTGATCCTGGCTCATAGTAAGCGGCACCACCCAGCTCTTGATCTTTTCATCCTCATCCTCGTACTGATCAGGACTCAACCCCTCCGCCGCACCTACATCAAGCGGTTCTGTGAACGGCGCGGCCGAGTAGTCAAGCGGGAAGGTCTCGAAGGCAATCGCGTATCCCTTTGGCAAGCCAGGATTTCGCAAATACGGGAGGTGTTTGAGAAGCGCAATTACCGTTTCGTTCTTGCGTAATGGTGCGAAGTTTGTTGCAGTGATGTTGGGCCAGCCGCCGGCTGGTGGGAAGACGATGTCGGACGCTTCGATGTATGGCAGTTTGCTGAGGGCGTAATAGTAGGTTGATAGAGCTGTCTTGATGGCTTCCGGGTCGTAGGCTAGGACTCTGCCGTCCAAACGGGGATCTGGTAGGTTGGGGGTTGACATTGTACGTGATGGTAAGAAGAAAAGAAGGTCGGCGCCTTGGTAGCGATGGTCGACTATCCTTTCACTCGCTGGCGTGCTCCCCCTCTGCGCTATGATGTAGCCGAGCCGTCTGATCTACGTGCTCGGACTTTTGTATATCTAGCACGTCGCCGAGCGAGAAGATATGAAACTCACGCTCCGAGAGCTTCTTAGGACGTCCTACGTAAGGAAATAACTTTTGGTAGTCGCGTATATCGCTTGATCAAATAGTCGAAGCGACGGAGGACTTCGGAACGCTCGATAACGTCGAAACAGGCCTATACAGATTGCCGATCTTATGGGCGATTGCGAAGGCCGCGCGCGAGATCAGGTAATACTCCTAGTTACGGCGACCGTTGTATAAGATCATTCAGAGAGGCACGACCATATTGACGTTATCATGGTATGAAGAAGGGAAGGGGTGGTCGCGTTAAGAGGGTGAAGACGCCGGGCCGCACGAAGACTTCTGACCGGGAACTGTAAAGATTCGACCCTTAGCCTCTTAAAACACCGCTTAAGTAGTGAATGCTACTACAGATAAGGATGATTTTACGGAGGAACCTTTCCAAGAACAAAGAATAAAACCTTCTGGCCATGTAGTAACGCCTTCGCCGAGGGTTAAAGAAAAGTCGCTCGTCAGAAATCAACGACTTGGAGAACTCCTCTTGCCAGATCCATATGCCACCCTGCCTTTACGCCATAAAAATGCAACTTTGTCGGCTCGTGTATGTGTTGTGTCCGACAGATCTTGTACGCCCAACGCCTTTCTCTTCATCCCTCAGCCCGACCTTCTTGAGATTGCAGAGCGAACGAGGGTGACTCTTCTTGCCGAAAGCCTCATTTGGCCAACTCCCTGCGCGCCAGTCTCTTAGCGGTGGCAGCTTCGAGTTTGCGTCTAAACTCCATATTTGCAATGCTTCTTTCTATTTCCCGGTGTTTGCTCCGCGACAGTTCGGCATCGAGACCCTATCTCGATGTTTCCTGACTCGCGGTTCTCTGTTGCTGACTGGGCGTCTGAGGCAACAGTTTGATTTGCTTGATGAGATAGCTCTTTTCATCCGAGAACTGATCGTCTTCAGTGCGGTCGGCCAAGAAGTTTGGCAGGAAGTCCAGCAGGCGTTGACGATTCATGGTCAATAGACGCTTGACATCGGCGGACTTGTTGGGGTTTGCGGCGAAGATCTTGAAGACGTGGAAGGCCTCGTACTGAACCATCTTGCGATCATCCTTCAACTGCCACATGATGAGTTTGAGATTGTCGCCGGACTCGACATAACGAGTCATTATTTCGTAGAATTGGCGGTCTAGAAGGACTTCACCAAGCAATTTTATCGATTGGCGCTTAGTAACGTAGCTTTCTGACTTGATGAGGATGTTGTTGTACTTGTCGAAGAAGAGGTCGAAGTTGGTATCGATGTACTTGGAGACCATGGGCTTGTGTCTAACCAGGATTTGCTGCAAATCACAATCAGTATCTCGCCGTTACAGAGAGTATATGATCTACGAACGCGGAAGGTATCGAAAGCATCAGTGCTAACTTCGAACAAGCTCTTGTCGATCCAGTCAAAGAACTTCCAAAAGACACCCTGCCCTGAGGCTGGTTGGTCTGTGTCGATGCTGCCGAGATCTAGGGGTTGGCCGTGTAGGCTGGGCTCGTCGTAAAGAATCAGGGCAGTGACAGCGTCGTGCTTCAGAGCCTCTTTCAAGATGCCTCCGCACGGCATAGCACTCTCGCGACGATCATAGCCATTGCAAAGTGCGATGATGACTTCGGGGCGGGTTGTGATGATGTATTGGAGGGCGATTGGTTGGTCCTCTCCTGGCTGCTTGTATCGCAAGACAGTTGAGATGATGGTCTGTGTGTCTTTGCGCGACTCAAAGGGTAGACGATGGATGTTTTCGGCGAGGACTCGTAGGAGGTCTTCGGTAACGAGGAGGTTCACAAGCTGGAAGACCTGGTCGGGGCTGACGTCGAGTTCTGTGCGCAGTCATTAGTCGCCTTGTGCTTGTACATTGTTCTTCCGCCGCCAGGAATGCTTACCGGGTGTGCCTTGGAGGATGACTTTCATTTGGCCAAGATTCCGTGCCACTTCTTCCTCGATCTGACCGTCGTCAGCCCAGTCCAGTTCGCTCGGGTCGTAGTGGTCGGATACCTTTTGTGAAGGCTTGTCCTCAGCGATTAGCTTCAGCATCAACTCTTTGGTAGACCGGGTCAACTCCTGGTTGGTCCTGGCCTTGCTACGAGCAAATAAGAACGCCATGCTGCCTGTTTCCAGATATGCGCTGCTCTGTTGGTACGTCTCGAATGATGGCGGGGTAGTTGTAGAGGGCCACTTTAACGCCGATCAAACACCAAAACCTGTCTATCAAAATATCAAAGCGAGCAAGGGAAGAAGGAAACTGAAAAGAAGAATGCGGTAAGAAGGGATTGCAAACAAGTCGTCACCGCTCTATGTGTTTACCGTTCGAGATTGACTTTCTAATAAACACCGTCACTCCGAGAAATCTGGGGAATCGGGATGCCGCCTGACATGCTTGGCATCATCCTCGTTTCATGTGATGCTGGAATTGTCGAATAAAATTACTTTAGCTACCAAAATTTCCTTAGAGTCAGGCGCTTGCTTCTATGTGCCCGTCATCGTACATTGGCAAGGCCAGCATCCGACTCTTTGTTGCGTGGCATCATTTCTGGACTCCTTTGGTAAATGTCATGGAAAAAGGGGAAGTTGGAATCAGGCTACCCATATCTTGCACGGACAATGGAAGAGTCACTCGAGACAACATGATAGCTAGAATTCTGGACGTAAATTACTTGTTCTTGTTCCACGAAGGGTCAGAAAGGGAGCACACGATCAAGGCCGTTTTAAAGCTGGTATGGAGGGAATCGGCTTCGTGCAACAGAATATTGACGATAGGTCCAAAGTTCAAGGAGATTATGTCTCGGGTATGCGAAGCCGGGTGTGGAAACTAGGCCTTTGAAGCGAAGAAGCTTTGCTCCCGCCACTATCAGAAGTTAGTCGTGATTGCTAATCATGGAAAGAGCGACATACCTCGTTGGCTTTCATCCTGTTACCACTTTCATAGACAACTAGTTTCTGGACCAGTTCGATTGCATCAGATGGACAGCCAGGCAAGACGCCTGCCCAGAGTTGTGGTGGGTATTCTACGAAAGCCATCTTGCCCCAGTCTGGTAAAGTTTTGGCCTCCTGCATTACATCAGTATTCGATCAGCTTCGGGGCAAGACCTGAAAGGCTTACAGGCCAGATTTTGAGATCTGGAGTTCCCAGTGTTGAGAATATACTCTTGATCAAAGCAAGATCACTTCCAAGATCACCGGAATCGAACAAGGTCTGAGAACCCAGGCTTACCACTTGAGCAGCCACGCAACCAGCCGCCCACATGTCAAGGCTCGAATCGTACCATTGTTTACCAAACAGGAGCTCTGGAGGTCGATAGCTCGTTGTACCTACATCCATGATTTTCTTGTCTGCTGGTTCAGAAGAAGGATCATCGGCCGACCATGCGATGCCAAAATCCGAGATGTAGACTGGACCGGATGTACTCCTGAGCAGGATATTCGAAGGCTTGATATCGCGATGGATTATCCCACAACTGTGGATGTACTCAAGGCCTTGCATCAACTGCGACAGAATAGAGTTCTGGTGGGCTGGTTGGGGCGATCCCTTTCTGAGTTGATCGTCAAGGGTATATTGCATGAACGGAAATGCTAGAACGAGTCGACCACCAGATTGCTGGAAGCTCTCCAAGAGTTCTATCACGAACTCATGGCGAGCTCGGTCCAGCAACCGCACCTCACGCACAGAGTCGTGAGGTGGCTCCATGGCAGATGGATTGGTGACTTTGAGAGCAACCAGGCAAGGATATTTCTCGAACCCTCCCGTCTTTATAGTAACACCACAGCCATCGTGAGCCACAGCCTTGTAGACCTCGGAGAATAAGCCATCGTTGTGATGCACCGCGTTCGTATAGCGGCCAAGTGATATGCCCCCAGTCGGGAGTACTGGAAATTCGTCTTCGTCTGGTCCAGCAGGTTGATTGTCCACGCTCGAGTTTGATGCAAATCCTCTGATTGCAGTGTCAATACGAGAATGATAATCTTGCTACAAGCGAAAAAAAACATCAGAAACACAAGTGGAAAGTGAAAAGGGGCAAGCGGTACATTTAATTACCAGGTTATCTGAGCTGTCAAAAGCGGTTTGCTCTATACTTGTAGCTTCGATCTGAGCATCGTTCGCTGATGAATCTGGACGAGCCAGCACCAAAGCGGCCTGACTGAACGTTGGTCAGCAGAGATAATTTAGATAGCCAGAGCATGACCGGAGCGTGACTTGCACTCTTGAAATGGCATCAAATCGGTCTAAAAATGACAAGTTGGGAGGCATGGCTGGCGGATTGGAGGAGCCGACAGCGTAACTATGATATTATCTATTGAAAATGGCTGGTGGTGGACTGTTTCGGAAAGAGCAATCGGGCAAGTGGGCCTCTGGTGCACAGCCCTTTTTGAGTTTGCGGGGATCATGATGTCGTTCAGCCGGCGGCGAGTTCAGCAAGCAGGCGGCAGCTGAGTCGCTCTCGCCGCGGGAGGATGAGACTTGACCTGAGACCTCCCTTCTGATCTTCTGAGCAGGCAGACTTTGCTTTCCATTCCGAACCCGCAGTATCGTTAGACTCGAAAAGACGGTCTGAAGCAGACGGCGACCGAACAAAGACGGCGCTTTCTCTCGCAGCCTCTTCCACCGCCGCTTATCTCTCCGGCCTTTACAACCTCGCCGTGTGGCCAGCCTGCATTTTCGCGACACGATGCGCATCACCCATTTGCCGTTCCTCGCTGTCGCGCTCTCCGCTCCCACCGTCCTTGCTGCCGATGGATTCTTGTCAGGTCCCAAAACCGAACTTGCCGCCAATGGACTAGAGATTGTGACTGCCAACCCCAAGACATGCAAACGCCCCACCAAGTCCGGAGACAACATCAGCGTCCACTACCGCGGGACCTTACAGGCCGACAACACTAAATTCGATGCATCATATGACCGAGGAGTACCTTTCAGCTTCAAACTTGGTGCTGGGGAGGTGATAAAAGGATGGGATCAGGGTTTGCTAAGCATGTGTGTTGGTGAAAAAAGGAAGTTGGTCATTCCTCCCGAGCTGGCATACGGTCACCGAAATTTGGGTGTCATCCCTCCGGATAGCACCTTGAGTATGTCACACGAACTAGACTGCCGATTTACCCCAATACTGACAAGCTTCAAGTCTTTGAAACAGAACTCATCCAGATAGCCGGCGTGCCCACCGAGGCTGAGGAGCCTAAACCTAGACCAGAGGAGTTTCTTCCTCCTCCACCAATCCCCGAGGACGATTTCCCTCCGCCGCCTCCATCCGGTAGTGGATCTGAGAAAGGACCCAAGGGCATGATGGAAGCACAAGACGGTGAATGCAAGCTTCTTGGACCATTCGCCCTTATCGTACAGGCCGCACTGGGCGCGCTCGCGCTATTGTCTCTCGTTTTCAAGCGCTGGAGAGAGCGTCCAAGACGTCCGCTCAAGATCTGGTTCTTCGATGTGTCGAAACAGGTTGCTGGTACCTTCTTGCTTCATCTCGCCAACTTGGGCATGTCCATGTTCTCGTCTGGCAAATTTGATATGGCCAGCACAAAACCGGAAGACCTTTCAGCAAGTGTATCTTCTGTGACTGCAGATGATGGCAAGATGCCGAACCCTTGTTCATTCTATCTTTTGAATCTGGCCATTGACGTAAGCAGAACACCAGCTTAAACTCCAATCTTGTACTGACATTCTCACAGACTACCATTGGTATTCCTGTTCTCGTCATCTTCCTACGTGTTCTACACAGTCTTTTCTTGAAGACTCCCATGGCGAACCCACCCGAGTCTATCAAGTCGGGCTACTATGGCGCTCCGCCACGTGCTACCTGGTGGCTCAAGCAATCTATCATCTACTTCATCGGATTGTTTGGTATGAAACTTTTCGTCTTCCTGCTCTTCGCAATGCTCCCATGGCTGCCTTGGGTTGGCGATTGGGCTCTGCGCTGGACTGAAGGCAATGAAGCTCTTCAGATTGCATTCGTCATGTTCATCTTCCCTGTGGCGATGAATGGAATTCAATACTACATCATCGACAGTTTCATCAAGGGCAAGGAGTCAGACAGAGAAGGGTTCCAGGCTGTTCCTACAGAGGATGATGAAGAGCGTCACAGAGACAGTGATGATGTGGAAGACGAAGACACTTCCAAGAGAAGGGATAGGGTCAGCACTGCTGAGCATGTAGCCGAAGCCAACCCCACTGCAGTGCCTTCTTACGATCACGAGTCTGATGCAGAAGGTTCGAGCCAGGGAAGCTCAGGTCGCAGGAAGTAGGTTTCTCGCACTTTACGCATTTCTAAATAGTATGAGGTTACGACCAAAGCAACAGTCATCTGCCCGTCAGAATTGGTTTCTAGATTTTGCTCAAGCTGGACTTCTTGATCTTTGGTGACGTGACCGACGTGATGAGTAGTGCGAAGAACCATGTTTGCGATCCCTGCTTCGACTCCTGCTTCTGTGCTTGTGTTTGTGCTGTCTGTCGGATTCTTTCGTATCCGGACGACTGCCTCTTTCTGCTTTAATCCGACGGCTCTCTCGTGTCGGCGCATCGAGGGAGAAGCCTTCAAGACTGTCTACACTTCGACTCCTTGCTCTGTGCTGATGTTTGTGTCGACGCTCTTTCCGCTTTCGCCTCTCCTCCTTCTCGGCCTGCTCCAATTCCCTGAGCTCTCGTTCCTTCTGTGCCTTCCATTTCTCCTTGTCCGTCTCGGCCTGTCTCAACTGTGTTTGTGCTTTGCGCATAAATGCCATGGGGTCATTCGAACTCATCCTTGTTTGCTCTCTGTTTTTACGACTCGTGTCCTCGTTCCCCCAGACGTCTTTGCTGGGTTGCGGGATTTCGGATTCTTGTTTGTTGGAGGAAACATACCATGGTGCTGAAGACAATGACTGCTTGAACCCAGCGGCGTTTGAGAATCGCATGGTAAATTGATCTTCAAACTCGCGCGCTTTCTTCGCCTTGTCCGCTTCTGCTTCGACATTGCGTGAGTTGGCTAGTACGGCACGCTCATTGGGCGCTGCGAAGAGCTGAATGTGGCCAGCGTGATCTGTTATAGACACATCGGCGTCATCTTTCTTCTTCTCGCTTTGACTCATACTCTCACGAGCAGCAGCTCCAGCGGCGGCGTCTTCTCTGGCTATACGCATGTCCCTATCCGTGTCATCTTCGCCTCTCAAACGCCTTCGTTTGCGATCTTGTCCATGACCATCATCTCGGCGCCGCCTGGCAGTACCTTTTTCCGGTTGAGGCGACTGAGATGAGATGGGTGGAGGAGCTTCGCCTCGTAGGATGGCAGTGCGACGAGCAGCATCTTCCTCCTGCATGCGGCGTTCTGCTTCTTCCTCTCTGGCTTGGGCAGCTGCCTCATTTTGACGCACACGGTCGACATTGTCTTTGTTGTAGACGTTCCAACTCTTCTTTCCCAATAAATGTAAGACCATAACTCCAGTGAGGGGTCAAGATATTGAGTGTGAGGCAGGTATCTGTGTAGAGTAGGGTTCAGTCACCGTTGTCACGTTGTGTCAAAAGAAGAACGCCGTGCTTTTTCGTGGCTTGACGTGTGAGCAAAACGGCAGAAAGATGCGAGCGACGAATCAAAGATGGGCGGGATCCCTTCCGTTGGATGATGATCAGTGCAGACCCACTTAGCAACGGTTCGGCCAGTACGGCTCGAAATGCCCGGGATGACTCGCTTTAGAGGACCCCGACGATGGGCGCAACCCAGCGAACTGGTGATGCTAAGAGCAAACGACTTGCATACGCGAATCCTGCAAGCGTCTGCTTCTTTCCGTCGCGGTGGAACCTGGTGCAACTGTCATGTGTTTTTCCCTCGCTCTCTACTGCCAACTCCCGTCTTGTCTCTCTTGACATCTGTTGTCCTTTGCTCTTTGCGCCGGTCCAGGGAATAACTGCGGAGCTCTCGGCCATCATCAACGACTCGACGCGCCAATTGGCAACGGCTACAGAGAGGATACGACCACCCGCGTCGTCGCACCTTCCTTCAGCGGCCGCCCCAGCCATTTTTCTTGAACCAGTGCCCACTCAAGGCACGCTGTGCCCTTCGCTGGGATCCAGCAAGCGATCCGCTTAATTGCAGGGGGCTCGGACACCTCGCAATCTCATCATACTTTTTTTCCTCTTTCCCAAGAACAAGAGACTGAGACAGACAAGATTCGCTCTCTCGACATATCACTTGATTTCACCGTGCTTCCTCCCACCTTTCATCGTCTTCGAGATCTATAACAGCCGACTTCATCTATCGTCCCGCACCAAATCGCGTCACCCGTACCCTGTCAAGGCTCGAGCACCGTCTGACACGTAAATCGCACGTCATGCCAACATATCTAATACACGGATTTCGCTGGCCGCGACCACTCGTCCGCATCCACATCATTCTCCAAAACCTCGACGATGCAGCGGCGGAATGGCTCATCGCGCCTGCGACGACAGAGACACTGCTCGACAACTTCAGCGAGCTATGGCCCCAGACCATGGCTAACCTGCCCAATCTTCGTTTCGTAGAACAGTACGACCCAACCGACGAGTCTCCAACCGCCTGCTCGCAACCGTACGCCTACATTGCTGATATCTGTCACGAGGTCAAACTAGGCATCGAGGTGGACGAGGTTAGAGGAAAGGGCTTGGGTGACGAGCAATGGGGTGCATTGATGGAACTGAGAGACAAACTTGCAGCGGACGAGAAGGTTGGCTGGTTCGTGGTCGTATGCGGGGATGAAGATCGATTGGATACTGGACCTGACACGGACGAAGAGGAAGAGGAGGGCTATGCGACCAACACGACCGCTCCCGTCGAACTCCCAGTACGCGAGGCTGTGCGCAACAGACCGATGGCATCAAAAGAAGGCGGATACAATGGAGCGACACCTGAAACGACTTATACCAACTACAGCGATACCACAAGCTCAAGGCGTAGCCGGCACAGCAGAAATAGCAGCGATGTAGGCTTCAGCACGAGTGAGAAGTACACAAATTCGAAGAGACTAACACAGTCGCAGCGCACACCTACTGTCACGACAGCACCAACAGCCAGTCCCAGCCTGGAATCCCCACGTGAGAAGAGAGGATTGCGGAAGATGTTCAGTATGGTCAGGCAGAAGAGCATGTCTAGTCTTCGCAGCAAGAAGAGGTGAGAGGGGCGTTCTCCCAGAGTTGAGTAGGTGATACTGACAGTTGTGACAGCTCGAGAAGTCTTCGCGAATCAGCAACTCGTAACGACTCAGGATCAGCACCACCTGTACCACCAGTACCACCCATGCCTCAATCACCGATGCGGCAATAGCGAAATAGCGAAGGCTGTACCAATGATATGCGACATGTGAAACGTTTTACTTGAGTGAGGGGAACTTGGTCCCTCACTATCGGAGTTAATTGTTGTTCTACTTGGAAGAGTGTTTGGGCGATTGTGTAAGATTCATCAGCTGGACATGGCTCTATGGCAAGTGGGGTTATCTAAAAGGAATATTGGAGCAGCAATTGCGCAGGTATTGACAGTACTATATAGGCTTATACACGACAGTATATCACAGCAGACAAGCAAGCGAACACAAGACATGACGATGATTGAATTGATAGGCAGAATAGAGTTGAGATCAAGGTGGACCGAAAACGGAAGGTAAAGGCGAGAACGGAGGTGCTGGCCGCGAACCCCGCAGACGTCAGCTGCTCTGGGGGGTCTCGGTTCAATGCATACCAGCTCGAGCACTCTTGCATTGTGACCTATCAAAAGACAATCTGTCAAACCAACCCGCCATCATGGCGCCAGCATCTTCCCTAGTTGTATGCACCTTCCCGTCTCAAACCCCCGTACAAATGCAATCGACTGACTCCCCACACCACAGAACAAGCTCAAAGTGCAGCTCAAGCTGTCAATCTCGCGCCTCCGCATGGTACAGCAAAAGGACACTGCAATCGCCAAACAACAACGCCGCGCCATGGCCCAACTCCTCGAACAAGCCAAAGACGAATCCGCCCGCATCCGCGTCGAAAACATCATCCGCAGCGACCTCACCACCGAGCTCCTCGAGATCCTAGAACTGTATTGCGAATTGCTGCTCGCTCGCGCCGGCTTGCTGGAAGCCAAAGAATGCGATGCCGGCTTGGAAGAGGCGGTCAAGAGTATCATATTCGCGGCACCCAGGACCGATGTCAAAGAGTTGCATAATGTGAGGGCGTTGCTGGCTGAGAAGTTTGGCAAGGAGTTTGTGCTCGATGCGACGGAGAATAGAGATGACAAGGTTGCTAAGAGGGTGGTTGATCGGTTGAGGGTTGAGCCGCCAAAGACGGAGTTGGTCGAGGCCTATCTGTCGACCATCGCGGACGCATACAATATCGACTGGCCCAAGGGTCGATTGGCTGCTAGGGAAGCCGCTGCCAATGGAAATGACGAGGATGAGGACGATTATGATCCTAGTGGTGGACAGAAGGTGCCGGCTTATGAGGCTTCGGAAGAGACGGAATCGCTGGCTCATGCTACGCCCCCTCGCAACTTGGGTATGAAGAGTCCGGTCAGCGTGGTGCCGCCGAGTCCATCTACCGACAACGTCTCTCCACGTATCAAGTTACCAGGACCTCCAGATCTCAAACCCTCAGCCAAGATGGTAAAAGCCAACAAACCCGATACAAGCGGTCCTGGAGGCAAGATCCCTGATGTCAACGAGTTGGCAGCCAGGTTCGCTCAATTGAAGAGGTAGCGCCCTTCTTGCTTCTCGATATAGAGTCCGCGTAGGTCTGTCACAGCTGAGACCTAGTTTACTAATATCATTTGTTTCCGATTCCCCCATGTATGCTCTTCTTCACTCTTACTACACAGTTCCCGCGTTCTCACCATCCCCAAAGAAGCGGCAGACAACAAGTCGACCGCAAAGACAAGGACAAGAGGAGAGTAGTCGTCGATCTGCGATCTCGTGATGGAGAGTTGCTGCGCTCTTTTGACATTGTCGATCTCCTTAATCGCACTTCCAAACGGCAGTACGATGGCCCCTGAGACAATCGTCGACCGTACCCAAAGCACGTGCATCTCGGCTTCGCAACAAAGGGCTTCGAATTAATCATGAATGACTGCAGCAATCTACAACAAGCAGGCTTCGAGATCAGCTCTGGTGAGACGATCTACACTGGCCTGGTTGCTGCGCATTGGTGCCCAGGTGAACTTTACCAATATCGTCAAGGCTTCTGGCACGCTGTGCAGTCACTGCACATCTGCTTGGTACTCTATGTACTTAGGTGACCATTTGGGGTTGTCTGCAATAGCGATAATGCAAGAGATATGATATAGGCAATGGCTGGGACGAGAATTCACAAGTGATATGTAAATGACGATCAAATCGTTTTAGTCATGTGAGCTGATCTTCTCCAGGTCGTTCACATGGTCTTTTCGACACTGATCGAAAGGAAGAGTTTTCCAAGTCAATCACACCAAGACCAAAAGTCTCGGCACTTGAGCTAGTAAGGAGACACACCCATGCGTCAGCTGCGGATTGATAGGACTATCTGGACAACACGCAAGTGTGACGATGAATTGATCCTCCTCACATCCGCCAGCTTTCATATCTCGGACACGTTTTGCTTCTGTCTAACATTTCTCATGATGAAAGATGGCTGGGGTTTGGTCGTCCCTGAGGATATGTACCCAAGGTCAAGAAGGTCGAGATCAAAAACATCGAGGTCAAGAATATCAAGGCCATCATTTGCGACGATACAGGCTCCCAAACCCACGGTTCAAAAAGGCCAGCATCCTAGCATCACAAATTCGAGCTTGGGTTATCATGAATCAGTGCAGCAACTTTACGAAAAACCATGATTGAGATTTTGCAACATCGAACGATTTTCAGGGACCTGATCGATGGAGGTCTCTTGGAGTTTGGTTAAGATTTTACATTGCAAGGACTGGATTGTGAGTTATGAGTGGTTTATTCCTGGTCTCACATTCGCGTTTGTTTTATTCTTGTCTGACCGAAGATGGAACGAGAGTAGAGCTTGGAAGGCACCACTGTCAAGCAAGGGATAAGGGGCCAGCGTTGTCGTCAACCCAACAGCACTGTGGATCTTGCAAAGCAATGACGAACCGAGCTTCTACATGCTGCTCTGATATCCACACATGAGCAGCCTTTCACGGAGGCGGTCATCAAAGCCAGCGTGTGTTTCATTGTCTGATGTCAATTTCTGATACCGCCGCTAAACCTTTGTTTGAGATCCTGAATCCGGACAGCCCCTTGACATTCCCCAATGAAAGTCTTCTTTGCCTTCACGGCAGGTCAGATCGTCGAGTCTAGAGATGAAGTGCAGCCAACCATCTGGTGAGCTCCTTGTGACTTTGTCCAGATCTTCAAGCACACCACTCACACCACATGCAGACTATCATCAGCAAAACCATCAAATCACAACACCATCCACATAACCACTGACCAACATCACATTGAAGGATCTCCTCCCCAAAACTCAACCCCTTCAACAACCGGAAAGCCTTTTCTCAACCATGAACCCCATCACAGACACACGAATACGAGACTGCGATATCTGTCTAACATCCCACCCCTCCATGGAACTCCTCCAATGGAACTGCGGCTCCTGCTTCTGGTGTTTCGATTGCATATCCTCCGGCATAACCTCCGCACCTTTAAAATCAGATTGGCCGCAGATATGGTGCGGTCATTCCATCCCCCTCCCCATTCCTCTGTTGGTTATTCTCTTGCGCTCTAGACATCATATCGATGAAGCTATTTATCAAGAATGGGATGGCAAGTTGAGGGAGTGGGAAATGATTATATGTCCTTATTGTTTTCGAATGACGTATCCGAAGTTTGTGGAGGGCGAGGTGGTGGTTTGTAAAGGTTGTGGATTGCGCATTTGTGTCGAGTGTGAGAAATTGGCACATCCAGGTCTTTGTATACGCACCTCGAAAGAAGACCTCCAAGCGCTGGAACAGGAAGCAGCAGCCACATGTCCTTCCTGCAAACTCGTCGCCGTTCGAACGGGAGAAAAATGCCAACACATCACCTGCCCCAACCCTTGCGGTCAAAACTACTGCTCCCAATGCTCAAGGGATTGGAAAGAATGTAACGGATTGTGCAAGATAACCACTGCTGATGTCCTAGACAAAGCGGCAGGCAGCTCAAGTCAAAACGTCATCAAGACATTACTGCTTAATCTCAAGCGTGATGTCGAGTTGGAAATGCGACTGTTGGAGCAACATAAGAAGGCGAAAAAGAAAGTGGCTGTTCTCAAGGAAGATTGCGATTCTTTTCTGTCCATCATCAAGCAAGCGTTGGAGGATGATGCAATCACTCATGCGAGAGTTGCAGAGATCAAAGAGTCGGTTGAGAAATTCTTGGAACCGTTGAAAATGGCACGAGGGGTTGAGGTCTTGGAGGAAGAAGAAGAAGTCGTATACCGTAAAAACTGGAGGAAGCGTGGTCCTTCTCCCGATCCTCCGTTTGCGGCGATCAAAAAGACCAAGACTGTGGCTGTGGCTGAGGAAGAGGAGGAAGACGCAGAGAAAGATTCGGATGATCTTGATCTGGAAAAAAGCTTGACAGCTGCTCTGTCAGAGGGGCAAGACGAGGATGACCATATTCATGACGACGAAGAGGAAGATATTGAGATCCTTGTTGGCGGCGACGAATATGGAGAAGGTGATGAAGATGAGGATGAGGATGAAGAATATGGGAATGACTGGGACGATGATCAAATAGAGGAGGATTGGCCCAACTACTAAGCAGCCATGCACAGGGTTGTAGGGAAGCAGATAGTATATATTGCTCATAGAAGTATTTCTATATCTCCGCAGCTCTCGTGGTCTTGTCGTAAAACTCCAGCGTGCATGCAGCCAGGAAACAAGGAATCTCCTTGCGACCATCGACCCAGAACTCGATAAGCGGACGAATCTCATTCGCAAACACACTCTCAGTGCCACCTGATACCTTCATGGTACCCTTCTCACCATCGAATAAGATTGAATTTTCTTCTTCTTCGCCATCCTTGTTGATAGAGGTAGGATACAGGATCGATGTGACCTTGAAGCGTCCATTAGGTTGGAAGACCACTTTCCAGCCTAGCGTTGCTGCCACGGCTTCTGCGAACTCGAGGAACTTGGCAGACCAGATTGACTTGAGGCGTAATTGCTTTTTGTCGCGTTGGGCGATCGCGGCTTCAAGCTCGCTCATCTGAAGTCGTGCGTGGTCGAGTGTGCTGATAGGAACCACTTTCGTTGCGCCATTGGGTCGACCTTCGAGCTGCTCGAGCAAAGCGGCATTTTCCTCCTTTAATGTTCTGAGGGTTGTCATTTTGATGGCTTCGGCTTGTGCTGTTGGATTGTCGCGCAGCTCTAGCACTCGTGTTCGTGATGACTCGCGCAGAGCGTTGAGTTGACTTGTCTTTGCCTTGAGCTCGGTCTCGATGGTCGAGTAGCGAGTTTGCAGTGCTGTCAAATCGTCCTGGAGTGTGCGTGTCTTACGGCGCATTTCGCCTAATCGCTCGTCTGACTCTTCTTCGTGAGGTCGCTTCAGAGATTGTGTTGGCGCAGCAGGAGTACTGCTCTCCAGTTGCTTCATCTCAGCAGACAAGGCCTCGACTTCTGAACGGTATTGATCGATGAGGGCTTCAAGCTCTTGAGTACGCTTGTTCTCCTCTTGATTGGCCTTCTCCGGCTGGAACTCGTTCTCTTCGGCTTCGAAAGCCTTCATCTGAGCTCGTAGATATTCGACCTCCTTGATGGCTAGATTCTTTTGACGTTCGAGACGTGCGCGAGCTTTTGCGTCGATAGGGGCGGCAGTGCTTGATGTAGTACCAGCACCTTTCAACTTCTCGATCTCTGCACGAAGTTGAACCTTCTCATCTTCCAGCGTCTTGATGTTAGCATCGCGCACGGTGAGTTCGGGTTGTATCGCGCCCAGCTTCTCGATAAGAGTGAATCTCTCCATGCGCTCATTGACAAATGCCTTGGCCATGTCCTCGGGTGAGTCGAAAGTCATCTCTTCCCTGCCAGCAGCCTCGCTCTCCAGGTAACTCGTCCAACTGCGCCTCTCATCCTCCAGGATTTGCTTTTGCAATTGTGCCTCTGCAAGCTCTTTGCGCAAGTCTTCCATAGCACGGACTTTCTGTTCTAGAGCTCGCTTCTCTTCTTGAACAATCTCGACGCTCTTGTGGGTCTTGCGTAGTTGTTTCAGCTCAGCAGATTGGTCCCTGTTTGTAGATTCCAGTCTCTTGATGTGAGCGACCTGCTCTGAAAGCTCACGCTTGATAATGCCCAGAGTTTCCGAATCACCAGTTTGGGCTTTCAGGCGGAGGATTTCATTCTCAAGGTCACCGGTTTCTGATTCGCGTTGCGAGAGACGCTGTTGTGTGGATTGCAGAGCTGAGACCTTGGACTCTAGGTCTCTCTGTGCTTCTTCAAATGATGCCTGGAGGGCGCTATGTCTGGCTTCGATATCATTGAGGCCATGCTTATGTTCTCTTTCGGCGGATGATAGACGCGATTCGGCATCTTCAAGGTCTTCTCTCAGGCTCTGGTTGTCGTCCTGCAGTGTGCGAATCTTGCGTTCCAGCTGGATCTTCTCGTTGGTGTGTCTATTCTCAATGTCGTTGACTTCGCGTGTCAATTGGTCCAGCTTTTTAGCGCTTTGTTGTGCGGTCGACTCTGCAGCCTGGGCTCTCTTGAAGTCGCGCTCGGCGCGCTGCTCGGCATCGCGGATCTCGCTGGCTTGTTGGAGCGCCGTAAGCTCCTTCTCCTGTTTCAATGAGTCGAGCTCATATTGTAGTGTGTTGAGCTGTGCTCGTAATGACTCATTGGCGATGTCTGGACGATTCCGTCAGTTTCGTGGTTGCGTGTTGGCGTTGGCGCATTGCAACACTCACCAGGGCGTGCGACGGTCGCGGTCGATTGACGAAACGTCTCGCGCAAAGGCTGTCGCGCCGGCGATCGCTCTTCTCCAGTAAAAAAGTCGAAACTCGGTTGGATTGCGTTTCTCGCCATCACGGCATCTTTGTTGGTGTATAACTACTCGTACCATTCATGTCAATCGGTAACAATCAACAAAGCCGATGTGAGCTTTCGGTCCGTGTCACATGTCAATCACCATCGACTTTCCGCTTGCAGCGACCATATCTCATGCTCTCTCGAACTATCTCTTTCACCTCCGGCTGCTGACGATATATAGATATGTAAGTGGTTTCAATGACTGTCACTTCCGATATCTTGTGCTGTATCGAAGGGGTAACCCTGTCTGATGTGACGGCCGCTGTCCGGGACACCCTGCTCCCACTTTCACAGGTTCATATATCCATCAACATTCTCTGATATGATCTGTAAAACCTGAGACACTATCTCCGGTACTATATTGATCTACAGTAGTTGTTGATTTGTGCCATGTCTGCTGTGGGGCCAATCCTCTGCATTATCACGGCATACTTCCAGAGCGACCTGAGGTTCACTTATTCAAGAACTATATTCACACTTTACCCTTTGGAGACTACACGATGAGCGTGTGTCATGAGCTTAGAAGACGCGGTATCTTGCAGCTGTTGACTATAGCTTGCACTCATCAATATCAGTCGCCAATCGCTTGGTTATCTCCAACTTGATTCCATTCCGGGTTGCTGCGACTGCTATCCTTGAAGCAGGAGCAGGAGCAGGAGAAAGCGGGGCTGCGTCTCACCAATCGCTAGCTCTTGCATACTGCATGCGTCTTCGAAGCGAAAGCAGGTCAGGATACTCTTGTAGTGACGGTTGTGGTCCCAAGGAAACATGCTCGTTGTATCGATCGCCAGAAAACACAAATCATACAATGGATCAAGCCTTCACATTTTAGAAGCTTCTATGGACGATACAGTACATACACAAGGGCGAAACAATTAAGAAAAAGCAATGTAAGAGGGAGGACCGTGGAAGCCCAGTAAGTTTCGAGCGGCGTGAACAGCATCAAGTCGTTGAGGTCTCGTCCTCCTGCTGAACGCCATCATAGGTCCAGGGGTATTCGTGGTGAGGTTCGGGAAGACTGAAAAGGGTATCAGAAAAAGAGCTCGTCGTCGGGAAGTGATCAGTATCCTGACTTTTCCTGAGCCTTTTCAGCGTATGTCTCCTTCTTCTCGTTGGCTTCGTTGGCCTTCTGCTTGGCTTGCTCTCCGTAAGCGCTGGCCTTGTTGTACAGGCTGTTGAGTAGCGAGTTGCTCTTCTGCTTGGCCTCTTCAGACTTGGGTCCGAACCAGTCAGCAAGAAGGTTGACACTATCAGCGGCGATCTTGAGTTGGGTCGAGATGATGGCCAGGAAGCTCGTGCTCAAGCCGTTGCCACGGTTGTTGCGAGATGCAGTCCTGTTGTACTGGTCTTCGTAGGTGTTCATGACGTATGTACGACCCTCTCCAGCGACTCTGAAGGGGAAGAATGCATAGTTCACGACCGTGTCCTTGATGGTGATGGTGTCTTCTCTGACGATGGGGAAACGTGTGTCGACCTGCTCCAGTCCCTTGTCGGCCAGACTGTCGGCCTTGGCCACGTACGGTGCGGCATATGAGTAAGGAGTTCTCAGGTAGGGCATGACGGGCTTTCCAAGCTTGGTGTAGGCGGTTTCGGCAATGTCAAGAGACTTGGCTCCGTAGGGGTTGCTGAGGAATGTCTCGACGCTGTCATTGACGACGGGGTATGACTTCAAGTGCTGGGACTGATCAGCATGTATACGGTATGCAGGAGACGCATCTCAAGCAACATACCGAGAAGAATTGTGAGTGAGGCTTGTCGCCGTTAGTGACGGGGCTCGACATGTCGCTTTCTGCGTGAGGCATTGGATCTTTGCTGATGAGTAGTGGTTAGAATAGGGATTTCAGGTAGTACACAAGAGTTGATGCAGCTTGGAAGACAACAAGCAGAAAGACTTCTGAATGTCACTCATTCGGAAAGGTAAAATACTCACTCTGTAGATAGTATCTTTTAGAAGTGTCGACGGTCAATGGCTGTTTCCTGAGAAGCTGGCAGAATGGGATAAAAAGTCAAGGAGGATCAGAAGCTGGAGGAAAAGTCAAGGTGAGATGATCAAGAGGAACAGGCATGGCGGTGGTGTTATCTCAAGCTAATAGCTCCGCTACAGCTGCAGTGTTCCTTCTTCACAAGCAACGATGTCACTTTCCCCATTCCCTGGATTTGCTGTCGGTTGCACCGCTTGGCGGCATGTGAATTTCACATGTGATTCAACGACTTCTTTCACCACTCAACCACCCTCCTCCCTCCATCCCCGCGGTTCGACCAACCGATTCCATCTCGCGAGTACGACGCTGCCTGTCGTGGCATGTTTGACAGCTACCCCCGCCGCCTCGTAAATGTCAGGTACTGCACTGCACATGCGCGCTTTTCTCTTCTGCACCCCTGTTCGCCGACCTGCCTCCATTCCTTCGAGATAGCAACCGTAGGGCAGACCTTCTGATGGCGACATATGATTCGCCTTTGTCTCCTCATATGGTGCTGGTTTAATTCGCGTATCTGGCTTCGGCACCGTTATCGACTCCTTCTCAGCACTTTCCATCAAGCATGTGAATACCAAATGCTACCAACTCGCCGTCTCCCCGGGTGTATTATACCGACGAGAGATTACAAGCATCCCCAGCGTTACTTGCTGTTGACAATTTGCCGGATCATCGACCGCCTACGGGGATGCTGGGATATCCAGATCCGTAGGTCTGTCAGTGACACGGCCGGGTTTACAGTCTTGACGATTGTGCCACTCTTGTTCATCAGTCAAGAGTTTCAAGCTGTATCGAATGACCTCGAGAACTGCACCTGCCCGCTGGCCGGTTTCTACAACATCGCTTCCAAGGCATTTGATATGAATTTCTGCGACCTTTCATCATGGCGATGTATGCTATGACGAAAATAAATTGTGCACGTCTTGTTGGGACACCAGCCAGTAGTTAGACTCGGCTTATTGAGATCTAAGTCCCGCGCCGTATAGTTGGCATATGAGACTCGACATTCGGTGCCGCATCACGACACGTCCCTCAAAACCAGGGGTATGGATCTACTTGAGCACAAGTGGATGTTCGCTGTCGCAGGCTTACCTGCCCGGGGCAAGGAAGCCGTGCCAATAGAGACTGGACTTCTCAACCATGCGAGTGACAGTGCGACATTGCGCCGCCATATTATGCAGCTATATTACTCAGTTGCTCATGTCAATTGCTTTCAAAGACTAGTGTCAGTAGCATACTCCCTCTGGCCGAGTAGGAGCAAGATCGCACCGAGACGCGATAGCGTCTTTGTGACCCTGGCCGTGCTTGTCTTCCTCCGAAGCTTCCATGGGCCATCACGCTCAGTCATGTTCGACGTTTACTTCTGATTCAGACTTGTCAAGCACTGTATCCACTCTGCGATCAAAAGTCTTCCAAAGTGAGACTGATTATTGAGAAATACTGTTTTGGACTAGGTAGTCTCCCGATTCGAAGGGTGGCTTTTCTGTGAGCGCACTTGCCATGACTTGGCAACGGATCCGGCCGAGAGTCTGTCTGGCATGTCAACAACCTCACCTTCTCCTGTACAATAATTTTCCTGCAGGCTAGCCGTCGTCCTTTCTGATGACACAATCAAGCATGGTCCGCACCGTTTTAACGTTGTCATCTTGGATAGCTCTTCTTTTCTGGCCGCATCCGGCTTCTGGCTTTGAGATCTGTAGACCAGCGAGTCGTGCGGCAGTCTCTGGGCCAATCTAGAGTTGTTTCGTCAACGACCCCAAACGGCTGCTGAACATCTGAAATATACACGGAGATGTAGCTGCGATCTTTGTCACTGCATAATCGCGATGTAAACGGAAGGCGTCTCGGCGTCTCATTTCAACCTCATATCACAACTCCTCGATTCTCTGCTCGAGACATCTCGAAGCTACCTCTCCATTTCTAAGGCTGAAACAGCGAGTGAACAGTAACGTCTAATAACTCAATTCAGTACCGACAACAGCCTGCCTAGACCAAGCCCCATACCTACATGTGGTCGGCAATGGGTTGAAATGCGGAGGACAAGATTTCAAGTAGGCACGATAAGTCCTAAATCGTCGCTGGCCGGCTTGTAGCATGGGACTATCATACCAAGCATCCAACGTTGTCAACGGCATTCTGCCTGCCCAAAGGAGCCGGCACTTGACCACGCGACATTGTAGTACCCACCAGACAACAAGCAATCTACATACAGCTGCAGTCGAGATGCAGGTTGATGTACCTGGTAGCTACAGCTTGACTGCACTGTGTCTGGCAGGTCCGATTTGCAATCGCATCCACCACGTAGCTTTTACTGGACTCTGACCATGAATCGCACCTAACGTCTACAGCATCTTGTTACTCCGTCAGTTTCGCCGTTGTAGCTTCGACGGTAACAGTTGCGCAACTGGAAAAGCGAGCCTCCACAATATAACCTATTGGAAGGGATGGGCCTGGATTCTACAGTCTTGAGGATATAAACCACCGCTGCCATCTTAAAGTCAATCCATCATCATCAGTTCAATCTCAATCTTTAATACAACAACCCGACTCCGGATACACTCATTCGATCTCTACTTCACAGTCTTTCTCTAATACACCATCACTCATTCAAAATGGTTGCTCTCAAGAGCACCGCTCTCAACATGATGGCCATCGGTGCCATGGCTGCTGTCGCCAATGCCGATCAGTCGCTTGAGAAGCGCTACACTTCATCCTCTTCTGGATCTCTCGTCAAGGGCGGCTGCTACTACAGCGTCCCCAATGTTGGTCTTTTCACCACTAGAATGACCTACTCTTGGGACAACGCCTTCACTCTGGCTGCCACCGGTGTCGGTGTGGTCCAGGACCTTGTTTCCTCCCTCTACACTGTCGGTGCCGGCAACTCTCCCCTTCCCCGCCGCTTCGACCTGGTCAACATTGGTGTCTCGCTCCTTGACCCCTCCATCACTCTGACCGTCCCCGGTGGTCAGACCAAGGGTCCTATCTCTTCTGCTCAGATTACCACTGCTTACGATGACATCCTTTACGGTTCCGTCCGTACCGTCGCCAAGATCTCCAGCGTTCCTGGTACTACCCACGGTTTCTCTTTCTACGCCAACGACACTCAGGAGATTGATTTCGCCTTCTTGACCACCAGTTCTGGTGTTGCTCACTTGACCAACGAGCAGGTCTCTGCCGATAGCCCTGCCACATCCTACCAAGTCTCGGCTCCTAGCGATGCCACTTCAGCCTACCACGAGTACCGTGTTGACTGGCTTCCTGGAAAGGCCATGTTCTACATCGACTCTAAGCTGGTGCAAACCATCACTGGCAACGTGGTAAGTACATTCTACATCATGTCATCAAGGGTTTGAAGCTAATACTAAAAATTCAGCCCACAAGCCCTGGCTTCTGGTTGTGGTAAGTACCTCGCTGTTCTTTCAGTGCTCTTCAATCACTAACAATCATTTCAGGAACAACTGGTCCAACGGCAACGCCTGGGCTCAAGGTCCTCCCGCCAAGGATAATGTCCTCAAGATCCGCAGCATCGACGGCTACTTCAACCGCACCAGCGTCCTCCAGACCTACGCCGCCACTCCCTTCGGCTGCAACATCTAAGCTATTCAGTCTTAGGATGAAGAAATGGAATATCAGGAGACGGCGACGATGAAGCTCAAGGCTTCATCAACAAAAACCATACAACATTGCATTGGGATTTGGTGTTTATCATTCTCTACTATTACTACTACTTACATGTTTCTTATGTTTACTCTACACACTGCTCTAGCTAGCTCAACTACTGTATAATGGCTAAAATCAATTATCTCGCTCACGAACATTTTGCTCTTTGTTTTGGGTGTGAATTGAACAATGATGGATGAATGAACAGGATGTGATCTTGACAAATACTGCCATTTGGCACGATTGTAAGAATAGGGGACAACTGGAAAACATGGCATCAATTATGAAGTACTACATACTGGCATCAAGACTTTGGCAGCTTTCGCTCATGATGAGCTATCTCGGATGCACTCGCACATTATCTCCGCGTCGCCGTCGTCTACTGTCTCCAGGGAGACCAGAGTAAGCATATCGAAGCTTACTTGGTCTCTGTCGCATATCGACTCAACGTCCTCCCCATGTGCGAAGTTTTGTCACATCGACTCTCATGCCGCAGCGACCATTGTTAGAACTACCTATCGAAATGCACAGTGCGATTGAGCAAGAGCACTTCGTCTGATGGTTTTGAAGCTCTCCCATTAGAACTAGCCCTACTCCTGAAAGCTTGCGCGATGCAGCAGTCGCAACCGAGCCGCCAACCTGCTTGCTCGAGTCACCCTTCTTGACGACGACATATCCTGGGCAGGTCTCGTCGTCTCCAGTGGTCAAGCCCGGATGGACGTAGCTCCTGTGGTACCTCATACCACAAATCTCGCACTCCTTGGACCCAGTGCCATGAGTCCACTTGTTGTGCTTGTTGAGAATGGCCTTATCATCGAAGACCTTTCCACATCTCGATTCTGGACATTGCAGAGTTCTTTTCTTGTCGTGACGGTATGCATCAGACTTTTCGGACATGCAGTCCTCGCGCTCATGCTCACGCGCATGTGCATGTCTGGCTTGGGTGAACGGCAGGAAACAAGCCCTGCATAAGAACTTGCCAGTTTTGTGTTGGGCTTCGTGAAGTTCAAGCTTCTTCGTACCTGCGACGACAGCGTTGTAGGAGCATCTACCATCAGCACATAGCAGTGACTTGTACGTACGATTGTGAACCTCGAGATGCTGGACGAGCTTTTCTCGAGACGAGATCCCCTGGGATGGTTTCGAGAACTCACAATCGAGATGCGGGCATAGGTAATCGTTCGCGCGAGCAGAATCTCGTGCTCTTTGAATTTAACACTGATTGGCGAGGTTGGAAGCCTCCTTTTTTCTCTTTCCTCATTTTCGCTAAGCAATTGCTACTCGACCCTCCCCGTGTGCTGAACTTTGTCACGTCTAGCCATCTCACAGCCACGCCTAGGGCCGTTTGGACTGTAGAATTGCACAACGTTTTTGCGATTAATACAGCCCTCCACTGAGAGTGTAACAAGCAGTAACTCTCTACGAGCGGCCGGATCGATGTTGAAAACATTGTGCATTTCTACAGTCCAAACGGCCCTAAGCGTGGCTGTGAGATGGCTAGACGTGACAGATTTTAGCACACGGGGAGGCTATAGATAACGATGTGATTGCTAAGGTGCTTGTCCAGGGTCTCTTGCGATGCTCAAGATTCTTCTCCCCTTTTACACCTCTAGCTAGAACGCGTGGTTAAGAGTGTCTACGAAACCATTTGAAAACACTCTATAGTTGCAAAGGCTTGGGCAGTGTCGATACCCTTTCTTGTAAGGTCTTGGGCTCCTATCTACGCCCTCTACGTTAGGCTTCTCCAACTACAGTCGCCTATCTACAAAAGCATTCAATACACAGTAGTCATCCGACCTCACTCTTACTGTTTTCTTTTCATTAGGTATCGAATCATGCACACAAGTTGTGTGACAAAATTTAGCACATGAAAGCCAAAAACGAGCGTCATTGTGACCCCACAAAGTTCAAAGAGCTTCAATTCTTCCCGATTGCAGCGGCTATTCACGAAGCTTGATACCCAATTCTCAATTGTGCTATTCTTTTCAGGTCGGCGATGTCGTGAGTTGCGGACAGTATGGAGATAATCCCTATATCGTCCTTGTCGCCCTTCACGGCGCTCCCCAACGGCGGGTTCAAGGCACTGGTCACTCTATTATGGCCTTTCTCTTCGGCAACCGGACAATGCGCTCTGCTGCTGGCCGACCCGGATGCGCGACAGCGACACCAGAAAGGCCAAGTACGCGTGCGGTTTACTGGACCTAGTGCCCGTCAGATCGCTACCTCTGGCGTTGGCATTGGCGACAGCGTGCAAGTCGCGCTCGTTGGCGCGCAATGGTTGACCGAGTCTGATACGGCTTTAGTCAAGACACCTGGTAAAAGTGTAGATGGCGAGCTCATATTCAAGAATCGCCTGCATATGACTGTCATACGCAATGGCAATGAGTTGCAAACAATCGACATAGACGAGCCTACCCAAGCCGCGTCACCGAAGCCTAGTATGCTACCACCGAGCACGCCCGTCGCAAAATCCAAACCTCGTTCCTCCTTCGATGCATACGGAGTCGCTGTATATTCTTCTCCTGCTTTTATGAAGCGTTTGCGATTGTCTGAAGGAGGCACATCATACTCGCCTGTACCCGTCTCTGAAGACGATGATCTGGATATTGTCGCATCACGCAAGAGGAGGAGAGTTTCATACAAGAATGTTTCTGAGTGGAAGTTTGATGCTCGAGAACCTTCTCCTGAGAAAGAACAAGATACGTCCTTGGAAGATGTCGATGCAGACGAGGAACCGGTCGCAGAAGCATCAATCGCTGCAGAGAACAGTAACGGCACCGATGCCCAGAAGAGCCAGGATGAGGAGATGCAAGATGCTGAACCAACAGAGGTTGCTGGTCAGCAGATTGCACAGCCCGAGGATGACGCTCAGAATGCCGAGCAACACGGCCAGGAGTCTGCTGGATCAGCCTCCTTGGTCGAGAACGCAGAGAAGGAGATGGTCGTGTCTGAAGCCAACTCGAATGCTGAAATCCAACCTCTAAATGTGAAGGAGCCCGAAGAAGCAGAGGTCGAGATGAGAGGCCAACAGTCCGCCGAATTTACGAAACAGCAAGGAACTGCTGTAGAAGGAGAACCTCAGATTGCTGAGGCTGACACAACCCTCGAAGCTCAGGCTTCTACCCGTCGTATGCCTCCTCCGACTTTGCCACATCTCAATGTCTTGCCTACCGAAAGCGAATTACTAGAACAAATGGCCCGGAACGTGGATAGACCTACAACGCCCATTCTGCAGCCATTGCTTACTGAGGGCTTACCTCTCCCATCACCATTTCCTACCAGCGCTCAAAAGATACCCTCGCCCGTATTCTCGAATGCTACGACGATGAATGAAGCTGCTGAGGCAGCAGCAACCGAGACCCATACATCATCTTCAGAACAGCAAAATATCGAAGTACCCACTCTAGTCAAGAGCGTTACTTCATCACAAGATGTAGCGAAGACTGGCACTAGTCCAGAAAATGCCACTGAGGTCACTCAAGAGCCCTCAGTCGTTCCTGAGCTACAGACGCAAAGCACAACAAGAAAGGATGCACCACTACCTGAGCCTGCGCCACCATCAAACAACGTAGAGGTCGATACCGAGTCCTCAGCGACGCCGGCGAAGCCTCGGACGATTGCGGATACCTACGATGGTTACGCTGGCGAAACTCAAGTTGTGCTGTCATCGGACAGCGAGGATGAAGACGATGATGATGATGCCGCATATTTCGACAACGCTCCCGCAGTTGGCTCATCACCAGCCTTGGCAGAGGCACAAATCAACGGACGTTCAAGAGAAAATCGGTTCGACGATGAGAACTCCGCAGAAGATGGGTCTGATGCCGATATGGACTCGTCCAGCGACGACTCGGATTCTGATGTCGCATCCTCCGTGTATAACTCTGAACAAATCGTAGCTCTACAAGAGGAAAGTGACCACGAAGAGCTTGTGGAGGAGCCAGATTGGGACTTACTACAAAACAAATTGGATCAAGAGGAGGCTGCCATCCGACAGTCAAGAGAAGACTTGACTGCAAGAGGTGGTGAGTTGACTGAAACAGCAGAGGACATGCACAGAGACGAGGGAGATGATGCTGTGATGCACGACGACAATTCTGAAATGGATGACGATATGCTGGCTAGAAGTGACGATGACAGCGATGATGATTCCGAAGGGTCAGGCTATTTCGACCGTGCTGTCATGCCCGAGACCGAGGAGAACTCTAGTGATGAATCAGAGGTTGAGATGGTGGATCAATCATATCACCCTTCGATCCCTGAACGCGATATGTATAGCCATCCCTTCGGTCTCGACGGCGCACAGGCTTCGACACAAACGAGAACAGCTCTGCCGTCTCAGGCAACGTCCGCGGAAGGTTCTGTAGCAGGAGACGAGACAATTGCATGGCGCGATAGAGATGCTGCTGTAGAGGCCCTTGGTCAGCAAGCTCAACCTCACCAGACTGCGCAAGTGCATCAGCAGCCACAACCTCCTCGAAACGTTCCGATACCCCTCTCGTCTAGACTCGAAGTCGTAGAATTGTTGGACGATTCTGAATCCGATGAGGAAGAGGAGGACGATGCGAACCCTGTCGTCCCCGTCCAACATGCAAAAGTGATACCAGAACCGGATGCTGCTCAGGAGACCATCAATTTCCTGCCTTCGATTGAGTTCGTCAATCATTTACTCAATAACAAAGAGAGGGACGCGCACCTCGTACAGACTGGACCGGCCACTGCCAGTATTCGCTTCGAGATCAGAAAGATCTCCGACCAAGCAAGCAATCAGACTACCAAGTGGACCAAGTTCAACGCTCTGAAAGCAATCTGCAAAATTGGAGTCAATGTGACAGGTGCGGCTGATACTGGAAACATGTTCGCTGAGGGTGTCAAGTATCGTCTGAAAGAGGACGAAGTACTTGTCAGTGCTTGTTGGAAGATTTACAACGAGTTGTCAAACGAGGAAAAGTATCATATGGAACAGCCACCGGACATGCTAGAATGTCTCGCGGAACTGGAAGAAAAGCGAGATTATTGCTTTGAGGGCTTCGCAGACTTCTTGAAACAATTCAGACAAACCTATCACCATCTGGCTGTTGAAACCAGAAAGGAGCAACCAGTCCAGCAGGCTGCACCTGCTCTTCTCGAAGTGGAGCCTCAAGTCACTCAAGAAGTCACTCACGAAGTTGCGTTACCGCCAACTATGGAACACAAAGACCAACAACTAAGCGCCGTGGACGAGGTGGTTGTGCCAACTGCTGCCGTCATCGAGGATAATACAGTCACGCCAGCCAGCCCTTCTAAGATGGCTACAGAGGAACTGGCTGAAGCTGAACAACCTCAAGTTGAGCATGATGATCAACCATCTATGGACGCTGAGGTGGCGCTTGCTGAGGCTGCTCAATTGGAAACATACGTGTTGCCACCTGGACCCTCTCCACAGTCCCAATCAGTATATGAGAATTCAGAATCTCAATTCGAGACTGCTGAAGATGAACCCGAGGCGATGAATGTCGAAGAAGATCGCGTCGAATATGTGAGCGAGGACGCAGGCGAACGTGAAATTGACCCGGCACTGCTCGAAGATCAAAGTGAAAGCGACTCTGCATCGTATCAAGGGCATGAGATTGATCCGGCTCTACTTCAAGACGAGGAGTACCATCACGAAATTGACCCGGCAATACTTGCAGACGGGAATGACTCACCTTCCGATGGCCACCCGACTCCAATGCAATTTGATGATGCCATGTCTGACGCACCCGAGCCAGACGCTTTCTCACTCGCTGACGACGACGAGGCTGGTGTGCAGAGCCAACGCGAGAGGGATGCTACTATGTTAGATGAATCCATGACAGACGAGCTTCCGGTTTCTCAGAATGACGAGCAATCTCTTACTCAGATGGATGAAGTTCCCATGAAGCTCGAGGTCCAACCAAGTGTTGAGACAGACCCTGAACTTCTTGGAACTATGAAGACCGAGGGCGCCCAATTAGAGGCACCTCCAGTATCTACACCAAGCCCAGAGGAGATACAGCAGATCAAAGACGAGATACGTCCAGTGTCAAGCTCTAGCTTCAAAACTCTTAGCCCAAGCCCGGGTATCCAAGCATCTCAATCCGTTGCTCCTTCAGCAACTCCTGGTAATGCGTCTCAACTGCTAGATCAGCCCATCGAAGAACTCGACCTTTCTCAGGTTGAGCCATCTTGGACTTCGCGTTTCTCGCAATTTTCTCAGTCCAGATCCTCACGTGCACATACCAGAAGCGAGACAATTCCTGACAGCGCCGACGAGGATGCCACAGACTTGGTAGCAGAAGGCAGCGAAGGGTCTAGTAGAGCTGCAAGCCCAGAACCCATGACTCAAGCATCTCCTAAAAGCACCCAGAAAGCAGCAAACGAAAACTTGGTCCAGCCATCACAAGAGTTGGGTACTGCTTTCTCACAATTCTCCAAGCAAGCCCATGGTCCTTCGGGATTACAGTCACAGCTTGTTACCATTGATGAGACACCACCTCCTGAAGAGGACGAAGCTGCAGATGAGATAAGATCACAAGCAGGTCTGGACGACGAACTGTTGGCAGACTATGTGCAAGGGCCGTTGAAGCCTGCGGAAATTTCGACGCCATCCAAGTTGCCGTCGATACCATCATCGACCCCGAGGAGCACGAAGAAGCCAGCCCGGCCTTTGACCTTGTTCAGGGGTCGAAAGTCAGTTGGTTCGCGACTTTCCATTGGTGGTAGTGAGCAGCAAGCTGGACAAGATGAGGTAATGCAGGACGCTCTTTCTGGTGATACGACAGTGCCTGCAACAACCGAAGTGTCAGGGGAAGGCACGATCGAGGGCAAGAAGCGGATCACCGAAGAAGTGGCGGAAGTCATGACTGGCATCGACACGGAAGGCACGACTGATCTCGACATGGAAGGCACGACCGGGGGCACTGCCGAGAGTGAGAAGCAGGTCCAGACTGACAAGGATCCCGGTTCGCTTTCTGATTCCCCTGTGACCGTGAAGGGTCAATCACAACCCGCACAACCTGCACAAAACGCGCCTGTTGACACGGAAGCCAAGAAGATCGTGCCTACCTCGACAGCTCCGGAGCCCGAGGTTTTTGTCGAACAGCCGCAAGTTTCTTCCGAAATTGTACAAGCTACCAGCAACTTCCAGCTCAAGCCTACACTCAAACCGTTTGCAGAGGTAGAAGCATCTCTGTTCGGCACGCCTGTTAAGAACAAAGCTGCGGCACCACAGGAACCTCAATCCGCACCATCACAAACCTGGCGTAACACACTCACATCCAAGATGAGTGATGTGCCTCTTATAGGCTCCTGGTTCACTCCCCGCCGCACCACTGTTGCGCAAAAAGCAGTCACCGAGCACAGAGCAACTACTTCCAGCACTTCGCTCCTCGAGGAGACACCAACCAAGGCTGCTCCTGCACCGTTGACTAAGCAAATTTCTCGTCAGAGATCGATCTCGCCTCCTCCACTTCAACGATATGCATCCCAAGGCACTTCGACATCTCTGTCATACTTTACTCCTCTGGCCGCTCTTCATCAACATCTGAACCAACAATCGTCTCTCATCGATATCGTCGCTGTCTGCACGACTTCGACAACAACAGCTGAACGTGCCAAATCCGGTCCCAAAGATTACTACACTACATTCAGAATTGTAGATCAACCTCTTCACGAATACAGCACTGCCTCGCAAACCACACCTGAAAATGATCAAATCAAGGACGTCCGAGTCGAGATCTTCAGACCTTTTAAGCAGAGTCTACCAAAAGCCGCGCCGGGAGATGTTGTGTTGCTCAGGGGTTTTGTGGTCAGATCTCGTGGTCACAAGAATTATCTGCTGTCTACTGCGGCCAGCGGTTGGTGCGTATGGCGTTATGACCAATCCCCTACCGCTTTGGGCTACGATGGCCAAGCAGAGGAAGACGACCGTCCCGTCTGGGCACGAAAAGGTGATACCCAAATAATCACCGAAGATGGCGTCAAGGAAGAGGTCACCGGTCCACCTGTCGAGATTGGAGACGAAGAAAGAGAAAAGTTAGTCATGGTCAGATCGTGGTGGGAAAATCTTCAGAAGGAGAAAACCAGTGAAGAGAGAAAAGACGAACCCGACGTCATCATGATTGATTAGACGATGAGAATATTTTGTACACAATCCAATCGACTGATTTTTACATTCCTCGCTTGACACTCCATTCCCTCCTTGCTTCACTTACATTACATACGTGACTGGCAACGTACTATGAAACTACTCCTCTCCCTGCAGATTATTTCTCTCACTCTCAAATATCGCTTCCCTATCGCCTTATGGGAAAACAACCCCCGGTATTGCAAAGAGCTCGCATGATGTGCTGCTGCTGTCGCTGCTCTATACCAAGCCTACTCGCACAAGCTAGCATCTTTACACGTAAAACCTCATGTCCTGGCTCTTCTCTCTTCGATAGCGAAAAGCGTTACGCGCCAAGTCGCGCGCTCGCTGTTAGATGCTAGAACAAAGGATATGTACGCTTTGACTTTCTTCCTATCTCTCCTGTCTGTGGTTCTTGAAAAGGGGTCTGCGCTGTTTCGCGCGTTTGTGGTTTGGGTGTTAAGGTAAGGGAGATGGACATTTCGACATTTTCCTTATGTACTGTATTTGTGCGGAATAGCATACTTTTAGGGAGGAGTCTATGTCTTGTCTCTTCTCTCTTCGATGATATTAAGCGCTCTGGTCGTTTATACTACTTGGATTTATCACATGTCTTACTTACTTGCAGGATTCAGTCCTCTAATTTAGACGATGTTTGCTCTAGACCTATCTTGTCATTTGTTTTCCATTTTATATGGTCATCTGCATTAACTCGTATCAACATAGCGATCTGCTCTTAATTAAAGCTCGTCTAAAGGGAGTTAAAGCTACCTATAATGAGCACACGAGGAAGGGAAGGATAAAGATAGATAAGACTTTATAGATCTTATCTTTCGACTAAAGAACAGCGAACATAAATCATAAGCATAAAGTCGAAATATCCTAACCTATATACCCTCTCCGTCTAGATAAGTATAAGACAGGTTGATATACACTTTATAAACATCATTCGACCTCCTACCTCCTATACTCCCATCCGGATTCGAAAATCAGAATCTAAGCTTTCAAGTAGACTTGCTGCACCAGGACGGTAGAGTGAAAGACGAGAAGAAGAGTGAATATAGCTTGAGCATTAGAAGCTTGATACTGGGATTAATCGTCGTGGTCCATGATTTTTTGATCTTCCAGAAGGTGATAGCGAAGCAATCAGTAATTTAAGATCATATAAGGTTGATAAAAAGGGACCGATGGTGATGCGAGAAGTTGTGTTTTGTTTTCAAGTTTGTTTTTCTTTTTTAAGTGTCTGTGTTGGAAGGAAGGAAGGAAGGACTGCTAAACGATGGAGATTGAACAATGAACACGCAAGAACACGCAGCGCAAGAGTAAAACAACAAAAATGGCAAGTACGATGATAAGGACCAAAAGCAATCAAAAAACACATACAATGAAACAACCTCTTTTATCGCATCGCAAGAAAGAAAAAAAAGAGATACTCCTCTCGCCCTCCACCTCCTTCCTGTCAAAATGCCTTGATGTTAGATATGTTGCCGGATCCTCTTCAACTCTCATACTCCCATTTTGTTGCAAGTGTCGTCGCGACACATACATCCACCTATCCCAACCCCCCCTTGCAATGCTCCGACCACCCCTACCTTGCCATCACCGGCAGACTAAGCGGCAAAATAAATAAAAATCCCACAATTTGTATAAAAGAATCAAAACCATCCCGATCACCCCACCGGCGCCGACGCTGACTGACATTGCAATTTGACCACAAAAGAGCAAAACCCATATTTTGTTACCCCCTGCTCCTTCCGAGATATTTGGTGTACATGGTCGGTAATTCGATACAATGACGGTTTTCTCTTCTAGTTGTTCCACTGGGTGAGATTTCCTTGTTGCATCTTCAAAGTCTTCACCACTCTATGCGGGAGACTTGGAAGGGTTTGCTCCGTTGCGGCGAGCATCGTCGGAGACGCTGAGGCCGCTGAGGCCACTGCTCAGGAAGGTGAACGGGTCAGGGGTGGCCTGCTCACCAGCGTACATACCGCCACCGTTGGAGAAGGACGAGTTGTTCTGTCCAGCAGAGAAGGCGGCCTCGGCACGGCTGTCGAAACCACCAGAGTGCATGCCAGCGTTGTGGCCGTAGGCAGAGCTCATAGCGGGGTAGGGGGAAGTTCCAGCACCAAGACCGGAGGGGAGAGCGTAGGTGGATTGAGGACCGCCGTAGCTCTGACCAGGGAAGTTACCGGCGGAGTTGAAGCCACCCTGCTGAGGAGCATAAGGGGCGGGTCCAGGAGTGCCGGCCATGGATGGAGGAGCCATTCCGAAGCCTTGGGAGCCATCCTGCTGGAAGTTGGAATCGGCGACCAAAGCAGCGCTTGCACGCGAAGCACCACAACGAAGACAGCTGACGTTCTTAGCAAAGTTGTGGTAGTTGCAGCCCTCAGCGCCACATCTCCAGTCTCCGGCACGGAAAGGAACGTGGGTGGAACCACCGCCGCGCATACCACCACCGCCGCCCATGTGGTGGTGACCCATGTGGTGTCCAGGAGGACCCATCATACCAGGGTGGCCGTAACCGTAACCGTACATCGGATCAGGAGCGGCCGACATGGCAGGGAAGCTGCATCTGAAGCAGGCAGTGCGGCGCTGGAAGTTGGAGAAGCCGCACGAAGGGCAGGTCCAGTCACCGGGACGGGGACGGTTCTTGCTGGGAGGGAAGGCAGTCAGGATGTCGGCGGCGCGGTCGAGAACACGCGAAGAGGAAGGCGAGACCTCGATGGCCTTCTCGTTGAGTGCACGGCCGTTCATGCAGAGGGACTCGGCGGCCTGGTATATGTTAGTCTTTTGTGTCAAGTATAGGGTTTCGGGATTCAGCATACCTCTTCGTGGGAGGAGAAGATGGCGAAACCAGTGCCGGTGGGCTTGTGCTGGTCAGGGGTACGGAGGGTCCAGAAAGCGATGGGTCTACCACCGAATTGGGTGAACCAGCTCTCGAGCTCAGACTGGGTAGTGTCATGGGGGAGACCGCTCATATGGAGGACCTTGCTGCGCTCAGACAGGAAAGCACGCACGTCGGCGCGGGCGTCCATGGGACGGGTGAGAACATCAGGATGCTCGTGAGGGGGTTGAGACTTGCGGATCAGACCGCGGAGAACTCTCGCAAGAGTGACAGCCTCCTCCATGGCACGACGGGGCGAGGCGGGAGCCAGAGCCTGCAGGTGGAAGGGCAGGTTGTGCTTGATGGGAGCCGAAGACTGGACGGGCTCAACCTCGAGGGCGGCACAGATGTTGGTCAGGGCGCTGGAGCCGAAGGGCAGCGACTCGGGGTGGTGTGCCTGCCATCTCTGGTACTCGGTGCGCAGATCGAAAGTGCGCGAGTGCTGCAGGTAGGGAGGGAGGACAACGGCCTTGTCGCGAGCCTCGCGAGGCAGCTGAACGCGGAGGTCCCAGGAGTCGAGAGTGACAAAGGCAAACTCGGAGTTGTTCTTGACGAGGTGCTCTTGAGCGAACTGGTCGAAGCGGTTGATGGCATCGCGGAAAGAGCCTGCATTGCGAACGTGCTCCCATGTGAGGGTTGTAAGGCTGGCTGCACAACGTGTCAATCAAGTTGCTTGTATTCTCGGTTACTCCCTCAAAGGCAGAGGCTTGTCTTACTGCAAAGTGGGGTGATGGGAGTGTTGACAGGCTTTACGAGAACGCTCTCACGGTGCAGCTTTGAAAGAGACGTCAGCAAGTATTCGTTCGTTGTGGAGGCTCCTGCCTACCTCGTCGCAGTTCTTGGAATCGAGTAGGATCCAGCCCAGCTCGATAACCTCTGCCGAATCCTTTGTCACATAGACACCATGCTCATCGCATGTGGTAGCTACGTGGATGACCACGTAGCGGTCGAGGCCACCGCCTGGAGTTGTTGGTGCAGAAGCCATTCTGCAAGGTCTTGTTCAGTGTTTAGGAAAACAAGGCTTCAAGGCAAAAAAGACAGGTCGTGGGAGCGAGAAAGTGTAAAGCTTCACGGGGTCAGTGAGCTCGTCGAGAGAGTTTCCAAGACCAGATGCTGCTCTGTTCACTCAGTCTTCACACTTGACAAGCCCCGCTGGCTTTGATTCTTCGCTAGCTCTCTCGAATGGAACCGTGCTTGGCCGCACTCCATACATCTGCCGGCTAATCCGTAGCTAGTTGCCAGTCGCTAGTTTATCTGATAATCAAGCCTCTGAAACAAGCCCTTCCACCTCGCTGAATTCCTTTTGTGCTGCCCAAAACTCCAGCTGACGCTCCCAGCTCTCATGGCTATTCCTGTTTCCCTGTGTTTCCCTTGTCTTTGTTTTTGTGAGACACCACACCGCCATGCTCCTTGGCCGCTCGTGGGCCGCCCGTCGACCCATGGATATTAAAAAATTGATTGGCTTCTGCACTACAATTCCTTCATGGTCCGGCTCATCCCGGCCTTCGATCGCATGTTTGGCACGCTGCCGACTTCTTCGGCTTCCTTGTGTCTGTTTGGGCTTTATGCAGCCGCTGCAATTGTGACACGACGTGCCTACATCTCGCGTGCGGCATGGATAAGCCAGATGTCACATTCATCCCTGCAGATACGTGTCTGCGCCAGCACTCGCTGCTCAGCACATACCATGACCGTACAGCCAAGGTTACTCTGTGCCATAGTCTAATCAAGCTTGTACGCGTCTTCGATGCTTTGGCGATACGATCATGTTTGAGACACATTGCTTTGTGCTTCATCGGACTTGCGAGTTGAAGGCTCAGGTTACTCGAATTTGCACATTCTTGAAATTGAGATGAACTCATTACAATTGGAGCTTGACATGCACCAGCGTAGGACATGAAGATGGTTGCTGCTGCTGGGTATCACAGCGCTTCCGAACATGTCATTTCACTGCAGCTATTCAAGGGATCTTGCTTTTGGCTCGTCTTGCCGACATGTATTCCTGCATTTGCAGACCAAAACAATGTCCTTAGAAAGTCGAGCTGATGCTAGGGAACGCACCCCCGGGGCCCGACTCCAGCGCCCGCTTCAACGTCTTGGCGCTTCACATGCAGGGTCCTTGGGCGTCAGCCAGATTCAGAAAAAAGTTGACCAGACTTTCTCGCGAAGACGACACTGAACAAGAAAAATGAACACAACCATGGAGTCGCAAAAGCCGGTACATACCATCGTCCTGGATACTGGTGCCATCATCCGTAACAACCCGACCGTTTCCACCCTTCTCGCGGAATCCGAGCAAATCGTCACAGTTCCCGCCATCATTACCGAAATTAGGGATGCTGCCACTCGCACGCGCGTAGAGACGCAACTTATGCCCTTCTTGACCATCCGTTCGCCGAACCCCGCCAGCATCAAGTTTGTGACCGACTTTGCGCGCAGAACTGGTGATTTGGATGTGTTGTCCAAGCCCGATATTCAGATCGTTGCACTTGCTTATGAGTTGGAGTGCGAGCGCAATGGAGGCGACTGGAGACTGAGAAAAGCACCTGGACAAAAGGGTATGAACGGAAAGCCCCCAGTCAAGGAGGAGCCTAAGGCTGAGGAGACCGAGACCAAGCAAGAGGAGGGCGCGGAGATCAAGGACGGGAAATCAGAGGCCACAACTGAGCAAGCTCAAGAATCAACCGACGCTGTCCAGCAAATCTCAGAGGACCTCGCTCAGACAAAGATCGAAGAGACCGAGCAGACTGCCACCCAAGTTGAGCCCACCTCAGACGCCCAACCCGCAGAGGCAACCCAACCCACCGAATCAGCACCCCAAGAAGCAGCAGAAGACTCCGGCGAAGACTCAGATGGCGGCTGGATCACCCCCTCCAACCTAAAAAAGCACCAAGAAAAAGACCTCTCGGGCAACACCTCATCCACCGGCGACCCCCAATCAATCCTCCAAGTCGCAACCCTCACCACCGATTTCGCCATGCAAAATGTATTGCTGCAAATAAACCTCAACCTCCTCTCCCCCACCATGCAACGCGTCAAACACCTAAAGACATACATTCTCCGCTGCCACGCCTGCTTCTGCACCACAAAAGAAATGAGCAAGCAATTCTGCCCCCGCTGCGGCAGTCCCACCCTCACCCGCGTCGCCTGCAGCACCTCCTCCAACGGCGAATTCAAACTGCACCTCAAGAAAAACATGCAATGGAACACCCGCGGCGACCGCTTCAGCATCCCCAAACCCGTACACGGAAGCGCCAACGGCCGCGTCCAAGGAGGAGGTAAAGGACATTGGGGCAACGAGTTGATCCTCGCCGAAGATCAAAAAGAATTCACCAGACATTACGAGCAGGAGAAGAGGAAAAAGGAGAGGGATTTGATGGATGAGGATTATTTGCCCAGTATCTTGACTGGAGATAGGCATAGGAATGGTGGGGGGAGGATGAGGGTTGGTGGTGGGAGAAATGTCAACTCCAAGAAGAGGTAGGTGTGGGCTTTCGATACGACATGACATGGACTTTTTTGCATGGCTGTGGTGTTCAAAAGGCGTTTCTTTTTTTGTCGACATGGAGAGCTTTCTACTAGCAGTCTCATGAACCATACGGAAATCTGGTATACACAAAAAGTGCTTTTCTCACACTTCACCATCATGATCATCAACCAGCATCTCGCTCCACAAGTGCAGCACGAAGTTCATGGAGTTTTGAAAATTTTGTGAAATTGTAGGCATTTTTGCTCTCGCAAAAAAACACCTTGAATGCTTTTCTTCCCTCTGCAGTCATCAAAGCAGCTGCCAATCATTCCCCCCTTGAATAACCCTTCCCAAAAAGAATGGTTCGTTGTAATTTATTGCGCCGTGGAACGCCCTTTTTTTTCTTTCTCTCCCATGGTACGAAAATAAAATGTGTTCAAATGTCCATCATTGCTTGGAAAGCGACGTCTATTGGCCGAGAACCTTGAGATCCTCTGTTTTTTGTTGTGTTAGTTGCTGTTTTGCGAGAGTGGAGTGGGTTGGAGGCGGTGGTATAACGTACTCTGCTGGGTGATGAGGAGACCGTAGCGCTTCTTGAGGGTGACGCGGTGTCTGTTGATAAAAAAAAAGTCAGCATTTTGTTTCGCATAGATTGTGTTGTTCTGTCGCGCGCGCTATTTCTGCCCTTCCTTCCAGAAATCTACTGCCATCGATTTCTGATGGCGAGTGTCGTGTGCCTTTTCTTTCACAGCTCAAGTCTTTTTGTCCATATTTCGCATTGTTCTTGTCTTCTCTTCCTGCCTCGTCTTTTGTTTTTTCGATCTTCCACAGAGCGCTGCGCGATAGATGTAGAGGTATTCTCGAATTCTTACCTCGAGTACTTGTCATCGGGCGAGAAGCGAGCAGGGTGTGCGGATTTGGTGACCTCGGCGCCCTGGACCTTCTTCAAGGTGTAGACGCGCTTGCCCTGGTTGTCGAGAGTGTACATCAAATGCATATTGACGGTTGGATGTGTATCTTCGTGTGAGGGTGTGGGAAAAAGAGTGACGTTTGGTCGTTGGTCGGATGGTCGCTGGTTGTTCGAGGAAAAATTCGTGGATTTGGCGGTGATTGAAGCTTTTGCGGAGGACGGATGGTGGATGGAAAGGTGGTCTGTGCGTGGGGGGAATGCTTCCAGCTGGTCTTTGATGGTTGGATGACTACTATATACCACTTCTAACACTTTCTACCACTTCCCTCGAATACAAACCTCAAGACTCGGGACTGCAAACTCCAACTCACAAACCCCCAAGCATCGAAGCTACAAATTCACACACGAAACGAAACACACAACATAATCGCAAACCATGAAGACACCATCACCACCATCACCACTATCCATCCTCTTTACAACCCTCCTCTTCATCCTTCCCGCACTCGCCCAATTCCAATTCTTCGACCAAATGTTCAATCAACAGCAACAGCAACAACAACCTCAAAATGCCGGTAGCGATTCGCTTTGGTATAGGCAACAATATGATGCTGGTGAGTTGCGCCCTTTGCCCATCTACCCTTCTGCCCTATACCACTCCTACTCTACTTCCGGAACAAGATGCTGATTAGAGCTTCTCACAGTCCATTGCGATAAATACCTATGCCCTCAAACCCTGAGTTGCGTCCACTATCCTCACCACTGTCCTTGCGCGTTCCCGGAGTTGGAAGATAAAGTGGAATTGGATGATGGGAGTATGATTTGTGTCTCTAAAGGTGGGTACAAGGCTGGAGAGGCGGGGAGGAAGATCCAGTTGGCTAGGAAAGGGTTATTGTAAAGAGCCAAGAGACGGAGCAAGATTGGGGGATACAGAGGTTTATGACTACACGATGGTGGGTGGAGGGTATAGACGATTGCGAGAGAACGTTACATTGCATAGCCGGTCTATGGTGTGTATTTCTGCTTGTATGGATACAGCTCTTGACATGTTTTGAAATCCAAAATCTATCCTTCTCCAAACCTTCACTCTGCCTTTTCTGCAAAACCGACCTTTTCCAGATCTTCTGCCATGGCATCAGGGCCCGGTACAGGAACTGATCCCTTCTCCACAATCTTCTCACTCTGATCGCCCTTCTTGCCCTTGTACACTGTAAACGGCGCAGGATTTCTCTTACGCTCATTAGGCCCCTCTGATTTGAACTGATAGCCTCTCAGTCTATAATCACGTCAGCATCATCTCAAATAACTATCAGGTTCATTGAAAATCACTTACCTAGGACCACGACCACCAGTCTCTGGAAACTCTGGCTCGTAAACCCGTTCAAAGTCTGCAACATCCTGTTCGAAAGTCCCTCTTTCGATACTCTCGCGTACACCTTGGAAAAATTGATCCATGACTTGATGGTTGTGAATCTGCAGCAAGACCCAAGCTAGCATTTCCTTTGCTGAAAGTAAATGTTGGAGGAATGCGCGATGGTGATTTGTGCATGCGTAGCAAGGGCATCCTTCCCGTAGAGCCGAGACATCTGTTGCGTGTGCGGTATCCCACATATCTACGCCTAGAGGGAGAGGTGAGTCTGGTGAAGGGTTGGCGACAGGGAAGCGGATGTCCAAAGCTATCCCGGCGTCTGTTACGCTGCTGAGGAATGGGAGGGTGGTGATGTCGATGCCGTGGGAGATATCCTGAAGCACTGCGCGTGGATTGTTCGGTTCCGTTAATCCCAGACGAGGGAGATGCTGCAGCTCTGCGGGCAGGTCGGCCATGGAGACTGTAGAGTAGATGGCCAATCCATGGATATCGTTCACCATATCCTCCAGATGATCGGTATAATATCTTTGCGCATCGCAGGACAAAGGCAGCAGTGGCGCATATAACATCGGTTGTTTAGATGCTTGTTCTTTGGCAGCCACAGCTCTTTCTTGCACATGCGCTTGCATCCATCTTGCTGTTCTATCCGTGATCTTGTCGATTTTCTTGTAGCTGACTTTGTAGTAGCCGTATGGGATATCTCCTAGTCCGACAACGATATCCGGATCCAGCGAAGAAGTCAAGCTTCTGAAAGTGGTGGCCTGAAGCTTCGTGAAGCCGAATGCAGTCATGATGGCCATTTGAGCATCGGTGCTTGCTCCTGGTGAAGGCACAGGTGGTGAACGGCGGGCTCCAAGAACCAAGAGGTGGTTATCGGGAGTAGCGGTGTATGCTCGCAATCTTGATGTTCCATTCGGCGGGTTGTACTTGAGGATTGGGGTACCTTTTTCTACGACTTTTATTTCTTTTGGTGAGCACACTTCGGTCAGCTTCGCTGTTCGGCGATAGATTTGGACGGGTATAACGTACAATCTTCCACTGCCATATATGCGCCGCGGATATCGGTATGTTTGACTACATTGTCCTGAGTCAAATGTGGGATGGCTCCTCTAGATGCCAGAGCCAGGTAGTGTGGTGTTTTGATAGGTTGACGATTTGGTAGATTGAGCAATCCAGTCCTTGCAGCATTACCAGTGGATGCTCTAGTGATACTAAACATGTTTTCTTCGGACATTCCTTCACTATCCATGTTTACATGTCTTGCAGATCAGGCTTCGTGAACCTTGAGATGATTCAAAGTGGTTCGCCAAGAGAACAGTTCACAGCGCGTCCCTTCGCGTCTCACGTGTAAATTGATTTATCGACCACAACTGTTGAACTTCTTCCTTTACAATCTCGAAATTAAAATGGCTCGTGGAAAGTTGATCGTGTTTGAAGGTTTGGATAGATCGGGGAAGTCGACACAATGCGAAAGGCTAGTGTCCTACCTTACCGAGAAGGGCGTGCCAGTAAAGCATCGCCGGTTCCCTGGTATGTGGTAGCAGTTATTTGGCACATCACACACGAACTCATGATTTGGCAGACAGAACAACTCCAATTGGTCAGATGATCAACAACTATCTGCAGGGCCAGACTGAACAGGAAGATCATGTCATCCATCTGCTGTTCTCTGCGAACAGGTGGGAAGCAGTGTACGTATTTGAGACTCTACCTTGTCATAAGCAGCTGCTGAACGTGAGCAGACCATCGATAGAGGCAGACATCAATGCCGGAATCACGGTCATCATTGATCGATACTACTACTCCGGCTGTGTCTACTCAGCAGCAAAGAACAATCCCAGTCTTAGTCTCAGCTGGTCCCGTCATCCAGAGGAAGGCCTTCCCCGTCCTGATCTCTGTTTGTTCCTTGACATCTCCGCCGAGGACGCCGCTAAACGAGGTGGATGGGGTGAAGAGCGCTACGAAAAGCAAGAGCTCCAAGATCGTGTTCGTCAACTCTTTGCCGATATGCGAGCGACAGACGATGGATCTGACTTTGTGACCATCAATGCTGGTCAGAGTCTTGAAGAGGTTGCAAGCGCAATTCGTCAGCATGCTGAATCTTGCATCGAGGCAAAGCTTGATTCGAGCCCTCTACGGCGCATTCAGCCGTGGTGAACAGTCCTGTATCGTGCGCCCTGGCGAACGATGGCGAAATGCTTGGATGTGAATGATGCTGACTGGCTGGCTTATCAAGACTTTCCGGCTCACTCGATGACTTCGGCCTCGTCCCAGTCGCTGTCTTCGATGACCTCTTTGCGCTTCTTTGCAGAGGAGCTTGCTGATGCGACAGCTCCAGGTGTGGCTTGTTCGTCCAGCTCATCGACGAGCTTCCATTCGTCGCCACCTGACGGCGTAGCTTGGATGTTTTCAATGTCTTCATAATCTGACTGCAGCAAAACATCGTCGAGATCAATCTCGGCATCACTTTCTTCAGCCAAGACATCAGGCTCATCCATATCTTCGTCATCTACTACTGCAACGCTCTTAGCCTCTTCCTTCGCGTTCTTCTTACGCCTTTTCGGTTCCTTGAAAAGAGCTGCGACTTCTTTTTCGCCACGAATTCGTAAGCTCAGATCCTTAACCAGGTCGGTCCAGTTCAGGTCCGACTTGCAAGAAGGGCAATTCCCATGTGTTGGAACAACCGCGTCTTGTGCGCCATACTCGCCTTTGATGAAGTGGCTTGAAAGACAACCTACATGGAAGATTGTGTTGCAGCCCTTGTTGAAACAGACAAGCGCTATCTCCTTTGCAGAGTCGAGAGTGGAGCGGCAAATAGCACAACTGTTGTTTGGTGCCACGAGCAGTTTCTGGCTCTTTTCCAAGGTTGTCTTCATGTGTTGGTATGTTGGGTCGATTCTGTGGATTCCGACTGGTTCCAGGGGATCTTCTTCCGAAGTGGTCTTCTGCTGTAGCATAGATTCGTCCATCTCAACCTCAATACCTTGTCGAATCACTTCAGGCATGTTCACGGTCCATCTATGCCACATTTTGTACACATCTTCGGCGAAGAATTTGACGTGGAGTGGCCAACGCTCAAAGCTCTTCGCACGCAAGAGGATGTGAAGGTTCGCAAGCTTATCATGCATAGACATGCGAGGGCGACCAGCTCGCTTACGCACTTTTCCACTTCTTGGTGAGTATTTTTGTTTTGTGTTTGCCTGGGTGATACGCTCATCTGGTGCAATGTGTCGTGTTTGATGTGTATTCTGCCATGCCCACCTAGAAGATTTTGTTAGACGACATTTTATGAGCTCGAGCGAATTCGTTGCTGTGATTTGTTGACAGATAAACAATGAATCGAGACAGAAGTCAACTTACTCGAATTGTAGAGCAGCGATTTTGGAAGGGAATCCGGTTACAAGACAAGTCATCTCCCATGGTCGCAGTGTATCTCTCGAAGTCCTCACAGCTCCACCTTTGGCAATTCCGTTGTGTTGCTTCAAACGCCTTACGGGATGTGGCGTGCTTCCAACATAGAGATTTTGATGGCGGACCGTAGAACGAAGGAGATAGCAGGCATAGAAAGCAGGTATGGGCCTGTCCATCTCAGAATTGATAACAATGTACTAAGACTTGATGTGACAAGAATATGTTTATCAAGTCCCAAAGACCGAGTTTACTGCATGGGAGATCTCGCCGACCAAAATCTGCGAGGTGAGACAGAGAAGCATGTGATTGGCTGACAGAGCGGGAACCCCGGGTGCAGATCCCTTGTGCGTCGGTGTGCGGCAAATCTGACGACGTATCTTGGATGCGAATTGCATGGAATCGCATGAAATAGAGAAGACGGATCTTTGAGGTGAAAGCGTTGTTGAAATAGTGTAACGGTTGACAAAGGCGAAACAAGTTCACAAAGGCAAAGGTAAAGACTTGATATCGGGTGGAGGATTCAAGAACAGGGCAGACGATTTATCGCATTTCTGGCATCACGCGGCTCACGGGGAAGATTGACTTTGGCCAAGCATCGGGAGACCTGTGGCTCGTCCCTGCCGTATTCACATCCGCTCTGCACCTGCTTTCTCAATTTCAGAAGTGCCCTCTCTTGTTCGGATCAACAGCCTTAAGGGCGACCAGCAGACCTTATGTTCAAGCACACACGACAGTAACCATCGTTCCTTAGTCATCAGCCTGATTCGGCCCCTTCCTCGAGCGTTGCGGCCTATATCAGAAATTCGGTCCGCTCGCCCTCTCCAGATTCGCTCCACAGTCGAATGTGCCAGCTGCAGCACCACCCTTCCACCCTCGCCGCCGCTCCTTAATCCCGTCATACACCAACACTCCTGCGATCGAGTCGCCGAATAATAATTCCGTTCCAACCATCGCTATAATCATACCCACACACCTTCTCGCGAATGGTGGTCCCACCAAGCAGCGGAGGAGCTGCTGCTGCCTCTTCAGCAAGTCGCCCAGCTGCTGCCCACAACAATGCTGGCCCTTCGAAGGCCAAGTCGGCCGCCCATACGCCCAGTGTGACAGTCGGTAACGCGCCGATGCCACTGAGTGCCAGACGCTCTGAACCCCTGGACTTAAATACCGTAGAGCGGAGAGGACAACCAAATGCTGCGCCGGAGATCACAAAGAGGAACAGACTGCATGGCATCCTCGAAGGTCCTACCTTCAGACCTACTGAGGAGGAATTTCGTGATCCCATGGCATACATGCGCAAAATTGAGCCCGAAGGTCGTAAATATGGAATCGCAAAGATCATCCCTCCTGATGGCTGGCAGATGCCTTTCGCCATCGACACATCAGTGCGTTTGAGATGTATCTACTGTCGTGTCCTTGCTAACACAATCAACAGAAGTTCCATTTCCGTGTGAGACGTCAAGAGTTAAATTCTGTCGAAGGAGGTGAGTCGCACAATATCTTACCAGCTTTCAGGATCAGGGCTGACATTGACCAAGGAACACGAGCAAATCTGAATTACCTGGACCAGCTCTCGAAATTTCACAGGCAACACGGCACTAACCTCAATCGTTTTCCCAGTGTGGATAAGCGACCGCTCGATCTCTACAAACTCAAAAAGGCTGTTGAGGCCAGAGGAGGATTCGAAAGAGTTTGCAAGCAGAAGAAATGGGCTGAGATTGGTCGCGACCTGGGATACAGTGGCAAGATCATGTCTAGCCTCTCGACATCTCTCAAGAACTCGTATCAGAAATGGCTTCAGCCGTACGAGGACTATCTACGTGTCGCAAAGCCTGGTGTCCAACATCAACTGGAGCTGGAAAACGGAGGCCCTTTCACCCCTTCTCCGGGTACTTCGCCACTTAAGATTTCGCAAAATAACACCCCGAACGGCGAAACCACTCCGGCTATGCGTGCATCTGCCTTGTTGAATGCATCCCTAGATGCAGGAGCTCCTGTGGTGCAGCAAACGCCAGTCAAGCCAACACCCCCAGCGCCAGCTCCGGCTCCGGCTCCTATTCAAGGCTTTACTCCAGTCAATGGAGGATTCACCTCAGTCAACCGTCCTTCGGGCTTCACTCCCGTAAATGGACCGAATGGCATCCACGCGACACCCGAGAATCCGCGTTCAATACCCAAAATCAACATGGATAGCCCTCGGCTTCTTGAAACCAACACTCCAACTCTGGAGCCAACCAATTCTGCGAAACGTCCATTGGGTGATGGTGCAGATAAGGATACGAACGGAGATGTAGACGGCTCTGGCCGACGCAGCAAACGAATCAAGAGAGAGCCAGCTCCAACAGTAGCGGGCTCGCACATGCACCAACCTAGGACGTCGACGCCGAGATTTGTTCCAGCCCGGGAACGTAGCAACTTTCCTCCCGGAGAGGCTTGCGAAACTTGCGCAAAGCCGGAAGACCCAGGATTGCTTCTGATTTGCGACAGCTGTGATTGTGGTTATCACGGCGCTTGTCTTGAGCCTCCCGTGAAGATGTCACAACCGGAGAACGATTGGCATTGCCCTCGTTGTCTTGTCGGAACAGGAGAATTTGGTTTCGAAGAAGGCGAGGTATACTCGCTTCGCGCATTCCAAGAGAGAGCAAACAGATTCAAGGAGAATCATTTCGCGGAGAAAATGCCATTCGATCCAATCCTCAACAAGAGAAGGGCTGTCAATGAGGACGATGTCGAGCGCGAGTTCTGGAGGCTTGTTGAGAACATTACCGAAACAGTCGAAGTCGAATATGGTGCTGATATTCATTCAACTACCCATGGAAGTGGTTTCCCAACGATCGAGAAACAACCCCGCGATGCATATTCGACGGATCCCTGGAATCTGAACGTCCTTCCTCTATACGGCGAATCATTGTTCAAGCACATCAAGACGGACATCTCGGGAATGACAGTACCTTGGCTCTACGTCGGCATGGTATTTTCTACGTTTTGCTGGCACAATGAGGACCACTATGCGTACTCGGCCAACTACCAACACTTTGGAGCGACCAAGACGTGGTATGGTGTGCCTGGAGAAGACGCTGAGAAGTTCGAAAACGCCATGCGTGAAGCTGTGCCGGAACTGTTTGAGACGCAGCCAGATCTTCTGTTCCAGCTGGTCACTTTGATGCCCCCAGAGAAGCTGCAGAAGGCAGGCGTGCGTGTATATGCTATTGATCAGCGTGCAGGCCAAATGGTCGTCACATTCCCTCAAGCATACCACGCTGGCTTCAACCACGGCTTCAACCTCAATGAAGCTGTCAATTTCGCACCTGTTGATTGGGAGCCCTTCGGAGAAAGCGGCGTGCAAAGACTTCGTGATTACCGTCGACAGCCGTGTTTCTCTCATGATGAGCTGTTGTTGACAGCCGCTTCTCGCGATCAATCGATCAATACCGCCAAATGGCTTGCTCCGGCGCTTGAGAGATTGCTTGAAAAGGAGCTCGCCGCCCGCAAGCATTTCCTCGAACAGCCCGATAACTCCGAGCCAACTGACGACACATATCAGGGTGACAGGTATACGAACAAGCCGGAAGTTTTCACGGAAGATATGGACGAAGAAGAATATGTCTGCAGCTTCTGCAAGTGCTACAGCTTCCTCTCACGATATGTGTGTCAGAAGTCAGGTAAAGTCATGTGTCTGCTACATGCAGGTGCATACGAATGCTGTGACTCGAAAGAATCGGATCGATACTCGAGCTCAGCTCATGACCATATCCTCTCTCTTCGTATGACCGACAAGGAGCTGAAGTCGATGGTGCAAAAGGTCGTGGATCGAGCTAAGCTTCCCGAGGCTTGGGCGCAGAAGGTTGATGATTATCTTGGTCAAGAGCCTCGTCCGTCACTCAAGATCTTGCGTTCTTTGCTCAATGAAGGTGAGCGCATCCCCTTCGACATCCCACAGCTCGCAGATCTCAAGCGCTATGTTGAGCGTTGCAATGAATGGGTGGAAGAGGCCACCATCTACATCACTCGCAAGCAGCAGAACAGAGCTAAGGGAAAGGCTTCTCGTAAGAAATCCGCAGTCGCTGAGACGGAGGACCGCGACAAGGAGCTCCGTAACTTCGAAAACATGCAAAAGCTGCTCGCTACAGCCGATGAGATCCATTTCGATTGCCCAGAGTACAAAACTCTGCGTGAGAGAGAGACCGACATCAACGACTTCAAAGCCAAAGCCGTTGCTATCTGCATGGGTCAGTCACACCACCCACGATCCACACAAGAGATTGAGGAGGTGTTCGAAGTCGGGAAGGGCCTTAATATCGACCTTCCCGAGCTCGAGAACCTGGAGAAGCTGCTGAACCATGTCAAATGGCTTGATGAAGCTCACACTCGTCGCGTCCAATTCCAAACGCTCCAGGATGTTGATGTCTTCATAACCCGTGGTCTAGAGATCGGTATTGCCGAGACGAATCCGCATATCGTCCGTTTGCGTGAATCCAAAGTCCAAGGTGAGCTTTGGGAGACCAAGGCTAAGGAGATTATGGCTGTTGAGAACGTTCATTACCAACAACTGGATGCTCTTTCCAAACAGGCAGCTGGTTTGCCTGTCACTGCAGAGACTCTTGCCAGGGTCGATGCGATACTCAAGAAACAGCGCGAGGCTCAAGAAAAAATCCTTGCACTCTACCAACAAAGCAAGAGCCCCGACTTCAGATCACGACCAATGTACAAAGACGTCAGGGATGTCATGGCAGCTCTCGAAGAACTGAACAGCAAACCTGCTGGTACAGTCGACCTCGAGAAGGAGCAGCGCCGCCACGAAGACTGGATGCGTCGTGGAAAGAAGCTGTTCGGCAAAGCCAATGCGCCACTACATATTCTGCACCAGCACATGAATTTGGTGAAAGAGCGAAACGATGCATGCTTCGAGCTCCGCGATAAGCCTAGAATGCCTGTCGAGCCTTCCTCGAGGGAACATACTCCGGAGGCAGACGGTAAGAACAGCTTCCCGGATGTCTTCTGTCTTTGCCGTAGACCAGAAGCTGGTATGATGATTGAGTGTGAGCTTTGTCATGAATGGTAAGTTAGAGTCGTTGTTTCAATTATATATCGCACAACTAACACATGTTTAGGTACCACGGAAAGTGCTTGAAGATCGCTCGTGGAAAGGTCAAGGAAGACGACAAGTACACTTGCCCTATCTGCGACTGGCGTTTGAAGATTCCTAGAGATGCTGCTCGCCCAAAGCTCGAGGAACTCATTTCTTGGCAAGACGAGTTGGAAAGCCTGCCTTTCCAGCCCGAAGAAGAGGACACTCTCACAAGCATCATCGAGACTGCCCAAGCCTTCAGAGATTACATCAGACCTTATGTCAACCCTCTGACAGTCTCTCCGGACGAGGTGACTACGCTTCGCTTCTACCTCCGAAAGGTCGAAGGCGCCGATATTCTCCTTGCTTACGAGACCAACTTCCTGCGTCAAGAACTTCACAAGTCGGCACCTGTAGCCCCTGAGGCTCCACCAGTCATTGACTCCTCCGCGTCCACTCGCAAGCCTCGCCCAACAAAGCAACAGAAGCTCATGGCGTCGCTTGGAATCACCAACCCTGATGATCTTCCACCTCAGTACAAGATCAAGCCTCATAAGCGCAAGGGCAGTGAAGCACATCACAAGCCACCTCAGCCCTTGCAACCTGCTGGCTCCCCCGCCGCTCACACGCCGTCTAGCATATCGACAGCGACGCCTGGTCCTCCTAGCAGCAGACCAAGTTACGTTCAGCACACGCCGTCGTTCAGCTACCCATCTCAGAGTCAACCTATGGCTACTTCGGGTTTCCGTGATTCCCCGTTGTTTGCACCCTCGTCGTTCGGATTGCCACCACTTCGTACTCCGACCGAGCCTTCTCATACTGTCAATCCAGCACAGTTCGCTTCGCACAGCTTCACATCTCGCACATCTACGCCACCCCAGCCAAACTTCTCAATACCACCGCCACCAGAACATCCTCCGATGTTCAGCACAGGCATGAATCTTGACCCTGCACTCTTCACCGCAGGTGGAGCGATGTTCGACAAACGACCAAGCTCGTCTGGAAGTCCTAGACTGGTGCATCCCGAGGCAAGTCCGGTCTTCAGTAGTCCGCGCACGAGTGAGAAGCATGCCAACCTCGACTCCATCTTTGCGGATATGGTCCATAACGACGACGACCATGCGACTCTGGGTCATGAAGGCGAGAATCAGTTGGCTGGCGAGGCCTTTGCTGCCGGTGGACACGACCAGGATCATCCAGATGAAGCACACATGGATGAGTTTGTGAACAACGAGTAGCATTACGATCATGATGCTCACCAATGGTCTCAAACTCGATAACGGCGTCTCTCTTTTCTTTCTTCTTTATCTTTCTATTCTCCGCAATGGTGGCATATCGCTATTGGTTGTATCTCTTATTTTTGTGGTTTGCTCAAAAAGGAGTTTAATGGATCCTGGGAGGAAGTCACAGGCTTGGAGGATGGCTCTCATCATGTGGGTTTGGTTGTACGATAACCTGCCGTTATTGCTTCGATTGTTTGTCTTTTTACTTTGCTAGCTTACTTCTCTATTCTGTCTGAGGACCGATAGATGTTGCTCTACAATTGCACGAGACCTTTGATCTCATACCGTTAGCCCCCTCTAAGTGCCTCTGGCGATTGCGCGAATTTGGTTATGTGGAATGTGAAACGTGTCACCCTGTTCATCACTTTCCCAACCCATACTGAGAGCAGAGCGAGGCGACAACAAACGTGCGGCTTTCGCATCAGCATCTTGTTCTCTGTTCTTATGACAAATGTCTCATTCGTTCTGTTCTGTCTTTCTTTATAGGGGAGTTGGCGCTCGTTATTTTGGAAACAAACCGTGGTGTCGCCCAGCGTGTTTTCTGATGGCTTCTTTCACATGAACAACTCTTCCTTTGTAAACCAACAACGACATTGTATTTTCCTTTGATATTCTGTTAAGATGGTACAAAATCCAACAAAGAACACCAACCGTCACGATTGGCAGGATCAGTCGAAAACATGGATCTCAATATCTATTTAATGTCTGTGCCAGGGTCACATCTTCGACAACTCAACCACAGACAAAAGCACGAAACCGCCGCTGCAATGGACAACTTGACTGACGAGGAAAGACGCGAGATCGAGCAAGCAGCCGAGATTCTACTCTCGATGATGGAACAACAGTCTGACCAACCACAGAGCATTGACAATGTTCTCACAACTCAGTCATCACTCGACGACGATGTCGAAATGACCGATGTTGCTGAGAGCATGTTGCTGCTCTCAAGAACTGCTGTCATCTTTGAGCAGGATCCTGCTCCGGCCATCTCGCCTTCTGCACCTGCGCAGTCTGTCCAGTCAGACGTTTCTGTGACCCCTCAACCCCCTCAAGCCCCAACTGCCCCCGCTCCTGCTGTCGCTGCCCCTGTCGCAGCCGCGCCCGCACCCGCACCCGCCCACCCACCCGCCAACAACCCCCAATGGGCCGGGTTGACCGCCGCCCAGCAAGCACAGCAGCAGGTTCGCCACGCAATGACCCCTTGGCAACGTGCTCACTACAACTACCTCCCCTATGGAAACAGGGACAGAAACGGTAATACCATCGGGCGCCTGTATTTGACCGCGACGGAGCGCCGCAACCTACGCCAGCAGCAACGTCGTACAGGTGCTGCTTTGATTCGCCGAGGTACCACGCAAGGTATGAGATTTCCTAACAGGCAGTCTAGGAACTAGGAGTAGAAGTCGTTCACCTACTCCCCCCCTTCAACACTCATGATTGGCAGCTTGACCCCCGCTAGTGATGGGCAAGTATTGCTTTTCGTGTTTCAATATGCGCTTGACCCCCGTTAGTGATGGGCAAGTAGCTCCTCCTCCTTTCGCGTTGTGTGATTCTTTATTCCCTTGTACCTCGTTAGTGATGGGCAAGTAAGTATCTTTTCGCACTTCCTCCTTTTTCTTTTGCGTATCATTGCTGTTTTCTTCTCCTACCTTTCTTTCTATACTCGAGGCGCAGTGGGTTTTTAGTCCTGCATGGGATAGTTTTACCATTGTGCTGAAGACGGTTTAGAGGGAACTCTCTGGGATCATGGCGTTGGTGCATCCGGGTTTTCATAAATAATCATCGTTCGCAATAAACAACAAACAATAAATCTTTCTCCTGAATATTGAGCTTTTCCAAAGATGAGTGAAGTGGTCGTGTAATTTTCCCGTGAACGTGAGTGACAGTGGTTGACTCTTTTCGAACAGCCTTGAATCGAGAAATAATTTTGGCGGCATTCAAACAATCATTCCGATGTTTTACTTTGGATACTCGGTTTCGTTCGACGAGGTCCAGGGCCAATTTTCGAAGCTCAGTAAGAATGCGCGACAGCGATTGAACTTAATTCAAAAAAGCCACGATGATGTGATGTGACTAGTTATCGAGACGATGATTCGAGTTTTGTCACCAATCTCGCTTGACGTGATGGCAAGGTGGTCTTCCAAGATCAATAATCGTGATGCTGAGGTCGAAAAGTAGATGGAACAAAGAGAGGTGGTTGTTGAACGCCAAGAAAAATGACGCGCTCCGTCATCGCTGCCGTGCCCGCCGCCGAATTGGTAATCACCATCGCGTTTCTTCAGAATCTACCAGCTGAATAAATTATCATCGCCGCCACGACCGGACAACAAAACCCAGTCACAGAAGTTCGACATCCATTCAGTAGCATGTCTCTCACCAATGTCAACGAGATTATCCTGGTGCTTTCCGGCAAGGGAGGCGTTGGAAAATCGAGTGTCACTACACAACTGGCTCTCACCCTATCATTGAGAGGACATTCGGTCGGCATTCTCGATATCGATCTTACTGGACCTTCCATGCCGAGATTTCTGGGAATCGAATCATCCAAAGTCAGACAAGCGCCTGGTGGTTGGCTTCCCGTGCCGGTGCATGAAAGTCAAGACGCGACATCAAGTACAGCAGAGGGCAACAAGCCTATCGGATCACTTCACTGCATGTCTCTCGGCTTCCTTCTTGGAAACAGAAACGATGCAGTGGTCTGGCGTGGCCCGAAGAAAACTGCTATGGTCCGCCAGTTCTTATCAGATGTTCACTGGGGCAAGCTAGACTACCTTTTGATCGACACACCTCCTGGTACTTCAGACGAACACATCTCACTTGTAGAGACCCTTCTCAAGACCGCAGCCCCGGGTCAAGTCTCTGGAGCTGTTGTCGTAACCACTCCACAAGCTATCAGTGTCTCCGATGTCAGAAAGGAAATCAACTTCTGCAAGAAGACCGGCATCAACATCCTCGGTGTCGTCGAGAATATGGCCGGCTTCGTGTGCCCTAACTGCGCGGAATGCACCAATGTCTTCTCAAAGGGCGGCGGCGAGGTAATGGCCAAAGATTTTAGCGTCCCCTTCCTTGGCAGCGTGCCTATCGATCCGGCATTTATTGCCCTTATTGAAGAAGGCAAGAGACCGATGTACCCGGAAGGCACAGTTGTTGCTGGTCAAGAAATGCCAGAGCAAGCAAAGGAGCCCGAGGATAACGCCGGAACGTTGGTCGAGAAATACCAAAGTTGCTCCCTGTTCACAATCTTCGACGGCATCGTCGGTCAGCTCATCTCCAACACTCAGCCCTGAACTGTCTCGGATCAATTTATGGCTGTTTACAACCATCCGGCCCGCAATTCGGAATCTAGGGTTGGTCATGCATAAACCGTATCCAAACACCGTGGAATGGAGAGCTTCGGCCGAGCCCTGAAGAATCTCCCTTGCTTGCTCGGTACGCCCATACGTTTCAACACGGGTCGGCATGCCGAAACCAAATCATGTGGAGTGGTACTTCGCTGAAAGTTTCCTCATACGCTATACGCTCAATGCTCATGCATGCTTTGGTACGCAGGAGGTCATGCCAGCCAACTGCTAACAGAAATCGGGTGCGTCAAGTGTCCGTCGGTCTCGATGCGCTCGTTCCCGTTTGTACTTGCCTCGATCTGTATGCACTACTCTCCTATGGCTCGATCGACCTCTACTGTATTCACTTGCCAGATCTGTATGGCTGTACATTATGTACCACAATCAATGGAGTGTATTCGGAGTCGACCCCGAGTTGCAATCTCTTCCAATTTCTTGGTTACCTCTCATCAAATACCAAAACGAGTCATGCTCGAGGTGCCCGTACATTCATAACAAAATGCTATATTTGGAGTTGACCAATTGCAAATGAGAGTCGTATCTGCTTACAGCACTCTTCCAGCAGCCTGTGTTTGTTTGTTCGATCAATAGGTATGCCCATACCTGAAGACTAAGATTGGTCATCTCTAAGATGTATGCTCGGGCGACAATGCCCTAAACGTCTTCCTTTTCGAGATGTGTTTGTTGCTCTCGGGTAATCATTATGTTCATGCCAGAGCGATGCCAATCAAGATTGGCTGAATCCGAGTGGACCACTCACAGTGCTTCATTGCACATATCCAAGCCAAATCAGGCAGTGTTTGTTTTGCTAACACAGTAGATGTATCCATACCAGAGGATTATGGTCGAGATTAATCAAATCTCCCAATCTTCTGCGATATCGTCGAACAGGTAACCTATATCTATGGTATTGGACTAATCGATATCGTGCCGTCCAGACAACCATCCTCTATCAGTATCACAATCAAGTCACCAGGACAACATGTTGCTAGGCACTGGTATGGCAGCTCTCGTTCTGCAGAACACGACTCTCCCGCAATTCAATCCAAGCAGAATAGTAGGAAGTGAGTAAACAAACATGTCTTATAGAGTCAATCGTCTAATGCTACACCAGGTGTCTGTTCGAGCTCCACTATCGTTCTCGCTGTGTACCCTACACCAATCACTGCTTCTAACGGATCTGTATCCACGTCATACAGTCTTTCTCTGGTCAACGGATCCTCCACTCAGACCACGGTCGATTCGGCAATTCTTACTTCGTCAAGTTATGGCTCAGCAGGTTCTTCAGCACCCGCCACTGGGCCAGCCTCGCTCACAACCGCTCTAAGTTTGACAAGCTCCGATCTTCTTTCTAGCGGGATACCATCGTCTTCAACAGTCAGGAGTCTTTCAAGCTCTGGCGCTTCAGAGATCATCTCCGTAGCAACGACTGTTGCGACTTCTACGTCTGCGTCGTCTGTCCTGTCCAGCATTGCAACTTCACTATCAACTCGGTCGAGCTCCGCCAGTACTACCTCTCTCAACCCCATCTCAACCAACAGGGCCTTCCTCTCATGCCCAGCGGATGATGGTCTGTACTATGCAGATACCAACGACCGAGTCTACCAACTACGCTGCGGTACAGACGAACCAGACAATACCATTGGAACAAGTTCTCAGTCATCGCTTCAGGACTGCGTGAGAGCTTGCACAAATTTCGGGGGCTGCACAAGTGCTTCTTACGATGTTTCATCCAATCTTTGTTCATACCAGGGTACTACTTCGAGCCGCATGAGTCTTCGCAAACGTCAGGACACCTCGACTACAGATTCTGCCACCTTGACTGACTACGTATGCCCCGACGTGGACGGTACGCGATTGCTCGACTCCTCTGGCTCTATCTTCGAGACTCAATGCAATACTTTCCTGCCTGCAAGCAATACTACAAGCTTCACAGCGGATGATCTGGTCTCCTGTTTCAGCTTTTGTTCTAACAGTGCTGGATGTTCGAGTGTCACTTTCCAGAACCAGATCTGTACTCTCATCAGCAACGGCAATTCAGGCGCCGGAGTCTTCAGAAACAATGTGGCTAGCGCTTTCTTGCTAGGAACGAGACAAGGGTCGGCCGCAGAAAGCTCTGCCGCAAGTACAGGTGTTGCCGAGACCTCATCCACTGATGTATCACAAGCATCGACTTCAACTGCTTCCACCACGACCGTGATCACAAGCTCTACAAGTTCGATCTCCAGCATTCAATTTTCGAATACGAACGATGTATCGACACTTTCACAAACATCGATCACGATTTCTATCCCGCTGCCTACGACCATAGTGCCGAGTTTATCTATCCCCTCAACTATCGTACCGAGCTTGTCCATCCCCACAACCATCATTCCGAGCTTATCTATTCCCGCGATCTCTTCTATTCCGTCGCCGGTCGTACCCTCCTTACTTTCAAGCATATTGTCTACTGCTATTGGCATTGGCAGTAGTGCCCTCCAAGTTCCGACCCCATCGGTGGACGTCTCGGCAGTCTTGTCTCAAGTCAGTAGCTTGTTACCAACCACCATCGATCCACTTACAATCTTGCCATCAACGCTGCCAGTGCTCCCATCTGTTTCTACTGTCATCGGAGGCGTAACTACGCTGATTCCGGCAGTCTCGCTTCCATCTACATTGCCGGTGCTTCCATCTGCTTCCACTTTGCTCGATGGACTGACTACACTGGTCCCGGTCATCTCAGCTATTCCCACTTCACTCCCAGGCGCCATTGCAAGTGATGCAAGTGTGATTGCTAGCGAGATTGGTAATGCTGCATCTTCGATCCTGTCACAAGCCACCGGTGTGGTCTCGGCAATTGGTGACCCGCTTACCCTCATACCATCATCTTTGGTTGTGATTCCAACAATCTCATCTCTACCAAGTGTCGATGGGCTCACTACGCTTGTTGCGACTATTCCAAGCGTACCAACTATCTCACTTGTTCCAAGTGTCATCAGCGATGTCGCGAGCGATGCGAGTGCTATCGCCAGTGAAGTGGGTGATGCTATATCGTCGGTGCTATCAAACATTCCGATCATCACTGCCATCCCAACACTTCCTACACTGCCGGCCATTCCAACCATTTCACCTGTACCATCATTGATCAGCATCGTTGCAAGCGACGCCAGTGTCATAGTGAGTGATGTTGGTGGTATCGTATCATCGATTCTGTCAAATGTCCCGATCATCACTGCTATTCCGACCCTGCCAACCATCTCACCTGTTCCATCGCTTATCAGCGTCATTGCTAGCGATGCAGGCGTCATTGTGAGCAATGTTGGCGACGTTGCATCATCTGTGCTATCCAACCTGCCAACTATCACACCCGTCCAGTCCATCATCAGCGTTGTCGCAAGCGATCTGAGTGTCGTTGTTAGTGATGTTGGCAATGCTGCATCATCGGTCATCGGGGGGCTTACGACTTTGCTCGATGGCGTTCCGCAGATCACCGCACTATCCACGGTCACTGTTCCCAGTATAGCACCAATTTTGTCCGAAGGTGCTGGAGTCGTCAGCTCCCTCCTGGACGCCACAACTCTCATCGGACCCGTCATCACCGGTGGCGTATCGTTGCCTACCAACCTTCCTATCCCTACACTGGTAGATCCTACAACTTTACTCGGAGCCACTACTCTGCTCGCGCCTATCATTACTGGTGTCGCATCACTGCCGACTCTTGTCACAGTTGCACTTCCATCGCCTACTTGTTTGACTTACGATCAGCTACTCAACATCTGCTTGGATGCAGTGGCTACTTCTTCAGGCAATGTGGGTGCTGGCATTAATGTCGGTCTGACCCTTGGTAGTATCCCAATTGTTGAAGCCTCGATCACACTAGGCCTTGCTTCAACAGCCCTCCCGAGTGTGGACGTCGGAGTCTCACTTGGACCAATCAGTGCTGGAGTCGGATTAGGAACCAACGGTCTGAGTCTTGGCTTAGGTGGTTCTTCGCAGCCTACCACTGTCATTTCATTGCCAGCAGTGTCCGTAGGCAACAGCGGCATTGGTGTTGCTATCGGAAGCAGTACAGTCACCCTGTTAGATCCTTCGGCCTCCTTGAATATCGTACCGTCTGTCATCTCGATCGGATCGAGTGGTGTAGCATTACCATCAAGCATCCCTATCAGTTTGGATCTTGGAATTGGCTCCTCCACGATTATCTCGATTGCGCCGATATTGTCCACCACTACAATCCCAATCTCGGTTGCACCCATCGTCAGCGCTATCGTCAACTCAGCCCTCAGCACTGATAGCAGCGGCCTCGTTCTGCCAGACTTATCTACATCAGTTGGACTTCTACCATCGGTGGTCTCGAGTGTGGCTCCTATCCTGTCGCTCGGATCTAGCAACATCGCCATCCTTCCAAGCTCTACAGTAAACATCGTTCAGCTTCCAAGCTCTACACTGAGTTTGAACTTGCTTCCAAGCTCGTCCCTTGACCTTGGTCTCTCACCGAGCTCAACAATCAGTATTGTTCTACTTCCAAGCTCAACACTAAGTCTCAATCTGCTCCCAAGCTCTACGCTCAATCTTGGACTGACCCAAAGCTCAACGCTCCTCAACCTTGGCTTGACACAAAGCTCAACACTGTTGAATCTTGGCTCGACACCGAGCTCGACCCTTCTTAATGTTGATTTGACACCTAGCTCTACTCTGAATTTGGGACTTGGTCTGGGAGGATCTGGATCTAGTGCGACTGCATCATCATCAGCAGTATTCATACGGACATCGACTGCCACATCCACTGCTACGAGCGCTGCTGGACTTGATCTTGGACTTGGGGGCGTCGGACTAGGTGGTCAATCAGGATCGTCGACCTCGATAGTTTCTTCGCGACCAGCATCTACATCTTCCTCGACCACGAACAGCGCGATTGTTGTGGTACCAACCTCTTCACTTGTAGCAGTTGGGGCACTTCCGGTCGGCCAATCATCGTCCTCGATACCGGTATCTTCGACATCCATATCATCATCGTCGTCGTCTACAAGGCCTACATCCACCTCTGTATCCACCTCTACCTCTATAAGAGCCACAAGCACTAGTACTGCAGGCCTTGTTCAAGGCGTGGTTAGCGGAGTTGCAGGTGGGCTACGTCAAGTAGTACATACACGCGCCCCCGCGCATCATGCTCAGATGCCGACCAGACGTCCGAGATTTACCACCGTTGTCAAGCCGAGCGACAGTCTCAAGCTGTAGAATCAGCACTGCATGTTTCGAGTTACTTCAGTGTCGATATTGGGATGTGGGCGAGCGTTGGAGGTCCAATGTACACATTTTCACTTCTTTTTCTCCATCTTCTTTTCTTCCTCGTTTCGATTTTATTCTTGGGGGGTCAATGCCAGTTACATGGTGATACATGGCGTTGAGTGCTTCCAAAGACGGGGATTTTAGCATCAGTTCCAGGTTACTAGATAATACATGAGATTCATTTAGTACTTCGCACAGTCTGGTTATCCTTGGTGACATGCCATAGCCATCGCTGTGTTTTCTGTCCTCACACACTGTGTAGTCTGACCCCGATGACTGTTGTTGTGAATAAGTGAAAGGTTCTACCGTCGACTCGCTCCGACCTTCGGGTGTTTGTTGCTTCCCCAAGCTTTCGGATGCAAGCCGCCAGGGCGGGAGCAAAGCATCAAACAGCAGATGGACTTTCCGTGTCTGTGAACAACACAGCAGATTCAGGCAAGAACATAGGACCTTGCTTGCCTCTTTGGCAGAGCTCAGCAAGAACTTAACTATGCGTCATCCCATTTCATTGGCGATTTGTTCCAAAGAAGCAATATTCCTGGCTTGAGATATCAGGGCTGTCATGATATACAGTAGAAACACGGCGAAAAACTTCGAGATTCTCGTCTTCTTACAATGCGGTTCAAGTCGAAAGCTGCGAAGGTGATAAAGGAGAGCAGATTGTCTAAGAGGGCGAAGGCAGAGTCGTCAATAGGTAGATGTTTTGAGAAGCTGCACTGCCTTATGATAAATAGCATTGAGCGCCATCTGGATCACAATCCATTCAGATCATTTTCCAGCTATTACATTCCTTTACGCTCTCTTTTGACCGTTGATGCAAATCGAAACAATCGTGGCTGATGTTGATATCTGGCATATGCCTGACTGTAAGAAATGTACCATTTGATACGCGACGGAGCCGCTTCTAATGTGAGCGCGTCTAGCAGGTACATCTGCGAAAGCCATTGCAATGGTCTCGAGAGTACTGCGCGCTAATGCAGCCAGCGAGTTATCGAGTGTGGTTGAGATTTACAACATTTCTGTACAGGAAGAGGAGGAAGCAGTGGGAGACATCTCATTATCTCGATGATCTTTTATCTCATTAATCAGACCCTCCGCCATACTCGAGTCAGAGGTCACATGACTTCAAATTTTGGTGAGAGAAATCGATGCGCGTTAGCAGAGGGTCTAAGAGTTCATTGCACCCTCTCCACTAAGTAAGTCGTTAACTCGACGCGATTTTGACCATTTTAAAAGGTATACTAGTCTACCACGTACGTTTGCACATTAGCTTTTTAGACATTCAGATTATTTAGCTATATATCTACTATTAGTCACAATTTTTTAGCCCATAAAAGGGTGCGCCACTCTTAGAAACTTAATACAGATATATACGTTTAGCTAGCACAAAATCTATAACATAACTTTTTCGACTTTTTTCTTAATAGATAGGAAGAGAATAGAGCACTTACTCAGAATTCTAGATCTTAGCTATTTAGCTGCTGTTGTTGAATTGTTATTAATTAATTAGATGTTTGTCGTTATTGCGCCCGAAGCTTTCCGGGCGCAATCCGACGTGTCAGATTTTTATAACAATTATTACGCGACAACTAGTCGCTATATAGTTGTTGAAATCAAATAGACTTGATTTATAGCGTATACAGAAGCACTAAAAATTATCATATAACTACTACGTAGTAATTGGTGTTATTATATGGTTTTTAGTTAACGTAGTGGTTGTAGGTTTTTCTAAAGTTCTTCTACCAAAATCGTGCATTAAACGCCGCTTCGCGTTTCCGTCCGTGCTTTTCTTCGCGAGTCAAGTAAGAGCGTCTAATTAATGAGATAAATGATCTTAATCTACTTTGTTAAGGCTAGTCATTACCTAATCAAGCTGACCTTGGCACTCCACATCCTCCACAAAATCCATCTGGCCTCCAGCTGTGAAGCTCTACCACTATCCTTTTGACAATTTTGCTGAGATGTTAGCTTAGATGACAGTCGCAAGCTCGACAAATCTGTTGACATAACACAATTCTGCATTCTCGGCTACTCGACGCGTTTTCCTTCGAGGCCGAGGAATGTCATAAAATCCGGGTCGAAAGTGAGGCTTGTCGCGGAAGGCTCACCCTCTGCCTGAAGAAAGGTTCGGCATGCCGACGGAAGAGCACGTGGATTTTGAGCTGTATCGGCGTCTCCGAGATATCAGTCACACCCCGCAAAATGCTCATACCATGGTGTGGTATCACAGACGTACACTCCGCCCAATCATGGAAGGAGTGGATAGATGGGAAGGTCTAGCTACGTCTCCACCTGCCTCAAGTTTCATGGCTGCATCTGTACTCTCCTCAATGAAGGCTTGCTAGATTGTAATCGAGTCGTAACCGCTTACAGATACCCTTATGGCTAATAACTCGCGTTTGTTTTGCTTCCATAGCATGTATATTCATACCAAGGGAGCTGTATAGGTAACTTATATCTATGATATCAACCTTATCGATTCTATCCCGTGTCAATGGGCTGTCTGGTATCTATCTCCAGGGAAACACAAAAGTCGGTATCTCATTTCTAGGACGACATGTTGTTACGAACCGCTATTACGTCTCTTGCAATCCAGAACATCACACAACTCATTCCAACCAGGGTAGACGAAGGTCAGTAGTATTTCTGGTCGCTGGAGCTTCAACTGACGTCTCTCAGGTGTATGTCAGACTTCTACAGTTGTACTCTCGGTATCATCTACGACTATCACTGCCGCGAACGGGTCAATCTCCACATCCTATAGCATTCACCCAGTCAACAAGCACATCTCACAGACGACCAGACCTTCGATAACGATCCCTCTGGTGACTACCGAGTACACAAGTGCGCAGGAACAGACTGGCCGTTCAGATGCAGCCATATCATACTCTAGCTCAACGACACCCCCGAGAGGCGAAGAGCAAACCATACCAGTGGATTCGCGATCATCATCGCTACAAGGTTCGCAGGACATCACCGTGTCTCTTACGCCAACATGGTCACCACTCTCTACCGGCCATCTGAGCGTATCATCCGGCTCGTCATCTGAATCAACTTCAACTCTCACCTTGGTGCTGTCCAATGCATCAGAGTCGAGTCTTTCTCAAATCAGTACTTCAAGTAGCCGCACTCCCGCATCAAGATCAGATACACAAAGTTTATCAGGTCTGAGTGTAACGACATCGACCGGCAGCACGACGTCTACCAGTAGTGTTTCACCAAGCGTGGCTGCATCCACTAACCCTGTGTTGTACACATGTCCCAGAGATAATGGCATCTACTACTCAGACACCGAGAATCGGGTCTATCAGTTGCTATGCAACACCGATGAGTCGGACGCAACGATTGGAATGGATTATCAGCCACACTTACAATCATGCGTGGACTCATGTGGTGATATCAGTGGATGTCTTGGTGTATCCTATGCTGAAACAACAGGTCTTTGCTCTTACAAGAGCAGCGCTTCGAACAGTGTTGGCTCCTCCAGTTCAAATTCTGCTATACTGGCCGATTACGTCTGCCCTGGAGCTGATGGCACTCAGCTAGTAGACTCTTCTGGTTCCATTTATCAAATCCTCTGCAACACTTTCTTTCCTGCGAGCAACAACATCACTTCAAACTTGGAAACTCCAGACTTGGCCTCCTGCTCCGAAATCTGTTCAGACACTAGCGACTGCTCAGGCTTCACATTCCAGAATGGTACGTGTACCTTGGTCAACAACAGAAACTCCAACGATGGAATTGCTCGAGTGAACGTAGCTACTGCTATCTTGTTATCGAAAAGAATCGTACAAGTCGTGTCGAGCGGCATCCCATACAGAAGTACGAGTCTGGCTGAATCTTTGCCTCTCGACATCTCTAGAACACCTAGTTCAACAAGACAGTCCTTGACGATGAATTCTACCACGACTCGGACCTCACAGAGTCTTTTGTCTACGGTCGGAAGTGCCATCCCAATATCAAGTGAGACCACCTCTACAAATACAGACACCGTCTCGCTCCGCTTGTCTATTATACCATCCAGCAACAGTCTCAGCTCTGGGTTACCTTCGACTATTTCACCAGAACGAACGGTTTCAGCTAGCAGCACAATCATTCCGGCTAGTATCTCTAGCGACGGTGCACCAATCCAACCGGCCGATTCTGTGACTCCAAGCTATCTGCTCACAGTAGAGATGTCGAGCACGTCAAAAAGCTCAGAGACAATTTCCTCTGGCATCAGGGATTTTAGCGTGATTACAGACTCTCAATCCTCTATCACGAATGGTCTCCCGACGATTGTCGTCCGATCCTCGCAAACAGCGGCAGTGTTCTTTACTACTTCTTTGCCTACGAGCTTTTCGCAGAGCCTCTTGTCTACCATTTCCGGTAATTCCTTCTCCACAGATATCGCATCACTATCGAGCACCCTAGTCTCTGCTACCACTAGTGCTGTCATTATAATCTCCCGCCCAACCTCAGCCGCAACACGAACGTCTTCTGGACTCTCGGTCTCTCAATTTCCCAGTGCTGCTTCTTTGTCTTCATCGAACAACGCTATCTCTCCATCGTCTGTCTTTTTGACTTCCTCTCGATCTGTAAGCATTGCACTGTCTCCATCTGTCGGCGTGGTTCCTTCTCCATCCGTCAGTATTGCTCCTTCTTCCCCTGTCGGTCCCGCTTTGTCGATTGGAGTTGCTTCCTCTACATCTATCAATACTGCTGTCTCCTCGACTATCGACATGATCTTATCTTCGTCTGTCGGTAGTACTGGATCTGCATCCCTTGGTTCTGCTGGTTCTTCGTCTATCAGTATTGCTTCATCTCCCGTCGTCTCGTCTAGTCTACCCCAGACTACCTACTCTTGTCCTGCCGCTGACGGCGACCAAGTGCAAGCCAATACCGGAGGCTTGTACACCATCGGCTGCGATGAAGAGACCACAGGTGGCGGAGTTCTTGCTGGTTCCTCA